TACAATTTTCATTTTTTAATTTTTTTTTACATGTTTACAATTTGTGAATTTGAAATCTCTTTTCGTATTAAAAAATTTAAGATAAATCTAGAAAAACTTATTGAAAACATTAAGAAATGGCTAACCAATCAGCTCAAAGTTTCTCCAAGTTTCTTTTATAAAAAGTTTTGCGCGGACAAAACTTCTATTAATAGTGGGCGGAGTTTAAAATGAATGCTTAAAAATACTCGTTTTTGAATTTATCTTTTGGTCGTCTTTATTAGTTTCTTTGAATTTTTTTTCAAGTTTAAGTTTTTTAAAACTTATTTTCTTTTGACCAAAATACGATCAAGCCTCTATAGTATGACTTTTGATATGTACTGTGACATCCTCTTTGTAATGGCAGCTTTTTGAATACCTTTTGTAATAGAGCTTGTATCAAAAAGTACCTGGGTAGTGTGATACCTGGTTATAAGGACAGTTAGACTAGTCTCTTGAGGGTCATACTAAAGAGTTTTGACTGTAAACCAGATAACATACTGTTTGAGCAGAAGGTATTGATAAAGAATTGTTCAACTATTTCTAAACTTAAAATTTTTCATTTTCCAAATTCAAATCAAGTTTCTAAACGTTTTATCCATTTCTGCATCTGCATTATGTCAAATTTGAATATTTTTTTTGAATTTTGCGTGCGTTCAGATTTATTTTTGTCGCGCGCGATATGTCATCAAGATTGCGACAAACGGCCAAGCAAACAGCGACAAAAGAGTGTGCGGAAGGGGGAGGGTTGAATACAAAAATTGACTGGGGTGGGACTGGAAACCATCTGCTGAGCGGAAAGTGGGCATGGCTCTTTATAGTAAACTCTGAATGAACTCTCTTTAATTATCGAGGGCATGGATGGACAGGGCAAGGTTTGGGGAGTAATTTTTTAAAAAAAAGTTTTGAGAGGGGGGGGGGTGTTATAAAAAAAATCTAAATTATGAAAAAATCATCCTTTTACCTCTCCTCAGCTTTCTACTCTTTTTCCAACTTTTGCTCCCCTCTATCCTCCCTCCCCCCCCACTTCAATTGAAAACCCAGATCATGCCGTTTGCCATACTTATAGGCACTCTAAACCCTTTCTGTTCTATGGCCACTGCCACTCTTTCTATCATCTATAACATGTTGTTTTTTTCTCGGGCCGAATGACTTTTGTCTAAAACAATATTCGAATACGCGTCTTACAAAAAATAATCTGACTTGCTTCCGAATTTGCATAATTAAAAGTTAAAGAAGTGTGTAATGACATTAAGCGAGGCACTGTCATTGTTATAATTATGTCGCGTTTTCAAATATTTGTGAGTTTTGTATTGTGATGAGGTGATGAATTATGGGATGGTACTGTAATAAGTTCAGGAAAACTGTTTTTAATTTTTATTGTATAGAGTTTTTGACAGAGTATATTTAAGGATCGGACCGTGTAAGTCAGGTTTAGTCTGGCGCTACGATTGCGCTGGGCCGGCATTGAGCTAAATTTGAAATGGGCTAGACCTCAAAAGTTGGCATGGTTTATTTTAAACTCTTAAGCATATTAGTACAGTAAATATTATAAAAATATTATAGCAGTAAAATGTTCCAAAACATAGTATAAGGTTAATTTTTGGTTATTTTGAATTGAAAAGACGTATTTTACCTTCAAGTTGTTTTATATAGTATCTACTTTTTGTAAATTACGTATAATTTGAGGGCTGTAAACTTATTTTTGGTTACCTGCTCTTCTTTACCTTACCTTCGTTTTTGTTATCTTAATAGGTTTATGTAGTTCGTATATACTTTTCTTTATTTTGCTTTAACAGTCTTATATCTTACACTTTCCTGGTTTTACATCCTTTATACATTAATTTGATTCCGCTCTATTTTGAGAGCTTAACAGCTATATTAATCTGAATTTTAGAGAAACAATTTTATAATGACCGTACGTACCACAAAGAATGTTCTAGAAGTTGTCATTATAAAACTGTTGTCATAGTGAGGATCATACTAAAGAGATTCATCTGCTTATCTCCATATTACTTTATATATCTTTTCAACATTATCTTATCCTACTCTCTCTATTACCCTCTATTCTTCATTCTTCTCCCCATATCTTTGCCTTTATCTTACTTTTACCCTACTCATCCCTCTACTCTCCACCCTTTCCCCACTCTCTCTCATTTTGACCGTGCTCTAAAGAATCACGGTCCCATTCTGTTCAATCTTATGCTAACATTATAGAATCCATTAAAGCCGTCGAGTCGATATTCTCAAGGCGGCGACGGAATTATTATGCATAAAAACTTTGATAGTGATCGGGAAATGTTTTGTATAATACGATGGACCCTTTCTCACAATATTTTAATCAAAGTTTTTCGAAATTTCCAATTTTTATTTATAGCGCCTGAGGGGGTGGAAGGGGGGGGGGGGGGAGAAGGGGTACAAGGGGGAGGGAGAGCTAAAAAGGGGTTTACGGGTCAGTTTTGATACGGTAACCAAAACATTACAAAGGGAATGTTTGGCTCAAAGTTGATCGAATGATCTTGAAGGAAGGGGGGGGGGGGGTTAGATCAGGTACGGCATAAGTAGTAGTAATAACAGTAGTACAAAGTTAGGTAAAATACGGACTACATAAAGTGGGTTAGTAGAAAGTTTTTAAAATTTTTTCGTATTTCAAAATTAATAAAAAGTATAAGTTTAGGTCCAAAACCATGAATTTTACAGTTTAAAAACTTGACGATCTTAACTCTGGCTTTGCCAATTTTTATTTTTTAAGCTTTTTTGGGTTGTTAAATAAATTCTGAGCCCCAAAAGAAAAAGAGTTGCTTTAAAAGGGGGGCGCAGAATTATTTTGACTGTCTTATAATATGATTATATGGTAAAAAACAGCGTAGAACTAGAATCTTTGACTTGGCAAATTGCTAAAAGTAAGAAAAAACATAAACTCCAATATTTTTTTGTCAAACACTTGCTTTTTTCACTTAAACTCTAAATTTTTCAATTGCAAAACGCCTTCAAATTTCAAATTTCGTTAATTTCAAAATCGAAAAAGTGCGAAACCAAAAACTCGGGTTCCGCAAATTCATGGCCGTGATTTATCGCCCTTACTTTCGCCCCTACCGTAGCCGCGTTTGCCAATTAACTTTTTCACTTTGGGTTTGTTAAAACAAAACCCATCCATTACTTATCTTTATGAAAATCCATTTTTTGGCGACTTTAATGCACTGTTTTCACTTAAACCTTCCGACGGAATGGGTTTCCTGGTGCTGTGGCCATAGTGAGACATTCGAATAAAACCCATAATGGGATAAAAAGAATGACATCAAACGACCCCGCCAGAACTATCTTCACAAACCTCGGCTAAAAGCTTTTCAATTTTGGTCGAATTTTGAATTTTTAAAATTTTTATGACAATTGTGGTTAGGGGGGTTTAAAAACTTAAACTGTTGGGTATTGTGGTTAGGGAGCTTGAAAAGTTGATGGTTTTGGTTGGGCATGGCAAGTTTTAGAGTTTTTCATTGTAAACGGAGGTATTTAAGAACTGTCTTCTTCTTCAGTGCCTTGGGGGTGAATTTTTTCAGTTTATACCGCGAGTGCCAAAAAATATTAAAAAATATAAGGATAACATAATCGGAAACTTAAATTTATTTCATAAAAAGCCAGATTTTAACTAAAATTTTGTTTGAAATTGCTAATTAAACACGATGGAATTGGTTATGAGAAGGCCCAGCTGTAATCGAAGGCCAAACTTAATCATCGGCCTTCCTTAAAGCAAAGAAAAAACAACTTTGCCCATACCCTTCACACACTCCTTCATCTCTCACTTCCAACCATCAACTTCATCTCTCTCTTCTGACCATCACCTCCATCTCTCTCTTCTAAGCATGTCCTTTCCAAAGATTTTCTTCTCTCCCTCCACCCAACCAAAACTCGAGACGGGCCAAAAGTTTACAGCCGGTCGCGAAACAAGCTCCGCCTCTTTTCGGCTGGAGTTTCGCCTTCTTCATCCACTCAGTCCCATCTCTTCACAACACCCTCCCATACCGTACTTCTCAACAAGTTTCCACAAGCACTGGTTGGGCCAAAGTTTCGCGGCCCAAAAGTTTCGCGACCAATAGTTAAGTGGTTGGGTTAGGGAGAGGAGGGGGCGGCCAATGGAAAAGTTTGGCCGAAAAGTTTTGAGGGATGGAGTGAGGGGAAGAGGGTGGTTTTTGGAAGGTTTTGGGGAAGGAGAGGTGTTTAAAAATGGATTTTAATTTTAATTGAAATTATAAAAAATTTTGATTTTTTGAGTTTTGGTACACTTTGTACCTATTTTATTGATTTTGCAACTCTTTGATATACTTTTTCTTAAAAACAAACTTTTTCGAAAGTAATTTTTAATAAGAGCCTTCGTAATTTTTTGACTTTTTACGTAACATATGATAAGTTTTGTCATACTCATTTTGTGACAAAAACAAATTAAAAAAATATTTTAAAAGCATTTAAACCACTTTTTGTAGCCAAAACCATTTCAAGAATTCAAATTTTGCCCATTATTTCAAGTTTGAAGAGCACATTATGTTTGTTATGTAACTTTAATATGGAAAGTTTCCGTTTTGTATCCCACTGTGATTTCGATGCTCTCCATCGTTTTTTATTCGATTTCAACGCAATTTGATTAATTACTGAATAAAATTTAAAGTAATGTATATTTTCGAAATAACGCGCAATAATTTTGACAAGTGCACCATAAGCGGTTAATTTTATATCATATTTTTAGAGTTAAACATCGTATTTTACTTTTTGAAAATGTATGATATTTTTTGAATCGTATTTTACCTTTTTGTGGTGTATTTTCCTTTTTGAATGTCGTATTTTACTTTTTTGAATTGTGTTTTAAGTACCACTTTGATTCTCTAATAATCCAATCAATATTGACACTTCGTCGCGATTCAAAGACTTCAAAGGTTTTTCGCAAAAATCAGTTTGAAAAAGTTAAAAAATTAAAATTTAAATGAATTTAGATGAGTGCTTTGGATGCATCCTGGCTTTTTGCCCTGACGAAGACCGAGGTTCCAGAAGCGCCGATCTCTTCAGCTTCAACTTCACCTTCTCCAACCGAGAGTTCGGGACCTTCGGTCGAGGATTTGGGGCCAAAACCAGCTAAAAGAAGGCGGAAACCTGATCGTAAGTTGTTTTAAAGGTGTTGTAGTATTTGAATTTTAATTGTTTCCTACATTTTTATTTGTTTGTTACCTAAAAAGTTGAGATTTGCTAAAATTTTTGATAAAACTATATTAATTTAAGTTTTGTTTTAATTTTATTACATCTAAAGTTAATATAGTAGTCTATCTTATTGTAAAATACGGTTCTACAGACATAGCATAACTTTAAATTTCAGCCAAAGACGTGATCCGCCTAATAGCCGAGCCCCAATTGACAGTTGAAGTGAACGAACCTCCCAGATTGGACCCGATAACAGAAGAAAAGCCTCAGTTCAGTCCTCAGAACGATCAGAATCAAGTTCATGCCTTCCTGAATGAATCACAGCCAGAATCCTCGGTTTCGCCCTCCAATTTGTCGTTTAATTTGCCCAGTGGAATTCCTTATGGCACGGCTATCAGGGCTATTGGTAAGGAGTTTATGTTGTTTTAGGGGATTTTTGAAGATTTTTGAGGGATTTTTATGGTTTAGGGGGTGTTTTGGATGTGGTAATGAGTGTGCTGGATAATTTAATTTTTTTAGATTTTCGGGGGTGTTTTTTGAATTTTCAAGTGGTTTTTAAAGTTTTTAGGCTATTTTTGTTCGTTTAGGCTTGTTTTTGATAATAAAATTTTTTTTTTAAATATTAGTCTTTAAGGGGTGTTCTTCAATATTTTAAACTCCTTTTCAAATCACTCACGTCTGTAAATTTGCAGAGAACGGCAAACTGACGTGTCCCACGCCCGGCTGCGACGGATCCGGCCATCAAACCGGACTTTACACCCACCACCGCAGCTTGAGCGGCTGTCCCCGGAGGCCGAATAAGAACACAATCCAAAGTAAGTTTACTTTTGTTTATTGGGCATGGGCACTTCGCTAGATTGAAAACTTGGAAAGTGGGATAAGATTGCACGCCATTTAACGGGCCCGAAAAAGTTAAGTCAATTTGGGAGGGGAGAAGTTGCACTTTCAGGTTACAGTAGGAAAAGATGGAGTTGGGGAGGGAAGGGGGGAGTATGGGTGAAGAAAGGTGGAGTTTTGGGGGTGGATAAGATGGGAAAAAGAATTTCGGGCATGGATAAGATGGGAAAAGAATTTTGGGCATGGATAAGAAGGGAAAAGAATTTTGGGCATGGGTAATAAAAGAAAAAAATTTTTTTTAAAATTTTTTAATCAAAAAACAAATTCAATTCCAACTCAAACTTTCAATTTCATGCCATTTTTTACCTTTCCCCTCCCCCAATTATTTTGACCGGTCAATAAGGTTCGCGCACAAAAAAGTTAATTTGGCGCCCGTTAAAACAGTGACTTTCTTTCTCTTCACCTGGTGGTCTTGATTACAAGCAGATGGCCGTTAATCCACCACCGGAAACACATTAGAGAGTTCGTTTTTTTGAAAGGGATCGCATGCACCTGCCCCCAAAGTTTTAAGACAATGAAGTGAGATTGAAGAGGGGGGATTAACGTGTTCTGCGGGGGGATGAGTAGGATCAAAGTGGCTGGGGTGGATCAGCGTGGAGTGTGGATGGGTGGATGATGAAAAGTGGCAGGGGTGGATTGGGATGAAAGGTGGGCACGGGTGGATAATGACAAGTAGCTGGGGAGAAAAGTGGAAGGGGTGGGTGGTGAAAAGAGGTTGTGGTGGATAAAGATGGAGAGCGGGTAGGGGTGGATAATTAAAAGTGGCAGGGGTGTATTAGAATGAAAGAAAATTCAAAAAAAAAATTATATTTTTACCACCGAGAATAAGTGCCATATTAATGTACAGTAGTGTTTGACCAAGCCCACATTTATCGTTTCTGGGAAGTCATTACCACCTTAATGTCATTCTATCTTATACCTTTACAAACACTTTGGACTTTACTCATAATTTGTCTATTTGATCTTGCTCTGCATCTTTTATATTTTAATTTGAGCTTTCAAACACTTTCTATGAATCTGATACTCTTATCGCTTGTAAAATGGCATCTTCTGCAAACAGTTTAGTCGTCTTGGTTGGACTAGTCAAACTTCCGGTCTAGAAAGCTTTCAACAAGTAAAATGACTTTTTGAAATTTTTATTATGTTTATTAGGTTGTTCAAATAATTATGTGCTCCTCACAAAACAAATTTTTGGGTTCAGGGGGCTCAGAATTATTTGAACAACGCGATAAAGTTGAATATGACACTTCTAACACATTGTGACAAAAATATGTTGTTAGATGTCAAAAGCCTTTAGTACATGACACAAGCTTGAATCTGCCTCTAATATTACACACAACTTCCTGCCCGCTTCTTTACACCCCTTTCAAGATACCACAATGTTTCCTATGACTTCCTGTAGGTCTTCCATTCTCCAAAACCTTCTCCAAACCTAAAAAGGTTTAAAACACCGCCTCCGGTAATCGGATCCAAAAGGCGACTTCTAAAGTTACCGCTGTTTCACACAACTTGGCCACATAAAGACGCGCCTTGGCCACATAAAGGCGGGTGAATCAGCCCAACGAGGGGGGTCCGTGTCCCATGCCCTCACAATTGACAAAGCCTCCCGATAATTTATGCACAAAACTTGACTATCACACGCATTCGAAACTACCTTTTGACACTGTAATTGTATTCGTCATCCAAAGTTTTATGGGACTGTATAAAGTAGTGGTTAATTGACTTTCGAAAGATACGAAATGATGACTAAAGGGGGTTTTACAGAGAAATGATTAATGTTGTTAAAGTAAGACGAAGAAAGGGTTTTTGTTACAGTAAGAACAGATAAGACAAAAAAAAAGAAATTTATTTACAGTAATAAGACATAAGGCTTTATTTAAGTTGTTATCTAAACAAAACTTGAGTATTAGGCTAGTGATGACTATAACGTTTTGACTACTAATGTAGTGATGACTATAACCAAACTTTTCCTTTTACAAAGCTATGATACAGCTTATAATCTACCACAATATCCAGAAGACTCAAACTTTATTTTGCTCGCGATGTCATCCATTTTAAATTCTTTTGACAGTTTTAATTAAAACTTTGATAAGTTTGGCCGAGTTAATTTGCATATTATTAGTATTCCCTCGCGTGTTTAACTTTAACCGCCCTTCGAATTGGAGTTACATCTCGGTAACTTCAATTCGAAGCCCTGAGGGCAAGTTAATTAGGCTTATCAAAAGTGACAAAAAAGGGTTGAAACATGAAAATTTAGATTAGAAAAGCAGTTTTAATGGATCAAAATTGAGATTCAGAAAAATATGTTATTTTTTGCATTATGGCGACATTTTTTTTAAGCTCTGAAGGATTACTGTAACTTTTTTAATTTAAGGGTTACCGTAGCAGTTTTTGAAATTTCATGTTTTCAGTGGCATTTTAAAGCTTTTAGTCAAAATTTATTTAAATTTTTGATTCTAGGGCAATCACTTTCTTCACAAATCGAAAAATGCCAAGAACTTTCTTTACAATACGAAAAATTGCATTTTTAGCCCTAATCGACTTTCAATACAAGTTTTCATTGTCAACTTAACCCTAATTAAATTTTTAAAATTAAAAAATTCCCAAAATTTTTCTTTGAACCGCTTTCTCATAATCTGCGACAATATCCGGGGCCCAATAACAACCTTGTTGTTACGACAATATAATTATAATTTCGTGGCCATAAAAGTCTCGCCACCCCAATATTATTCGATTTTCGGGGCCACAGATGTGCCCAAATTCTACATAATAAGTTCCGTTATTCGATAAGTTTTTCGTACTTTCGCCTTTTGTTTGGAAATCGAATTCTCATTAAAATTTTTATGAAAAATTTTGTTGGAATTCCGCTTTTGTTGGGGCCAAAAACGAGGGTTATGCCTTTTTCGGAGCGAAACAAAACTTAATGGACGGAACGCTGAACATACTGTAACTTGGGGAAGTTAAACTTCGGTTGAAATTTGAAATGGACAAGTATTTAAATACCAAAGCAATGGTTATACTTACTAAATGTTAGTTTACATGACCAAAATATTACTTCCTAGCAGCAAGTTTTGTTAATTTTTTTCGAAACATAGGGTAAGATTAATCTAATGTATATCAATAGTAAAAGCAAGCTGTTCGAAGTTAAAACAAGATTCTGTTATGCCAAAGATCAGTTCATACTTACACCAAGTAACAAAATTATACCTAATAGTACAATCCTATCTATATCAAAAAGTTATGGCACAAAAAGTAAATTGTTTACATTTTTCCCTTCACCAACATTGGTACGGTAAAAGTACTGTAACTTGTTAGGACGTTAAAATTTTTAATATCTTTAGATTTACTGACATTTAGAACATCAATCTATGTTTAGACAAAATTCCATGTCTTTAACTACGTATATCAATAAGTCATGGCAAAAAAACCATGTTATCCTCAACTTTTTCTTGTTACCATAATGCACTTTTTATCATTTTTGACCTTTATATATGATTTTCATGCTCTAACATCAACTCTTCATTCTCTTCAGATCATTTTAAAACTATTTTTTCAAATCCCAATCTTTGGCCTTATTCAAAATTTTCGAAAAAAAACTGAAGGTTCTACCTTTTTTGGACCGTTTTTTATAAATGAGCCCGGTTTTTTGTTTGAGTTGGGCGCAAAAAAAGCGAATAAATATGGGATGCAAAAGTGGGGAAAATTGAAAGGTTGGGGAGGGATATCCGTCAAGTTTTGGCAGACAGCTTCTGATGGCTTTCTTTGTCCTGTCATTGGTGTTACGGAGGTAATCAACTTGCGTAACGGTTACCGTAGTTCAAACTTTTTATGGTGACGAAAAAGTTCGCATTACGGTGTGAGGAGGGGGAAATGTGTTTTGGCGGCCAATAAATGTACTTTGACTGATATATATAGATAACATTGGATGTTTATTTCTGTTTTCTTAACATTCTTGATTAAAAATTGGCAAAATTTTTATTGGTCCAAGTACGTAGAATAGCCTTTTTTGAGCTTAATTGCTACTTTTAGAAAATTTTTTCTTTGCCAGGCTATATACTTTTTGACCATAGTAAAACAAATTAAATTGTAGCCACTTTGACAGTAAAATCCATCATCTTCCCAATTTTCAAAACTACTCCCTACCAAAACCCATTTTTTCAAAAATTTAATTTCCAAAACCCCCATCCTTACCGTATCATGTTCATTAACTTTCCTAGGCCACAAAATTATCAGATTTACTTGTGGGAACGCTAAAGTGGTTTTGTTTTAAATGAAGGGTCTAAGTAAAGTCGGGACTAAGCCATTTGGTTTTTTGTGATTCCATTTGGCATGGAAATGGGATAATTTATCTGCCCGAAAATGTTGAAATGAAACCTTTCGAATCCAATTTTTGACACTTTGGAGGAAACATGTTTTTGGAAGAAACATGGTTTCTGGGATGGTAGTTGGCTTTGAAATGTTGAGTTAGGGAATGGCAGGAACATATTTTTAAAAATAAAATTTTTACAAGTTTTTTTCGGAAAATCGAATTTTTTCAAAAAAATCGACAGTGGGGACCAAGTTCAGGTTTTTGGAAAAAAAGTTTTTTGAGCCCCCCCCCCTCTAAAAAAATCAAAAATAGCCTACAATAACATCCAGAAAGCTTAAAAATTCACACAAAAAAATTCAAGGAAAACTTTAAAAACGTAAAAAAACGTATCCTCAAAAAGCCGGCTGTCAAAGTTGGCTCTACCGTAATCCGAAGAGGGTGTGGGAAAGTTGGAACGAATAAAGTTCGGGGGACAAAGCGAAGACAAACAAAACTGAATGGGCGAATAAAGACGGCTAAAGTTTGTCAGCACACATCATAAGATAAGACGGGCCTTTCGTTTGAATTCGAAATGGGACAACAGTACTGTTTTTAACTTTAAAAAATGCAGTAGAAATGATAAGAAAGTACAAGTTATTAAAGGATATGTATAACACGTTAATCTGGCCACATTATAAGTAAAATACTCTCCTTATAGTCAACAAAAAAACTTTAAAAAAAGAACCAATAATCATATTTATTGTTATTCCTTTTCAGTGCTATCCCTCCAACAAGACACCATTCTCCACTGTCAGACTCCAGGATGCACAGGCAAAGGTCATGTGAATGCCTCGCGATCTTCTCATCGATCTCTCAGTGGCTGTCCCATCGCTCATCAACAGAAGCTGGCTCGTCGCAGCGTCAAACTTCCAAACTCTCACACTCCAAACTCATCAACTCACTCTCGAGGTGCCACTCCCAACTCAATTGATCCAGCTAGTCCTAGTCCCAGCGATGCTGCCAGTCTAGCCAGACTACTTGGCAATTTCGACGAGAATCCATTGGATCTGAGCTTGAAGAGCAAAGAAGACTGTAGATCGGTGGGATCTGATAGTGAAAACAAAGCCATTTCGATCCTGGATCTGCTACAGTCTACCAAACATAATGTAGAACCTGAGAAACCTAAAATAACATGGCCAACGGCTACTGTATCTCCGATTCAGAAGCTTCTGGAACAAAGTTTGACTAGAAACCCAGCAGGTAAAATACGTTATTCTTAATTTTTATTTTTTATTATCTATTAGGTAGTTCAAATAAACATATGTTCTCAAAGCAAATTTTCGAAGTTAGGGGGCACATAATTATTTGAAAAACAAAGAAAACTAATTTTCAAATTTGTTATCTAAAAGCTAAACTTATGCCCTTCTTAAATAAACCTGAACATTTCAGAAGCCTATATGGCTCTTCTGTCGAACTTCAGCGTGCTCAACAACTTCAACATGGCCGCTACGACTCAGGCCAACAACTTTGTGTTCCAGAACCCATTCATGGCGTTCAATGGTACCGTGGGGATGAATGAGGACAAAAAGTCGCAGTTGTTCCAATTTCAGTCCAATCCAGCCAACCAGTCTACATGAACTCACTCGAAAAGTGCTAATTTAAGTTTCAAATAATTTTATTTTTAATTTTGCATTTTTTAACTATTGGTATTTTCTTGCAACACTATGCCAAATTATTGGCAATAACTTGTTAACGGCCGCTTGTTTTCGCGATGGGACTAAATTGAAAAGGTTGTGAAAGGGAAAATTGGACTTTTTAGAGGTAATAATTAGCTTTTGAGGTGGAAAACAGATTCTGCAATACCCATAGTTAATTATTTTGTAAAATACGCCGTTGTTTATTATAAAAAATTTTAAATTTTTGAAAATTTTGAAATTTGAAATTAAAACATAAAAGTTGCAAGCAAATATTCCAAAAACCGCTGTGTATTTACCCATTTACCATACATAACATTCCTCGTCAAATATCATATAGTTTTAATGTTTCGACATAATATGCTAACATACGAATGCTCTCTCCACTCATAATGTATTTATTCTGTGCTATATGTCAGCCATATTGTAATAATATCTAACGTTAGTCTGAAGGTGAATAAATTTATTTTTTTTACTTTTTGTCTTTTAATTGATTTGATAATTTAGTAGTTATTTGTACAGCTATATACTTGGGTACATTGATGTGAAATGTCATTTATAGAATATATATAAATCCTGTTTTTGCCATAACTTTTTTAACAGATTGTTAGAGATTTTGGAATTTGAGATGATGGACCAGTTATTAAAAGTAAGAAGCTTGATAAGTTTAGTAGTGGTTTAAAGTTACAGTAGTTTTTCCGTACCTGTAGGAGTGAGAAGCAGACCGTTCTTTCGTTGCCCGATCGTAGGGCCGCGCTTCCACGGCCCGTTTGTCACTTTTAATACCTATCACGTTGATCACTTGTAGGTGAACATTTATGCAGCTCTAGTTAATTAGCATGGTGGTTTTATAAGTTACGTTAATTTACTAAAAATCTTATAGAAGAGATTAGATCGTTCTCGTTGATAGCGACAACATTATTGTTTTGTTTTGACTTTTGCTAGCTAATCGATTGCGCAATCAAAAACAATAAATACTTTGTAAACTTATGGGCCCTTCAGCGTATTTTACAATAACATTTTGGTGAACTGTGACAAACTTTGAATTTTCAATCAAATTCATTATTAAAATTTGAAAAAAAATTTTTATTTGCTTGAATTATGCCAATCTAACTTTGATCTTTTTTCCCTTTCTCTATTCTCCCTGTGCCATGCTTTTACTCAAGCGTATGTTTTCAAACCTCGCGCACAATACGAAGATACGATCAATTACAAACTTTTGCAGATGGTGTTCATGACCACCTGCCTCGTCCAGCTGCCAAAGTTTTAACGTCAATCAAATACCGACATCCGAGACTGTTTGTTTTTGCTTAAGAAGCTAGCCAAATTAGGGCAAACAATTAATAATTGCGCAAAAATTGGCTGCACAAACAAAAACTTATAGGACACATTATGATATCAGTCAGTTACATGCCTTTTTTAATATTTTTAAAAATATTTATTAAAACAGTTAAATACAATGGGAACTATTTAATTACTATAACAAGAATTAAGAATGTTATACATTGATGTAGTTATTGATTGATATACTCATCATCATTCTTTGATATGTAGGTTCCACCTTTCGCATTCACCCAAAAAGATGTTAGGATAAAAGGGGATAGCATCTACATTAGTGTGCGGCATCAAAGGATGCTGGCGACCAGACCGGATCGAGTCTGGAGTGCTCACTCTTGAACAATAGTCGGATGGAGTTGTCGACCGGTCGGAGAAGAAAATTTGGGGCTGGACGTGGGAAGAGTTGCTACGCTTTTTAGAGATACGTGCTTTGTATGGCCGTGAGATGACTCTGATGTTCCTGACGGTCTGCCTGCCGCAATATACGAGTGGGCTGCAGGTAAACCCTGGGCTGTACGATGGGTACGATTGTTTTTCGTAAAAACGGGCGCAAGAGTTCTCGGCGACTGGAACGGTGATTTGGAAAGCTGGGCAAATGCTGGCGTTCATTTTTTGATTAATAAAGTTAAGACTTTAAAAATTGCTGAGTGACAACTAAAATTATAAAGTATTGTTAATTTGTTAATACAATTAAGAAAGTTATAAGTAATGCCAGCGAAAAAATAACAACGGTTATTTAATTTTAATACGATAAATCAAAGTAAACTTCAAAAATTATCCGTTTTTAAGACAATTATATTGAAAAAAATTTTTAAGAGTTTATGAACTTACAAGTTTGTTGATGTTGAACTTAATGAAGAATATGCTAATTTTATCGTGTATTTATATGTTTTTCAATCGGCAGAAATATGTTTATCTTGTATCAAAGTCTAATGCTTAAGGCACATAATTTTTTACTTTAGCTCATGCCGTATCTCCGATATCAGCTCGAGGTCTTTTGACGTAATTTCGTATTTGAAGTTTTCTGATATTGAACTTTGAACTTATATTAATTGCATAATCGAATAACTTTTAAACACGAAAGACTTTTTTACTTTATTAGGTAATTTATATCTTCGATATCTGCCTCTTGACGTGATTTCGTATTCAACATTTTATGATATTGGACTTTGAACTTGGCGTTTGGGTACTGTTGGTACAAAGAGTTTACATAAACTTTTAGTTTGATTTAGTTCTGACAAGGGAAGGTACTTTAATCGCAGATGGACTTTGAGATGAGACCTATATATTTTGAAAGCTGAATTCACAGGGAGTACGGATCTGAAAACCGTTTTTCTGTGCGGCTCTTAGTTTTTGAGAAAATCGCCTTTCAAATATGGCAAGAATTTTGGCGAAACGAGCGCGCCGAAAAGAAGTGCGCAGTTAATCCAAAGAAAACAAGTGGCGGCGTGGCCAAGTGGTGAGTCAGTTTTCTTTCGGATCTCGGTGGGGGAGTTCGATCCCGGCCTTGTGCAATATTTTTACAGCGGCTTAAAATTACTTTTAACTTAAAATTTTTACAGTATTTTATAACTAAAAATTATAAAAATTCAAGAGCCCTATTGTTTGAGATTTTGTACGCTATTCTTTTAAAAGAGGTGGATATATTTTTTGTGAGATTCCAAAGTTCATGACACCGGTTGAAATTTGTTTTCCTGCTGGCGTCTTCCAAAATTGTCAATTCAATAGTTGTAACGAAACCACTTTTATTTGTTGTTCGTCGAAAGTAAGAATATTTCTTGTTAATAAATCGAGTTTTAATGAAAATTGAATTTTTTGTTATTTTTATAATTTTTAGTTATAAAATACTGTAAAAATTTTAAGTTAAAAGTAATTTTAAGCCGCTGTAAAAATATTGCACAAGGCCGGGATCGAACTCCCCCACCGAGATCCGAAAGAAAACTGACTCACCACTTGGCCACGCCGCCACTTGTTTTCTTTGGATTAACTGCGCACTTCTTTTCGGCGCGCTCGTTTCGCCAAAGTTCTTGCCATATTTTAAAGGCGATTTTCTCAAAAACTAAGAGCCGCACAGAAAAACGGTTTTCAGATCCGTACTCCCTGTGAATTCAGCTTTCAGAATATATAGGTCTCATCTCAAAGTCCATCTGCGATTAAAGTACCTTCCCTTGTGAGTCGCGCAAGTTAGGTACTTTGTTAGAGAGTTGAATTTTTGTGACATTTCTACCTCTAGGCATGATGACATTTTGCGAAGAAAGCCAAAGTCTTGTGATTCAGTTCGAAAAGTTAAGGTATGTACATGAAAACGATTTATTTCGATTCCTAACTTGCTATACCAAGGAAACAGCGCCTATGAATCAGTTCATCTGACGGCCAAACCGAGGTAGTAGCTGGCGGAAGAAAACCGGTTTTACAAATTTTACGAATTATTTTCTAAATTATTTATTTTTGAACTTTGTTTTTACTATTTATTTACTATAATAAGGTATTATTTGCTGTAGCCGTAGTATTGGAATTAACGTATAGAGGTCGTAGTATTGGAAGCAGTATATCTAAATCTTACTTATGGTGCTATAGTATAGTATCAAAACATATTCTCTATAAAACTATAGTGCTTATGAAATAGAAATACCATGAAAACGAAATTCTATGTAGCATGGCTAGTACTGATAGTACTACAACATGTTAGTTGTGACAATATATTTTATATCACACAAAATGAGACAACGTGTATAAAAGTTTACACTACTGTAGAAGAAAATACTATTCCAGTAGAGCCTTTGGTACGCCTTCAAATTGTACATCCCAAAGAGGCTAAGTAAGTTTGAATGACTATTTTATTGATCAAGTAATTATGTGCCCTTAACTCTAAAAACGAACGGTAAAATAGGGCACAGAATTGTTTGAACTACCCAATATATCTTAAGCAGGGCTGGATGAAACCTTTAGCTCACAATCAGGTGTTGGGAAGTTGTTGGTATAGGAGCTATTGCAGGTGCTGGAGAGAGAAGGAAGAGGGAGGGGTAAATGTAAACTTTTTAAATTTCTGCCTAGGGCAAGTTTTTTTTTGAAAATAGCAATAGTTAATTATTTTAGGTAGAAATTGATGTATTAAACTCTTTCTTCTTTTAGGTACTCAATAGTCCGTTCAACTGATCCAAAACGACAATTCCGGATTTCAAAGAACGGCGACTTAACAGTCAAGAAACCGCTGGACAGAGAAGATATCGAGAAGTATGATCTGTTGATCAAAGCTCAAGAAAAAGGTATGTTAACTATTAGCTTTTCCTTTACAGACTTACACTACTTTGATTAATATAGCAAACATATACTTAACTTGTTTTTTAAACAAAATTGGCAGATATAACATGAAAAAATATGTTCAGATTTGTCAGTTGACTACTTGAATGTGATCGTAGAAGTCGAAGACCAAAACGACAATGTTCCTTGGTTATTTGCTGTTATGGGTAATAAAACGGTTCCAAAATTTGAAAAAAATGTAAGTTGTTTACCATTAAATCTGTATTATTAAGTTGTTCAAATAATTTGTACCCCTATTCAAAGCAAATTTTTGAGATTAGGAGTGCAGAATTACCTGAACAACTTAATATTAGTGCGTTACAAAAGTATTGTTGTTTTTAAGTGTTTAAAACATTGTTTTTTGACGACAAGACTTTTATAAACGTTAAAAAGGTACGGATAATAAGTATACTAGCTTTTACTTTAAGCTATAAGGCTATCATTACATATATGAATTTTATAACTTTTATTCTACTACAACATTATTTTCAGCCCCCACCATGTATAATCAAGGTCAATGTACAGCCGGACGACCAAGAGCAATGTCAAGTCTACTCTTTTGATCCTGATTTGGTTCAAGACCTTGACTTTACAGTCAAATTTACTCAAGACTCAGATGATGTGTCAGTTGGATGTAATCAACCACAAAAAGGAAAACCAGTTTGTACCGTCAAGGCTGACAGGGTTTTTACTATATATGATCAGCCTAGTGTTACTGTACCTTTTTTAGTTACAGAAAGTGATGGTAATAGTCGGAAAAGGACTGTGGAGCTGGAGGTTAGGGATGTGGTAAGTCATCTTGGTTTTAACTTGTGAGGGGGGTGGGTGGGAATTGAAGAGAAGATAGAAGGGGTAGAAACTTGTTTTGTGTACAAGCATTGATAAAAAATTTTTCAGAACACAAAAAAGAGTGGCAATGTGAATATTACTGTAACTTTGTACGAAACCCTAATGGAAAAGCTGTTTATCGGCTCTATTATTGATTTTATCAACGATGATAACCTACAATCTCAAATGGCACAGTCTACTTTGAGTAGTATCTTCAAAGTTGACAATTATGAAAATCTATTTGACATTACAGCTAATGGTAGTGTAAGTGTAACATTTCTTATTTTGATAATTTTAAGTTATTAGGTTGTTCAAATAATTTTGAGCTACTTTTCAAAGCAAATTTGCAGGGTTAGTGGCTCAGAATTTTTTGAACAGTTTAATAATTTTCATTTTAAAGATTGTTCAATCATTTTATCGTATTTTACCTTCAAAAAAAGTTATTTTACATCCCTTATGACATTTTTTAAATATAAATGTTAATATTTATTCAGTTCATGTTTAATATAAAATTTAAAACCATTGTTATAGCTATACCTAATTGGACAACCACCAAAAACCGACAACACTTTCTACTTAAACATTATCAATGTCAAAACTAAGCAAATCCTTGTCGCCGTTACAATTAACATTAACAGAATCTCACGGCACGATATTCTCCATCACGAAGCCTTTAGTATCGAGAAGAAAAGTCCCCTCTACTACAACAATATTGGCGTTTTACTGGACAAACTCGACGAATTCAAAGCTACCTTATCAAATGCCATTCAGGATATTACTGGTAAAGCAATAGCAGTCAATGTGTTTGAAATCGAAGACTTTATCCATGAACCAACGTATGTCATCAAGTTCTTTGTTTCCTATAACGAGAGTTATGAAGAGCCGGTCAAGATGGAAAGTCTACGGTATTTATCGCCGGCTACGCTACGTGGGATTCTGGAGTTGAATGCTGTTAAGATTTCGGAGATTTTTGGAATTAAATTGTTCAAGATTGGAGAAGAAAAGTGTCTATATTATGATGAGGAAGAGAGGTTCTATCCGGTTTATTCGACTAGAAATGTGAGTTTTTTAAATTTTAAAATTTTAAAAAAATTTTTTAGTTATTAAGTTGTTCAAATGATTTTGAGCCATCTCTCAAAACAAATTTGTGGGGTTACGGGCACAGAACTATCTGAACAACTTAGTAATTTCAATTAAACAAGAGATTGGTAAATTAACTTAGCGCTTGCGCATTTAAGCCCTAACGGAGCCTACCCTTGCTGATTTCAGCCCTATTCAAGCCTATCACTGTCCATTTTAACCTTAACCATGTTATCCCTGTTTATAGTAGCCTTACTAAAGACTACTCGTGCTTATTTTAGTCTTGCCCACGCTTACCCCTGCTTATTTTAGCTTCAAATAAGTCTATTTTTACCCATTTTAACCCTGTCCAAGCCTACTTATGTTAATTTTAATCCTACTACAGCCTACTTTAGCCTACCACTGCTTATTTTAGCATTACCATTGTTTACACTTGCCTATTTTAGACCTTCTCAAGCCCTGCCCTTGTCCGTTCCAAAACTCTTTAAAACAGAAAAGTACCTAAAATTTTTTAGGGAGCACCCCCGATATCAAAAAACAATAAAATATTCGTCAGTACCACGACCAAAGTTGAATGTAAGAAAGAAGTACCATCAGCTATATGTTCACCTGGTTATTGTTACAATGGAGGTATCTGTTCATCAAGTCAATCTTCAGAAGCCGTCTGTTACTGTAAACCAGGCTTTGTTGGAGAAAGATGTCAATCTACTATTAGATCGTTCAATGGAGATGATTATATTTGGTTGAAAGGTGTACCAACAACACCGAAAGTGATGGTTGAGTTCGAGTTTAAAACGTAGGTGGTTTTATTTGTTAAAGGTATACATATAAAAGAATATTTTGGGTTTGAAAAAATTTTAAAGATTTTAGATAGTAAAAAATCGGTGCTTAAGTTAATATAACTATGATAATTTAAAAAGAAAAAAAAATGTTTAATTGTAAATTACTACGTATTTTACCACTTAATATATTTTTTTACTTTGAAGTTTTTTTTAAAACTAATACTAACTAGGAAGGTATTCAATTCTACTCAAAATCAGTTAAAAATTTGTATATGTGGCGTATTTTTAACTAAATTATGACTAAAGGCGTATTTTTAACTAAATTATGAAAAAATTATTTTTATTGAATTATTGAAGCTTTACACTTTTCTATATTTTATTTTCAGAGAATCCGATGGAATCCTACTATACCATGGCCCTCTTGCTCAGTTAGACAATACTGTCGAACACAAAACCGATGACTACATCTTCATCCAGATATCCAGTAACATAATATCAGCTCAAATTAAGATTGGCGAAAGTATTGTCACTTTGAACTCGAATACGATGGTCACTGACAATTCATTTCACTCAGTAAAGCTACAGAAAGATGGTACTGTAGTTAGACTAGTGGTCGATAATTGTGATGAAGGTAATGAATGTTTCGACGAACAGGATATTGAGGATGAAGAGGATGTTGTCTTTGACATTTCTGGTCCGTTATTGCTTGGAGGCTTCAGATATGAGTTTGAAAATGGCAGAAGGGATGGTCTTTTGTCATCATTTTTACCTGTCATAGAAGGTGATGACAATAAAACTACTACAGTAGACGATGACACAGTAAATGCCAGTTTATCAGATGTGACTGACAAGCTCTTCAAAGGTTGTATTAAGAACTTTTACATCAACCGAGAGCTGTACGACCTATCATCGGCGGATGTAACACAACCAGACAAACCAACCGTAACTGAAGTAAATAACTGTAACTGCAACAAAAAGGAAGTTACAGAGTATACAGGTACTCAGTGCTGGCGAGGGCAGTGCTATGAACAACATGGAATTGAATATTGTGATTGTCCAGTAGGATTCTATGGTAAAAAGTGTGAATTCATAGCACCGTGGGTTCAGTTTATGGGTACTAAAAGCTTTTCCAAGCTGCTGGTAGATGGAGAACATGAACATGATGTTAAGATGTTGATGGTCGCTAATGAAAGGTTTAGAGATAGTGATGTTTGTCAGCTTTCAAATGAGGATCAGGTAGAATTTAGAATTCTAAAAAATTAAATTTTTCATTTTTTTAGATCGTATCATCTCTATACCTAAACGCGTCTCGACCTTCATCTAAAACAATGTCTTCTGATGGCTTTGAAACTATATTTATCCACGATACAAAACTACAATCTGCAGAAGCGTATCACCTTCATTATCATCATGATCGCTTCAGTACTTTCTTATCAATTGATGGTCAGAAACACATTTTCAACATTTCATCTTCGAAACTATTCTTTCCTAAGGCAAACAGAGTGATTGACAGGTTATTGGAAGCTTATCAGTTAAAGATTGGCGGAGAGGATAACGGGTTTTCTGGATGTGTCCGTGGAGTTTACTTTAATGATGAGTATCTTGATATTGAGGTTGATGAAGGTTCAGATGGGGATGTGTGCTTGAGAAATGATAATCCTTTGCTATCTGGTAATAAAGATAAGCCTACTAATGATAAAGGCATGTCTACCGATGACAAGTTTACTCTTTCCGATGACAAACTTCTACTCTCCGATGACAACCTTTCAAACGGTCGTATGATAGCCCAATGTGGTCTAAAACAAGGTTGTGATATCTTGTTGAAGTGCTCAGACCTTCCTCCAGATTACTGTCACTCCAGAATACCGTACTCCTTCTGCTACAATCATATCAAAGGTCCAATTTGTCTGTGCAGAGCTGAAGACACTTGGATTCTGAATCCAGATGGATCGCTCAAAAGCTGTCGCATCACTGCCATTACTTATACGATCACCTTCATTGCTTTGATCATCATGTTATTGTGTTTCATCTTTGTGGCTTCACTTTTCATATTAGGCTTGATATTGAATAAGCGACAGGACAAGTTCATCGACGATGTTCATCAAGCCAATGCTAGGAACTTGGGTGTATTTGAAAGAGATAATGTTGATAAGGAGAACACAGCGTTTGGGGAGAGTGACAATCACAACTTTAACATGGATAATATTAGACTACCGCGAGGGTTGCTTGGTCCGAAGGATGATGGTAAGTAGATCTGAAAGGGGGTTTACGTCTAATAGTAAGGTTTCCCTCTTGTTGCGACGACAGTCGCATTGTTAAGAAAGGGCGTATTGTTATGGCCAACCGGACATTGTGAGAAAGTTCTGTCTAATTTGCGTATCCTTTTCATTTCGTGAAACACCCTGTATTTAAGTTAAGATGGTCTGGGAAGGTTGGGTTGACTTTAAGGGGGCTTTAAGATACTGTATTTGGGAATATTTGAGGTTATTTGAAAGATCCATAATATTTGTACTTTTAAATGTTATTTTTGTTGATCAGTCGAGTTTTAATTTTATGTAATAACAAAGGTTTATTAACTCAATTTTGAGTTTGAGGTTTTTTACAAAGAATTGGCTTCACCCCTAACATTGTAAGGTGCAGAGATGGGAACGGAGGGAGGGGGGTGGTGGTACACAGGGAGGAACACTAAGACAGAAGGGAAAGGTTTTTGCTTAAGGGAGCAAGTGTTTTTTTTTCCAAATATTTTAAAATTTAATGTTTTAGACAGCCTAGCGGTCCTAGCTGACCGTTTGCACGCTGAACCGAACAGTGGACCAAGAGATGAGCTACGTTATTACGCTTTGGAAGGCGACAACCATTCTACTTTAACTTATGACTCAAGTGTTCTATAAAAGATGTTTTTTTCGCTATAAAGACCAAGGATTGCCTTATTATAATAATTTAACTTTTAAAATAAATAATAAAATTTGATTTTTTTTTTAATTTTATGAGTTTCTGCTTTTTTGTAAGCAAGTTTGGTTTACAAAAAGGGTCCTTATAGGATAGGAAAAGAAGGAACAATTTTTGTGTTTACAAATCGATCTGAAAGAAAGCTGAAGCAAACTTGACAGTAGGCAAGCCAGCTCGAAGGCCGGACTTCAAACTAAGGCTCATCAGCTTAGGTCCCACAACGATAGATTTGACTTGCGAAATGTGTAAAATGAATATTAATTTAAAGCAACTTACTTTTTCTCCTTCATGCTTTGGTTTAAGTCACGGCCCCACATGTGGCGGCCCAGCATTGCTCGTTTCAAATTTTCATCGACTTCTGATGCCGGACTTGGCTTAAAAGGCCGACTTCCATATCTGGCCTTCTCTCTATCTATTTATCTTTGCTATAGCAAATTAGTATATTGACTCCTTAAATTTTTTTTGTAAGTATATACTGATTTTAAAGTATATAATAAATAACTTTAAAATCAGTTTCGTATTACTAATTTTGCAAGGCAAAAATTACTTTGCGGAACCTAAGCTGAGCCCTTTGAGCCTTAATGTGGGCTTGGCCTTTGGTCCCATGCGTGCCGGCTTGGACCTTTTTAAATTTACTTCTGCCCGGCCTAGAGGTCACTCTTTTAGGGGTTTAAAGGTCTACTTACACATAAAAAACAACGAATTATTAAATTTTTAATAAAGTTTTGTTTAGTGCTTCTCTTGCCTTGCCTTTCTCCTTCTTCATGCGACAAATTCCAGTTTTTTAAGTTTTGCCAAATCAAATATTAATCAACATACACACCTTCATATGTACCTTCATACCTCGCTGGAATGTGTATTTTTTGTTGTTCGAACCTGATCGGTTCGAAGGAATTTCGAGAAATTTTAATTCTCTCTCTACCCTCCTCATTTCACACACTCTTTCCGCGAATCTCGGTCGGCAGCTCGTCAAGAATGGCGACGCTTGAAATCGACGGAAATCTTGTGGTTTCGCCGGTTTAACTGGCTCTATTACGTTTTGTCGATCCAGTGTTATATCATTGTTAGCTTTACATTGTTTTTGCGGTGATTTGGAGCGGGCTTCTGATAAGATTTGTCATAACAATGTCATTATCTGATTACTTTAGTTTTTTTTACATTTTAGCAGTATGATGATATAGGTATTGATGAACAGTACATTTTTGATATTAACAATACTATTAGGTTGTTCAACTAATTCTGTGCTTCAAATGCTGAAAATTTTCATTGACAAAAAGCACAGAATTATTTGAACAACCTAATATTATATGTTATTGATTAAGATTCAAGAACTGCCACCATGATCAGATGAAATGATACAACAAGGCATGGAGACGCAAGTGCTTGAAGGGTAAGTTTTTCGATGTAAAATACGCAATCTATTAATATTAATTTTTTAAATTTTTTAAATTAGACCTAAAAAGGGGCCAAAGCTAATTTAAAAAGGGTCAAGCTGGGTTGACACATGTGGGCCCGTAAGTTTGACGTAAAAAGAGCTCACTAGGCCCAGCCTAAGGTTTAAAACAAAGTTAAATAGACCGGGCTGGCTTATGTGGGCCTCAAAAGCAAGACTCAAACTAAGACCCTAAAGGCAGTTTGGTCCCGCAACAAAAGATTTGACTTACGAAAAGCGTAAAACGAATCCGAGTTAAAAGCTACTTACTTATTTGGGCAGATAATATTAGGTTGTTTAAATAATTCCATGCCTCCTCTCAAAGCACATTTTCCGAGTTAAAGGGCACAAAATTATTTGAACAACCTAATAGTTTAAGAAAAGTTATTTTTAGCAAAGCAATCAGGTCTTTTCGAATATAAATTCAAATTTTATATTTAAAAGTTGAAAAGATTGTTTTATAACCTGCCATTTTCAGAGTAAGCAGTACTCGTCATCGACTTGAGTCATGTATCCAAGATATTCAACAACTCGACGCCTTGAGGCTGAAGCACAAGCTTTTGATTGAAGTAAGTAGGCCTTCATAGTCAATATCTAATGCTAATTGAAGATAAAGTAGACCTTAGACAATAAGTTTTGTGTATTGTAGTATGTGTAATGTTCTTGTATTAATATGTATTTGTAGTGTCTTTATAGACCGTAATATACATAATGCAAAATACGTTTTCACCAGAGGCTACATTAGAATGTTCAAATAATGCTGTGCCCTTTCTCAAAACTCATTTTTGAGAACAAAGATCTATAATTACAGAGTGCTCAAAAAGTTCTGTTACAAATGTATTTGAACAATTTTTTACTTGGGTACCTTAATGTAAAATGTATTTGAAAAACCTAATATTACAGTATATGATTTTTAGCAATTACGACGCGACTACCCGAGTATGAAGTCGTTTGTAGAAAGTCTGGGAGACTCAACTGATTCAGAAGGTCATAGTCCACGCTCAACCGAATCTCAACGGACTTCTGGCAGTTGTGACAGTGGCTTTGCTCAAAATACGTATGTTTTCTTAAAGAATACTCTCTTTTCTTATTATAATATATATTTTACTGTATATCTTCAGCCATGAGAAGCTTACCACAGTAGGGTCTTCTTAAGAAGTACCCTACATAGCAGCTACTAGGTTGTTCAAATACTTCCGGCCCCCCTAAACCCGAAAACTTGCTTTCAAAAAAGACGGGTACAGAATTATTTGAACAACCTATATTATATGTTTGAAAGCAAAAACTTCTTAGATAAGCTTTTTTAGCTGTATATAGGTTAATATACTAGCCGCTTGCCTATTACAACATGACCTTTTTCAGTGACAACATCCTGACCTACAGTAATTTCCGCAAGCTCTCCTTGGAAGAACGTCGTGATGCCAGAAAGAACGTTTTAAACTCGGGCCACCTAGTCGAGAATACTTTGAAGAATCTGACGACGCAATTCAATCCAGTACTACCTAAACCATCGTGGACGATGAGATCAAAAGGGCCGTTGGACTCGGCCAATCGACCACAAAGCTGTTTCGGTAAGATGGAGAATGAAAATGGCAGTAGTCGACCGTCGAGTTTGATTGTGACTTCGAAACGCGGCTCGCGGATTCTGGATTCTTTTGCTCAGTTAACGCCGCCACCAGTTACACGGAAGTTCGCTACCGTACAACCACCGGTTGGGGGTGATGGTAGTGCTAGAGGTCATGGCAAGGTTAGGCATAGTGACGTTAAAGGTTATGGTACTGATAGAAACGATGGCACAGTTAAGCATGGTGATGTTAAGAGTACTGGAAGTGTTAGAAGAAAAGATGGTGAAGTTGGTACTAGTGGTACTGGTGGTACATTTAAAAATTATAGTACTCTTGATACCAAAAGTTCGAATCAAACTTATAATAAGGTTGGTACTATTAGAAATGATGAAGCTGGAGCAGTTAGTACTAACAGTACAAGTATCGCCAATATCCATACCAAGCCTTATAGTGCAGTTAAAGCCTATGGTACAAATAGAAGTCATGATATAGTAAAAAATGATAGTACGGCCAAGGCTGATAGTACAGTGAACCCCAATAGTCGAGTCAGAGACACGTATCAGAGTATGACTAATGGTACTATTAGTACTGCCAGGATTAATGGTACCATACAAGCTGATGGTCCTCCAAAGATCATGGTCAAATCAAGCCCACAGAAACGAGAATCCATCATTCAGCACTGCCCAGAGACCCTAATGTCAAGTAGAAACGTTCAGAAGGCTGAACTTTGTAATCCTTCCCAGTCCAATACCCACAACAACATCGTATCTAGTACTAACAACACTATGGTCGATAACATAAGCAGTCCTAGTACTGATCTACCTAAAACCCCCTTCTCTACCTCACCAACCTCCGCCTTCCACAATGTTTCGACCAATCTAAGCTCCAGAACGGCCAATAACAACACACCGTGCCTTCAGAAGGGCATCAAGAAGACCTCATCGTTTGAGATTCCTACTGTAACACAGACTGTGGCACCGTTTAATTGGAAGAATGCATCGATGGTCGATGAGATTTACAGAAAACCGTCGATGGAAGACGAGTTGGAGAGAGTAAATTCATCGTATCTTCCACATACTGAGTATAATAGATATGGTAATTCATCTACATTGCATAAAAGCTACCGTAAACCACCTACGGTGACTAGTAGTTACTGTAACCTACCTACAGTACAAAATAATCACAGTAGTCAAACTACAGGACACAATAACTACAGTAGTCACCCTACAGTACAAAACAGTTACAGTATTTCAACTACAGCTCTAAATAGTTTCAATAGCCAATCTACAGCTCCAAATAGTTACAGTAATCAACCTGTAGTACCAAATTCTTACAGTAATCAGCCAACACTATCAAATTCTTACAGTAATCGCTCATACACGCTAAGAAACGACAAATCTTCACATACCGTGAAGAGCTATACCAAACACCCAATTCGGACTTCAGCTTACGAGCTAGAAGAGCATGATTACTGTGGTAGTAACTATAATATGACCCAAAATGAAAGCAGAAAGACCTCAGAAAGCCATGTTAATCAACTGGAACAGTAAGTTAATATAACTTTTTGTAATTTACTGTAGCTATTAAATTGTTCAATTAATTATGTGCCCCTCTCAAAGAACATTTTTAAAAAAAGAGAGCACAGAATTATTTGAACAACCTAAAAATTTTTAATATCTTACCCTTTTCAATATATTAAGCTGTTCACATAATTCTGTGCCCCTACCAAAACAATTTTTAGGTTAAGCACAAAATTATTTGAACAACCTAATATAATTTTCAAAAACTCAAATTTCGTAAGCAAAAAATTTTTAAAAAATTTAAAATAATTTTTAGCCGCTGGCAGAAGAGTGTAGCATCAGAAGCGCCAACAATTCAAAAATGTGAGCCAAAGCCGGCTGCCAGATCTAGATTAACTCCACTGCCAAAACTTCAAAATGCTACACTAACAGCTGCCAGTAACTCAGCATCTAAGTTCACTTCTTCTTGTTCTATTGCCATCAGGTAGGTTTCTAGCATTTTATTTAAAAGCGTACTAAACTGCATATCAGAACAAACTTTTTCTCAAAAACAACTATAATATTTACTTCGATATATAATTACCATCAGCATTCGCACAATCATTTTAACGTTTTTCACGCTTTCTGATGCCAGTAACGTAAAATTCAGAACTATGGAAATAGCTCATTATTTTTTGAACAAAATGATATAAAAAATTTATAAATTTTCAATGTTTTCTTGATGGGACCATATTCATAAATATTTTAGGTATGAAAACCATATTATACATTTCGTATTTTACATCTTCAAACCCAATTTATAATAAAAAAATCGTTTCAGTGTGCCATCGAAGAACCCAAATCGACCGGTAATTCGCGTTCGCCGACCCAAAGAATGGCATGAATCTGACTTGTGATAACTTGTGTTATATACTACTTATGATACAACTAGTGCAACGCGCCGTATTTTACATTCCAAACAAACAAACCTCCAAAGATGTTATGGTTTACTTTACTATTATCTTGTACAATCTAAATTAAATGATATTATGTTACGTTTGGTATGAAAGGCACTGTTACTATGATATTTCATTGAAATACGCGTAAAATGACCGTTAATTTGTTACAGTAATCAACCCACTATAAGACATGGAAAAAAGTTAAAATTACAGTATATTATGCTTTGAAATGTTACAGTATACAAGAATGGATGCTAAAAGTTACAGTATACAAAAGCTAAACTCTAGTTACAAAATAATGAGTTAAATGGTGTACGGTAAGTCACTGTAGTTATTACAGTACTTTACGATTTTACTTAAAAATAAAAAATTAAAGGTTACAATATGCCTTACCCTAAAAACTTCAAAAAGTCTACAGTAATCGTATAAAAAAAGCAAAAATACCCGATATTATCCATGATAAACGCAAAACAAAGACCAAAACCTAAAGTTCGTCCCTAACATGGGACCATCCGTATTGTCCTAGCACTCGCTGCACCAAATCGACCAGTTGATTCGCTTCTTGAGCGTGTAATCGGATCCCGCCGGCAGGATTTCGTCGACCTTGTGAGTACAACTTGATGGTCGGATAGGCTTGAACGGCCGCTTGTGAGCACAAATGAGCATAGTCAACACAATTCACCTTCCCGAACTTGACATGACCTTCCAGCATCTGAAATTTGAATATACAGAGTGCGCCACAAGTTCTGTTACACGGTTTTTTAATCAAACATTTATTTTAACAACAAATATAAATAAAACAACAACTAAAAATAGTAACAGTAATTTAAAAACAATGTTTAAACAACCTAACAAACCCAATAAATAACTTACCCTAGCCGCTTGCTCATAAACCGGAGCGAATTGTACACAATGACCACACCATGGAGCCCAGAAGTCAATCAGCCACGGTATTTTGACATCTTCGTTCATTACAACATTCATGGTTTCATCGTTTAGCTCCTCAACCACTGACGGTAAGTATTGACTGAACCATCTTATCATCGTTCGATGGTCTCTCCACCAGTTTTGGGGGTAATCACTGTAATATTCAAGGATATATTAACGTATTAGATTTTTCAAATAATTCTGATCCCCCTCTCTAATTTTGAGATTAGAAGAGCACACAATTACTTGAACAACCAAATAATATCATATGAACGTATGAAATGTAATTTTATCTTATACATAAACGCATAATATGTAGTAAAATAAACAATGCAAGAGTCGGCGTATTTTACAAAAAAACTTACAATGCCTGTCCACCATTCATAGTATAGACTCTGACAGTCGGATAACCTCTGATTCCATTTGATTTACAGAGTTCTCTATGTTCATCACAGTTGACTGTGCCAAAACTGATCATTTCGTTCTGTTCTTGCATCAATCTGGCTGCTTTTTTGAATTCTGGTGCTAGCTAAAGTAAGGTAAGTCATAGAGAAGATAACATAATATATTGTGTCAAAGGAGACGAAGAATTAAGTGAACAGCCTAATATAAAGGTAAATTAAACATAGATTAAAGGCATAATATGATATATATGCTATATAAAATAATTTTATGTTGTTCAAGTAATTCTGTGCCTCCTAACTCCCAAAATTTGCTTTGAAAAGGAGGAGCACAAAATTATTTGAACAACCTAATAATTAAACCAAAACTACAAGATTACCCTACCTGCTGACAAGGGCCGCACCACGGTGCAAAGAAGTCGACCACCCATATCTCGGTATCTTGTTTCTGTACAATAAACTCATCAAATGATACTGGGTTCAGCTCCACCACTGATGGATGGAAGGCTTCTTGAACGAACTCGACTACAGCATCTTTACCGTGGAACCCAATTAGTTTCGGAAATACTGAGCCATACAACAACATTGATGTTGGATAGGACTGTACGTCATGTTCTTGACACAGCCTCTTGTATATATCACAATCAATAATTCCAATTTTAAGTTTACGGCCTTCTATGTCTTCTGGAAGTTGTGATAGCTCGACCAATGACAACATACATGGGTGGCACCACTGAATGTAGAGTAAATTAGACATAATGACATTGACCGCCAAGAAAATATTTTAAAATCACAAAAAATGCAAAAAAAGTTCAAAAAGTCGCAGTAAAACTACCCACCGGCGCAAAAAAGTCCACCATCCAGACGTTCTCAATGTCCTTATCGTACTTTGCATGTAACTCATCAAACAAATTCTCCGTCAACGAAATCATCGACGTCTTCTTGGCCGTTTTCACAAAGATCAGTGCATCTTCCATCGTATCCTTTCTACCATAACTTATCAGATAATGTCCTGAAGCCCTAAACAGTACCACTTTTGGCAGTTTTCCCAACTGTAATCCATCACAATTGTCTGATAATGTACCACAATCAGCCACTCTTACTATGGTATCTTCTACCAGATATGGTAGCTTTTTATATTCTCCTGTTTGATAGGTTCTGACGTTATCTGATGTTGTGAAGATGACGAGTTGATCTTGAGGCCTGGTCTCTTCCATCGTGTCCAATAGGGTTTTGTATTCTTCGTTTGTGAGTTCTTGTACTGGGTTTAGTTGTTCAATCACTTCGGCGTAAATGTCATTGATTTCAAAGCCATTTATTACCTAGAAATATCAAAATTAATAAAAAATAAAACAAAACAAAAAATTTAAAAAAATTTCTGAAAATCAAATTTTACAACGCTAACAAGCAAAAAAAAATACCTGAAAATAACATTTAAATAGTGCCTAACGTTTGATTTAGACTTTAATCAAAGTCTTTAAAATTTTAAAATGCCAAAAACAGCAAAAAGAGCCTTAGCCCGATGCGGGGCTCGAACCCGCGACAGCCAGATTAAGAGTCTGGTGCTCTACCGACTGAGCTAACCGGGCACACTCTTTTCTTTTTTATTTTCGGTGATCAGAAAGAGGAAAAAGAAGGCCTAATTTTCCGTTTTTTGCGTGAAGTCAAACCAAAAAATAAATTTTCTTTTCAAAACCCTAAAAAACGTTTAATATGATCTATATATAAAAACTATATACCTTTAAGATCATAAATAGACTTACAACACCATGACCTTTGTCCAACTTCCCAATCGGATAGAAAGCCATGCCATTTGAACGCAGATTCTCACACAGTCTGTCAGGATTACTGCCACAATTCACCACACCCACATTCACCACATCCTTGAGTTTGTGTGCCAACACTTTTCGTTCCATCTTATCCATGCAGCGGTCGTTTTCGTCGCAAAAATCGACCAACCAAGGCCGATTCAGGTATGGTTGCCATTCCTTGGACAATGCTTCGTAGTTTCTGTTGGTTAAGTGATGGATTTCGACTCGGATCATCTCCACAATAAAGTCGGACAGAGCCTCGAGAGTTCGTTGTCCTTGGAAGAAACCGTGTTCTGGGTATACGACCAGAGAAGGGTATCCACGAACATGTTGAGATTGACAGAGTACTGGGTCTTCGGCACAGTTCACTGCTCCTACTTTGATTGTTCCGTGGAATTTGCGGGCAAATTCACGCCACTAAAATATTGAAAATTTGAAAAATAAGCAGTTTTAAATACTTTTTTCGAAATTTTGTTTTACTTCACGAATAAAAATAGAAAAGACGAAAAATTTACGGTAGGAGCCAGCTCATGGCAATGTGAACAGAAAGTTGAGTAAAAGTTGATGAACCACAAGTCACCACTAGATGACACCTTTTGTTGGAAGTCGTTACGATTCAAAGTTACTATCTCTGGGTCATCGTCGTATATTCCTAAAATTATTTTAGTAAATCGAAGTAAAATACGTTTAATTGAGTAATCATAGTATGATAACTTTAAAAGAGCTACATATCTTTGAAAGCTACGAAAAAACTAAGAGAAAAAAGACTTTGACTAAAATTTAGGTTAGAGTAAACTTCATTACTATAACATACATTCTAAAAAATGGTTAAAAAAACTAAAATAGTCTTACCAAACTTGTCGTTGTAAAAGTCCCAACTTTGATATTGATTTCCGGCACCTTGGTCGTCTTTTAGGCCTTTTTCCCCAAACTGATCATATTTTCGACGTAGTTCAGGATCTTTTAGTACTTCATAAGCTCTGTTGATCTTTATAAATTCATCATGAGCATTCGGATTGTCCTGAAACTCTTGGAGTTAATCAAAGTTTAGAGAAGAATGCCTCAAGACTAAATAATTTTACCATTTAAAGCATCAAAATAATGTTTTCAACAACAAAATAAAGATTTGTAATAGGTTTTTCAAATAATTCCGTGCCTCCAAACCCCAAAAATTTGCTTTGACAATTACCACAGTGTCTTACCGGGTCCTTGTCAGGATGCTTAGTAATAGCCAGCTTTTTGAAGGCTCTTCTGATCGTCCTATCATCGGCGTTCCTTTTGACTCCTAATAACTTGTAGTAATCAGCATCTGATAAGATTATCAATGGAATAAGAAGTGAGCCCAGTAAGAGCTGCCGGAACATCTGAAACGAATAATTATGTTAGGTACTATAATTTTAAAATTACAGTAATACTTCATAAAGCTAAATATTAGGTTGTTCAAATAATTCTAAGCCCTATAACAACAAAAAATTGCTTTAAGAGGGAACACAAAATTATTTTAACAACCTAGTATTTAAAACTTGTAATCTTCATAACGCGTTTTAAATAAGGACAGTTAACTCTCGCTATAATTACCATCACAAGACTAATGTTATGAAAATTTTCTGAATAACATAACATATTTGATTAAAACAGATATATCGTCGTATTTTACATACAATAAAAAACAATAAACTATTCAAAACATCCCTTAAATCTCTCAAAACTTTCAAAACAATTTCTTAAAATAATATTATATTAAACTATATTAAGCCTATTAATGGATTAAGTTATTCAGAACTTTAACCTAACACCTTAAAAAGTAAAAACAAGTCAATTACAATGAAGACAGTGGTATTTAACCGGGTTTAAAGGACACGTCAGCGTAATTCCCTTGAATTTCGAAGCTAAGAAAGAGAAATAAGAACGTGAAGAGCAGATGGATCACTTCGAGGAACTTGTTTTACTCTTTTTTGCTCGCCAGATCTCCCGTGTTTTTGTAAACGCCTTTTGAAGGCAATTTATTATTTATTAAAATGAGGTTTTATATTTTATTAAAATAAGTAAAATACTTATAATTTAATGCTAAGATACCTACTGAAACTGCAATATCGGAAGCTTGAAATGAGACAAAGAAGTAAACCAGAAGCTTGGCCTAACATAACATAGTTTTTAAAATACAGGAAATCCCTGCAATATTTTTGCGTTAAAAATCGCTTTTAATAACGAAAAAGTTGGGAAAACTGGCACGCCCTGACCCCGCGCACCGTCGTTTCATCCCTTCTCCCCCTGATCTTTCTCTCCCTTAAACTGACCGCGAGATTCACTTCCCCGCGGCCAAACACAAACAGTTCGAGTGCAAGTTTTTCGCTCACGTATCTAAACAAACGCAAAGTAGCCAGAAGACGTCAAAGTTGACATTTGAGGCTGTGAAAATTTTTTTTTAGAAATTTACTTTAAAATCAGGTAAACCAAAGATTAAATTTTAATTTTTAAAAGTTTCAAGTAAAGCTGACAAAGTTTATAAACATGACTGATAAGATAATAATGATCTACAAGTTTCAGCCAAATAAAAAGTTTCAAATCCTATTTTAAAATTCCTCTGATTAATATTAGTCATCGTCTCCAATACTATTTACCCGTTTATTCTTTATAAAATCACAAATAAACAAACATAACTCTATTTCCTCAAAATATCTACATCCACATCAATTTCCAACCCAATATCTCATAGCAGCTCCTCCATCCATCCTTGCTTAACCCCAATTCCAGCCAAAATAAATCCAGATCCAATCAAAGTTCTAGTCCAATTTAATTGTTCTCCAAAGAATAGATAACCAAATGAAGCTGTGAACATGAATGTCAATGAATTTATGGTACACACGGCTTTGCTCAAGTCGGTCTTGATCACAAAATACAAAAACAATACCTAAAAATACAATAACAAAAGCAAGAAACTTACTGAAGCTGATTGGTTCAATAGAAATGGCAAAACAAATCTCCAATTCTTAAAATAATTAATCAGTTCCAGTACTGGACGTAAATACCAACTTGTAGTAGCTGGTTTTTTCTCTGAAAACTTGTTAAATCAAACGCGATATTAGTTATAATCAAAACGAATTTCATGGCCACAAGTTAAAAATCGTCTAAATTTGAACCTTATTACCTAAAAACCAGAACAAGATTAAAAAACCAATTAGAAACTTCTAAGCTCCTTCCTACCTTTTTCACCAGCATTCTCCTCCTTTTCCCGTGTTGCTTTGGCCATCCAAACATTTGTATAACCCCAAACAGCAGCCAACAACAACATTCCAACAAAATCTTGTTGTTCTGACATTATTTATGAGATAAATTAATTTTACAGCTAATTAATACGTAAAAAAGTAAATATGATAAAATTATAACTAATTTTAAATTTAAAATTAGATTTTGCAAAATTTCGAACAAAATTTTGTCCGAAAATTACAATTTGGGCGCAAGTCGACGGTTCGCTGTTTGCGAGAACATTTTATACGGAGTGTTTGTAAAATAAAAGGGCAGCTCCGGGTGTTTTACAAAAAGTACGATTAAATTATAAAGCTAAGTGTCTAAGTTTAATCTTATAAGTATAAATTCAATAATAATAGTTTCTGTTAGACTTACAGTACTTTTTATTTCAAAAACCGGTAATTTAATTATTTTTGAATAAAGTTCTTGTTTACATTAGACATGTTATTAAAACTCACCGAAATATGCTTAAACACAACATTAATTATAACTTGTACTCTATGAGTTTACTTCTTCTATACAATTAATCAACAGTACATAAGGAATTAGGAATTACATTACTGATGAAAAAAGAATGGCGTAGTAGTAGTGTAATTATTATACATTAATTGCATCTTATTCTAGGACCGAAGCGACCAGTGTGTCACAAAGAAATTTATTTTAACTTCCTCTAATTACCACTTAACAAGACACACATTATACTTAAGGAGTTGGTTAGCTACATTGTTGTTTGCATAATATTGTGGTAGATAGCATGGAGGATTACGGTTGCAGTTGAGTTTAAAAAAGTTGGATATTGTTTTGCAGTATTGTTTATCGTGACTATTACTATAACATATTACTATATAACTATAACATATATTGTTAAATCGTATAGTAGACTCATTATTGCAGCATATTTCCGTATAGTAAAGACATTACTACATCATATTCTCATAGTATAAGCTTTACTGTACAATAACATTCAAAACTAATCTTTACTGTACAGTAAATATCTAAAAGTTGTCCCTACTGCACAATATTTACTACACCTTACTATATAATCTACTGTAACTATCTACTACTTGTTACTACTTAATATACTTAACATATTTATTTACCATAGTTAATCTTACGTCATTATATGACGATTAACATTACATTACCGACCAACTAAAGTTCCTCATTAAGTAACGGTATAATAACCTGGGTTCTATACTGTCATACTGAGGATAATACCGGCGTTCTTGTGACTTTCTAAAACTGTTTTAAAGTTTTTTTGTGTTACTGGGTTTATTTTTTAAAAGATTATTATATTATAGTAGCAATTATAAAGTAGGGTTTACTATAATATAATAAAATAAAGCTTGTACTATTGCGTTGTTACTGAAACATCAAACATACTATTTAAACTACAGTTGTTGGAGCTATGAGGACTACAGCAAACTGAACTAAAATTTGGCTTTACTACGGTAGAATAGCCCATACCTTATTATCAACTCATATTCTACATTTTTATATATCTACATTCACTACAGAATACTATAACATATACAGTTTTATTATTGTAAAATACGACGGCTTTTTTAAACCTTTCAAAGATATTTTGTTTATATTATCATGCCAGACTTTGCAATGGTAAACGGCTCGATTGCCGTGATTGTCAGTCTGACCATCAACTCTTTGTTCGTATACCTCTTGTTCACCAAAACTCCAAAACAACTCAAACATTATGCTAGAGTCATGTTCATTCATGTTGTCAACGACACTAGTTTTATTCTGGCTTTCTACTTTGTTTTGCCGGTAAGATTTGTTTCTAAGATTGTTGTTTGAGGGTACTGTATTTTTCTATATGATACTTCTGTTACGAAATCTACACAGTCATAAGCCAAATAACTTTTGTTGTTATTAGGTTGTTAAAGTAGTCCTGTGCGCAATAATTCCAAGAATTTGCTTTAAGAGGGGCACAGAAATATTTGAACGACTTAATAATACCACTATTCGCGAGTATAGCCTATAGTCGTCAAATTTTTTCAATTTTTTGATATTTTGAAAACATTTTTTGATTGAATTTTAAAATTTTTAACTTTTTAAGACCATATTTTTTGCTTTTTTTTTGTTATTGTTAAAGTAGGGTAGATTTGTAGCGAAATACAACATTATGCCACACAAGAATACGAAAACAATTAAATTGGCAATTTGGATACGGAAGAAAAAGCAATTTTGTATTATATATAGCTGACAATTTATAAACAAAATAAATATTAACTAGCAAAACATATCTTTGTATCTAAGGTTCAACTTTCTAATCTGATTATGAAATTGGGATTTTAAACTGTAAAACTTTGGAATTGAGAGACAATTTTTATAATAATACAGTGGAACTCCTGTATAAATTTTCCTGTATATCGTCTGAGAACCTGAAATTTGTTTGTTATAAAGGAGTTTCGTTATATAGGAATTTTAAATGCACTGTGTAGTGATAGACGGAATTTAAAACTTGTTTGTTATACGGAATTTTCTTTACAATAGGGTGTTATGCAGGATTTCTACTGTACATATTATAATAGATTTTTTTTTATTATTTGAATTTTCAGAAGTTTTTCCCCCACAACGGCCAAGTTTTTGTGATTTTAACCAATTTCTCGAATTTATTTGGAGTTTACTGGAGCACTTGGATCACCGCTGTCTATTACTTTTTCGAAATTCTACAGTTGGCTTTCTTACCTTTGGACTTTTTCTACCGCTATCGTGTAGTATGCAAGTATGTTTTTCGGTGTTGTGGGTGTGAGTTGTAAAATTATTTGTTGTTTTATTGGTTCTGCATAGTGCACTAGGTATAAAATATTAGTACATAGTTTATTAGGTATAAGATATCAGTTTTTAGTTCAATAGGTGTTAGAAATTAGTAACTAGTTCATTTGGTATAAGATATTAGTACAATATTGCTGATTTTGCCCTTTAAGTGTTTAGTACAATAAGATACTAAAGAGAGCTTACGGTAACAAAAACCCAGCCAATTTTTGTTTACGTGACGATCTGGTTAAATAGCATAGTACCATAGTACAATACTAGAATCACAAGGACGTTATATGTATTTGAGACATAAATATAGATATTTTTTGATAAATATCTGTAATTAACACACTGGTCTTTGACGTTGACATACGTAGCTATCATGCCTAAACTGTCATCTTTTATGTATTCCCAGTAACTCTATAACATGTAATTTGATAAGTACAGTAAAGCACATGAGTCTATTCGGCGTTGATATTGTTAGAGATTAGCATAAACGTACACTTGAACCTTAATTAACGTACTTTATAGACTGTATGTTAGAATCAAGGATACAGTTAAACTATATTAGTCTAAAGACAAGACAGTTAGACTATATTAGTTGAATATAAAGTTTAAAAATGCACTAATAAATCTAAAAATACAGTAGTTTTTACATAATAAAGTGTAAAATATATTTTCAGACAACACATAATGTCAAGCAAAACTTTGGCTATCGTCGTGGGTGTAACATCTACAGTAATATTTTTCCAATCAATGATACTGTCACGGTTAATGTTGCAACAAACACCAGAATACGACATCACATTGAGAGCATTACTCAAGGTTCAAAAGCTGCCAATGTATGTCGCTACTAGTACTGTAAGTTGACTATTACATATAAGTAAACTCTTAATATAGGGTAATACTATGAAAGAAGTATATACCTCCTTGCTGCCAAAGTGACTATCACATGTCTCTTTATGTAAGTTCTTATAATATTTAAAATTATTATGCCCTGCTTTTAAATACTGTAATTTGATATTTTAGAACCCATGGCTCGGCTACACTAATAACTGTATGAACTTAATGTTGGTACTCTTTTGTTTCTCCATGTGTGGTTACGTATTCTATAAGATCCAATGTGAACTAAAACGAAGCTCTCGAACCTCACAAAACATTAAGATGGTACGACTTGAAAAACAAGTGACACGCCTTATGATCGTGCAAGTAAGTTGACTTCAATGTTAATGTATCAACTACCTTACGCTTTATACACTATTTTAAGTTTTAAATTACAGTAATTTCTAAACTACTTTAAAGCTTTATATACTACTTCATATTTTACTTTTACTTTACAGCAAAATCCTTTCTTTCTCACTATAAGCAACACACATTACCATTGTAATTTTCAGAGTATTCTACCTTTGATTGTCACATCCATCCCCTTCATAGTCGTATCTGGTTGTGCCCAGTTCAACATATCAATGCCAAGACTTGGGTACTTTAACAGTATATTAGCCACATGGAATGGCACTATAAAAACTATAGCTACAATTTGCGTCATTCCAAACTACCGTAACTTTGTTTATAAGAAAATACAAGTTAATCGTGTGATATCAACCTACCATACCAACGACCAAAGTCTCGCTTCCGTGAGCAATAAAATCAACTTTGTGAGAACGACGTAAAAAATATTGTTTAACTAATCATTTAGCTATGTTTAATAAACATTGTCATATTTTTAATTTGAATCAGATTTTATCTAATATCGACTACGTTTAACTATCTGAATGAAATGTCATGGCATTTCATATATAAATTAAGTGAAGCAAAATCATGTGCATAAGCATAAACTGATCTAGTCCTCGAAACCACAAATAGTTCAAAGTTATATGTAAAACACATAAAATTTAAAAAACTAATTACAAAATACTTCTTTATATTAAAAATTGCGTTTACGTCAAGTTCAATGTTTGATATTGTAAACTTTTGAATAAAAAATCGGAAGCTAATAGATATGGAAGATTCGAAATTACATAATAAAGTAAAAAGTCTTTCGTTAAAACTGATTATTATGCAATATTTAATAGATAAGTCCAAAGTTCAATATCAAAAAACTTCGCACGAAAAATAAATAGAAAGCCTCAAGCCGGTATTGGAGATACCACATTACCTAAAGTTAAAAATTAAGTGCCTTAAGCATTGCGATTTGATATAGATACACATATTTCAGCCGATTGAAAAACATATAAATACACGATAAATTTGCTTATTTTTCATTAAATTCAACATCAACAAACCTGTATGTTAATTTTAATAAATGTTTTTTTTTAATATAATTTTCTTAAAAAAGAATTTTCTTTGAATTTTATAAAATAAGTTAGTATAAAAATCGCCTAGTCTTTATTATTTTTTCGCTAGTATTATAAATATAAAATGGTTATTGTTAACAGATTAACAATACTTTTTAATGTCAGCTATCACTTTACAATTTTTAAAGTTTTGACTTTATTAATCAAAAAATGAACAGCAACACTTGCCTAGCTTTCCAATTTGCCGCTCCAGCCGCCGAGGACTCTTACGCTCGCTTTTACAAACTGCAAAGATACCCAATGTACAGCCCAGCTTTTACCTGCGGCCCAGTGGTATATTGCAGCCGGCAGACCGTTAGGAACGGCAGAGTTGTTTCACGGCGATACAACCGCAAATCTAAAAAATATGGCAACTCTTCCAACGACCAGTCCCGTGTTTCTTACGCAGTCCGGTCTAACACTACGTCCAACTACTGTTCAAGAGTGAGCACGCCATATTTGGCCCGGTCTGGTCTCCAGCATCCTCTAATGCCGCACACTAATGTAGATGCTATTCCCTTTTACCCTAAAATTTTTTTGGGTGAATGTGAAAGGTGGAACTTGCATATCAAAGAATAATAATCAAGAAGTCATTCAATGACGATGTATTAGGTATCCTAACTATAAACTTCCACAAACTTTTACAATTTATAACTTTTTTGAAACTAAATATTATTTGACGAGATTTGTTTTGGTTTGTAACTTGTTGCAATGCAAATCGAACGATATATAATACTTGTCTGTTTGTCTTTGTCTACTAGGAAAAATTTGGGTAAAACGTGACTGAGCTCAGTTTGGAGGTGCGATATCGCATGCGACTATGAATATAAACAAGGTAAAAGTGCTATTGAATGCCATCGTACGTTTGCAGAAGTTTTTAGAGAAGACGTTATAAGTGTTAGATATGTGCAGACGTGGTTTTCGAAGTTTCATATTGTGAACCTTGACCTTGAGGACAAACAACACAAACGAGGTCATGAAGTGACAGATGCCATCAATTGATCCAGTTAAATATCAATTTAGCATCAGTGGAGTTGTCGCATATTCTTCTCAGTACCCCGCAAACCATCGCAAAACATCTTCACAAACTAGGAAAGGTCAACAAAAGTGGCAGGCGGGTGCTCCACGAACTCAGTGATTTCAACATGGCGACAAGGGTCAATACTTGTGATATTTTGCTTCGCCTGTTCAAAACCTGAGAGTTTTTCGAACCAATTATTAATTTGGACGAAAGCTAGATACTGTACAATAAAACAAAGGTCAAAAGACAATAGATTGATATTGGTTCAAAAGCTGTATCTACTCCAAAACCTGACCTTCATGGTAAACAAAACCTTACGTTGCGTATGGTGGTCTATGACTGGAATTGTGTACTAGGAGTTTCTGAAGCCTAGAAATAATTACGACAGATGTCTACAATGAACAATTGAAACGAATCAACCATGCTCTCTACTTTCTGGGTATTGGTATTTCCACTGTGAAACTTTGACAAGATGCCGCTCGAACTCACAGTGCGAAGATGACGTCATAAGTTCTTGGTGAATTGAGCCGGACTGTAATGCCTAGACCGCCCTACAGTCCCGACATTGCTCCTTCTGATTATCATGTATTCAGAAGCCTGAAAGGTCGCATTGTTGGAATCCATTTCAAAAATGGTGCTGAAGTCATGTTTTGGGGTGAAGACTTCTTTAAGACACAGCTGACGTATTTCTACAGTTCTGGCATTCACGTTTTGAAGGAACTTTGTAGACAAGGCATAGACAATGTTAGAGTATATATCTCAGAATAATTAGTTTTATTTCGGTTGTTATAATAAAAATAAGTTTGTTAAAAAATGGAAGTTTATAGTTAGGATACCTAATAAAATGTTCTTAATTTTTAGTATAATGTGTAGTTACCAGTTCCTATTGTATTTAACTGCTATAATAAATAGTTTAAAAATATTTAAGTAATAATTGATTTAGCTAATATGACATTTTAAACCAATAAATCAACTCGTTGATATTTTTAGTATACAGTACTTTTAGTATTTGTATGTATAGACTTTAATGTTTTTAAGCCTTTAATTTTAAACGTTCTAAAATTTTAATTTGTTCCGTTTTAAAAAATTTCTTAGGATTATTCAGTTCAGTTTGTTAAAACGAATTTAACAGGCTAACTAGTCCTTTAAATACGGAAGTGTACAAGAATAGAGCTCCCAGAAGCTATTGCAGGGTTGAACAGGAAGTAAAAAAAGCAAGTAACTGTAACTAAGAATTTTAAATGATACTATCAAAAACAATGTTGTGAAAACGAGTATTAGCAGAATTAAGCGGCTTTATATATATATAACTTCCGTATAACGAATCTCTACGGGATTCTACATTTGTTTGTGATAATGGAGTTTCGGTGCACTGTAGTTTTAATGCACTGTGTAGTATTGGCGAGGGATTTAAAGTTGTTCAAGGTTTTTCGTTAGAGAGAGGATTGTTATGCAGGAGTTCTACAGTATTTATTTTTAGTTATGAAAATACATACAGTATATTTCTTGAATTGTCTAATTATTTGTTTTTTATATCATGGTTAATATGATGTTTTAATTTATAGTTAGACTTCTATGTAGTGTTTAAGGTAAAATAACGTAATGTTTCAACATTATTGTCAATTTTTGTACTACTTATTGTATAATCTATATTTCACAAAACATTACCGAGCTGCATAATACAAAAGATGGTTTCTAATTGTACTCCAAGACACCAAAATCACATGTAAATATTAATACAATTAACTGATGATGCTGAAGGAAATTGGCAACTTATCCGCCTACAAAAATTCGAGTTTGCTTATTGAAGGTATTATTGACGTTATCATGGCTATAAGTCATTGTTCTTTGACTAGTTTAACATCCTTCTCTATTAGACTGCTCCCAAAGTGTAGTCAAGTCCGGGTGGGAGGTGGGGCTGTGAGGTTACGTCCTTAATATAATACTAAAAATCATAAAAGTGCAATTAAAAATTTTTTAGAAGTGTATAGTAACTTCCTATTAGTACTACAATAGACAATTTTGAGTTTTCAATTGATCATACACTTGTAATTTGAAGTACCAAGAATTAGTTTTTAAGCCGTTATATTTTGTTCCTGTTTTATTCAAGTACTGTAAAGGATTAATTCCTCTAATAATTTACTTTTGAAGTTCCTATATATTCAAATTTAAATTCAAAGTCATTCATATGTCGCTTAAAAACGATTATACTGAGGTGAATACGGTGCAAGGGTATTTGTATCGGGTTTTTGTGGTGTTGGTCTAATCGAGGCTTGCAATTTTGGTGGTAGCGTTAAACCTATGCTTTTTTGTAGTCTTGGAATTGTAGGGCACTAAAGGAAAAGTCGATTTATACATCTAGCCGGTTTGAGGAAAACTAGTCTCTTGACATACGTCTATTTTTTCGACGATAGGGTGAGGCAACGTGTTATAGTTTGGTTTGTTCTTATGTATATAAAAACAAAACCATTTTATGTACAAAAATAAGGTTGTCTATGTTAAGCTTGTATTTTTACTTTTTATTTTTCAATTTGTATTACATTTTTTATTATTTTAAGTACATTCACTTTTGTTATCGCCACCTTACAAAAGCGATCATATTATATTAATTACCGGAATTTTTAAAAAACTGCGTATGTTACACTTTTGTTAAGTCTTGCTACATATATATAGCTACAAGCATATATTGTGCTGTGTTTTTTGTTTGACTTTGTATGTAAACGAAAAAAATGTAAAGATGCTCTACAGTGTAACTTCGTGATTTGTAAAGACGTCTTTCTTTTACTTATTAACAAACATATTATAGTTTTAGAATGTTGGACTTTCTGCAGATTAGTGGTTCTCTCGCTTTGTTTGTTACAGTAGTGTCTCATGGAATGCTTCTATACCTACTGATTAACAAAACTCCATCTAGAATGAAGCATTATACTAGACTGTTGTATGTTCATCTTGCTAACGATTTTGTGTTTTCTATGGCTTTTTATCTTGTTTTACCGGTAAGTTCACAGCATATATTTATTATAGTATTCAATGTAATAATGTATAATATTGATCTTAATTTTAATTTTTTTAAATTTTAAAATTTCAGCACATATTTCCATTGCAAGGACAATTATTCATTGTGTCAAGTAACATTGCTGAATTACTAGGCTATGATGCTAATCTGTGGTTGACTACAATGTACTTTTACTGTGAAGTGCTACAATTACTGTTACTTCCATTGGATTTTTATTATCGTTACCGAGTAGTGTGCAAGTAAGTTTATCATCATGCTTATCGACAATTAACCACTTGTTATATTAAGTTGTTCATGTAATTTTGTGCTCTCCAACTCTAAAAATTCGCTTTGAGATAGGGCACAAAATTATTTGAAAAATCTAATAAATAGTACTCTTCAAAGTTTCAAATATGGCCTTGAAGCTAAGTATACAGCACAAAAAGCTTTTAATAACAAAATTTTTGTAGTAAGTAAAAATGACTTTATATACGTATTTTCAGAGAAGATATAATGAGCACAAAGAAGTTGTTTACCATAATTACCGTTATGTTATTGTGGGTGTCTATGCAGAGTACGGTGATGTGCCACCTGTTAGGACATTCAGAAAATGACAAAAAACTACTTATGGAGGCTATAAGCTTTGATGAGTTACCTATCTTTGTGGCTACTCAGGTAAGTAAAGAAATAGACATTTTGTTGTTACCTATGACCTAAAAGAGATAGAAAGTTATATATTGCACCTTGATTAAGGAAAGGCTTGGAATGATGATAACAAAAGCCTTGTATTTACGATGATAAGAAACTTAAAGATTAATCAGTAAAAATTCATTTTTCAGAATCCATTGGTAACCTACATAAACCAAGTAATGACTCAAAGCGGAGTTATTTCTTGTTTTGCCATGTGTGCCTATGCCTTTCGTAGGATCAATGCGGTTTTACGTAGGAATTTAGACACGAACAAAAAGAACAAAACCAACAAAATTGAACGTCAGATTACTCGGTTAATGATTGTACAAGTAAGTTATTCAAATTATTTTGAGCAAAATCACTGTCAGAAGTCTGTTGAGATTCTGGTGGGCGTGGACTGTGGCCTTCTGAATCGTTTGAGTCTCTTAGACTTTACACTCAGGTAGTGACGACGTAGTTTCTGGAAACCGTATACTATAATATTAACTTGTTTATATAATTCTGTGCCCCGTAATTACAAAATTTTGTTTTGAAAGGGAACACAGGATTATTTGAACAATCCAAAACAAAAAACATAATTTTTTTAAATTTTGTAAAATACGTTTTTCAATCGTTAATACTTATTTCCCTACAAAACCAGCAACGTAATTAATAATAGTCAATTTTAGAGTGTAATACCCGCAATATTAGTATCACTTCCATTATTAGCCACGAGTATTTGTACTCAACTACAAATTACCCTAACAATACTGGGTCCAATAAACCAAATACTCATATCGTGGAACGGAGCTTTGAAAACTATTGCTACAATTCTTGTGGTTCCAAACTATCGTAACTTTATATTAACAAAGGTGGGAAGAAGAAAAAGTGTCACAACGATTGTCACACAACTTTCTACCAGCCGGACTGTGTGAAATACTATCATCTATTAAAACATTGTACACATTGCATCGTTTGGGTTATAATTATAGAGCAAGACCAGAATAAATAAATAGTTTTTTAAATTTAGCATGAATTTTTTCAAGCTGTTGCTAAAACAATGTCACTTTTCGAGTAATAAGGAAAGTGCCTAACCGAATTAGATCAAAGAGTTTATATGTAATCTTGGTACTATTAATAGTATCCATAAAAAAATTAGCTTGCGTTTTTGAGTTTTAAATTTGAAATAGTTGGGTTTCTCGCCAATTTTACAGACTTGGCATTGTGTTTCAAGCACTTTTTTGGCTTTCTAGACAAGCCACGCTTACAAGTTTAAAAATGTAGGGTTGTTTAAAGGTTTTTTACTATTACATCAAAAAAATGCCTAAAAGTCAAAAAAATGGCAAAGTTATAAGCTTGAAACGCAATGCCAATTTAGCGAAAAATTCAACACTTAAATTTTTGGTCTTGGTTTTCTTATGATTGGCTGGAAAGAACAATTTAGTACTTTTCTGAAGACCTTATATTTACATGGTATTTTTTATATGTAAAAGGTTCGATGTCAATCAGAGAGAAGCATGTTGAGCACTTTCCTTGCTGGTTGCTTCAGGACTATTATCTTAGCCTGAAAAACAAAATTTTTCTAGTTTTTTTCCCAAAATTTCATAAAACTTTATTTTGAAGTCGAACTTGTTTTTCAGTTTGTTAATATTTACAATTTTTTAACCTTCGAGCGACTCTAAGTTTAAATATTAAATGGAATGTTATTGTAATCAGTTAAATACAGAAATGCAAGAATAAATTCGAATACGAAAATCGATTTTAAATATTAGTTCAACTCATATTAGTTCCTTACTGTCTGTAGGCTGTTTACACCAAAACATATCATTAAGATTAGTCTACAGTAAGGTTAGATACCAAGAATGTAAAGCATGGTCATTAGAAAGGTTTAACATGCTTTGGCTATGTAAGTAAAAACAAGATGACTTGTTAATGATATAGTAATCGTAGTGTGTCCCGCTTCCTTGTGTTATCAAACAAAAGCTTCGAGATATCGTGTATTTATACACGATAGCTACAATAGTATTGTAGCTAATGTAAAAGATACTAAAAGAGAGTTTTAAAATAAGGAACTGGTGGTAATTGTAACCTATCTTGTGTTTAAAAAGACTAAAGTTATTTTTGCTGTCTTGTATTAAACTATTAAAGTAAAGTATGGTTGAGTTATTTATGATAAGTGGTACAGCCTCAGTGATTGTCACATTACTATCAAATGCCATATTATTATACTTGTTGATTCACAAAACTTCATCCGCTATGAGACATTATATTAGACTATTGTATGTTCATCTGGCTAACGATTCATTGTTTTCTATTGCTTATTACCTTGTGCTGCCGGTGAGTTTAGTATAGACGTACCTACAAAAGCAAATTTTGACCTTTTTGATGTTTTAAACTTGATTTTAAACTGTTTTTTAATTTTAAATTTTGTTTTTTTAGTAGTTTGTATTATATTGTTTAACGAATCCTGTGCTGCTTCTCAAAGAAAATTTTCGGGATTAGAGGGCACAGAATTATTTGAACAAAACTATGTATTATTTTTATGCATTTTGAATTTTTAGAAAATTATTCCTTTGAACGGACAAATCTTTGTATTGTGTAATAACTTGGCCAAAACTTTTGGTTTTACTTTTACATTGATTTGCACTTTACTGTTCTTTTTTGGGGAAATCTTACAGTTATGGCTTGTACCTTTGGATTTCTATTATCGATATCGAGTGGTTTGTCAGTAAGTTTTTTTTCCTTTATCTGGCCGTAGGGACGACAAAACCAAATAGTGTTTTTTGTTTACAAGCAATACTTACCTATACATATTTCAATATTTATTTCCAATTTTTTTAAATTTAACAGAAAGAGGAAGGCTATGTCAAGATTGTTTTAATGTTAATATAAACTTATTCTTCCTTGTCAGCTTTTGATTTTTGAACCTAAAAAATCTAAATTTTATTTTTAATTACATATTTTGTTATTGCAGAGAAGACATAATGACTACAAAAAGGTTGTTTACAACAATTGCATGCTTATTAGTATGGGTTTTTGTACAATGTATAGTAATGGTTGGTTACATTTTGAGGCAATTGCCACAAGATTTTATGGTTTTAAAAGCAGCGCTACAAACTGAAAATTTACCAATGTTTTTGGCTACTAGAGTGAGTTATTAAAATGGCATAAAACTTTTTTATTTCTGAAGTTTTTTCGTTAAAATAGCAAAACTAAATGTTACAGAATCCATATGTAACATACACTAATGAAGTAATGATTCTAATTGGCGTGACTTCATGTTTTATAACTTGCACTTATGTCTTTCGAAGAATATCCACTGCGCTACGACAAAACTCGTCAACCAGTAATAGAGAGAAAGCCAATAAAATGGAAAAAACTGTCACTCGACTTATGATAGTACAAGTACGTTTTTCTAAAAAAAGCCTACAATTGTAACTTTAATATTGTTATCGAAATGACTCTAAAAACTACTAAAACATGTCTTACTTCTTTTTAATTGCCTTTTATATTTCTAGGATTAAACTTAAACCGATATCACTTATCTCAATATCAAATAATGAGCCCGTATTTTTATAATAAGAACAACAATTTTAGAGTGTAATACCTGCCCTCGTAATATCAGTACCATTGATGATCACAGCCAGTTGTACATTACTTCAAATAACTTTACTACAAATTGGCCCACTTAATCAGGTAGTTATATCTTGGAATGGAGCTGTAAAAACAATTGCTACAATCATTGTCATACCAAGTTATCGCAACTTTTTACTTCAAAAATTGGGGAAAAAGAAAAATATTGTGTCAACTGTTAGTCAGCTTTCTACTAGTAAAGTTGGCAACTAAATAACTTATTATAATATGAATTACATATCAAATCCTTATAATCAATAAACGTTTACTTCAATTGCTTTTGATAAATAGGTACATCAGGTATGGCAAAAGCAGCTTCTATCCTTCTTTAGTGTAATATCTTACAACCATCGATTGATGTAATAATAGAAGTTTAAGCCGTCGAACACCAGCACAAGTCCTTCAAAACTTTTTTAAAATTAAAATACGGAAAAACCACTTAATATTATCCAACACAACCCAAGAACAACAAAACTGAACGTAAAAATTTTTATTTTTATTAAAGGTAATATTACGAGATAAATTAAAGATATGAACATGATCCCACAGATGCCCGGTTTGGTTAGCTCTAACAACATATCCGTTATGTCCGTAGGACTCGTTGAATGTATCGGTCGTTCTCCTTGGCACGTTTGCTTTCTCGTTCTGGGCTCTTGTTTGATGGCGAGTTGGGTGGTGAGATTGCCTTGGCCTGAAACGATAGCTATTATATCATGTTTCAAAAGGTATACTTGGTTAAAAAAACTACTTTCATTGCCGTATTTCAGCCAATCTTTAGTCTTTACAATCGTATTTTAGTTAACATTTCATTATTTAAGTCCAAAACTAACAATCTATGTAAAACAACTATTCGTAAGCGACAACAAGTACTGTAACATAATATCAGTTCCTTACCCTTTTCATGATTCTGCTACTCTCCCTGTCCGACTTGTCCTTATGATTGGGAGACTTTGGTGACTTTTCCTTCCTTTTCTCCTTTGATCCCTTCTCCCTATCCGCTTTCTTGATCTTCCTCTTTTCTTCCTTCTCTTCTTTCCTCTCATCCTTCTTCTCATCTTTTTCTTTCTTTTCCTCTCTCTTTTCTTCTTTCTTCTCTTTTTCTTCCTTCTTTTCTTCTCTTTTCTCTTCCTTTTTCTCTACTTTTATCATTTTCTTGGGCGCTACTCCTTTAAATTCTTCATTTGTGAGGAGTTGAACCTTTCGTTTCTTGAGATTAATCAAATATGAAGTTGCTAACACACTGAGATCTTCACGTTTGCCCTTTTCACGGTCTCTGACGGCTTCGGTATCGGCGGTAAGGTTGAGGTCATGAAGTTTGATGACCGGGAAATGGCTAAGGAGCTGAAATGTCATGATATTACATTAATAATAACAAACCTAAAATTATATAAAAAAATCATAAAAGTAACAACAAAAACCTAAAAAAATTAAAATTATTCCATTTTTAAGCCTTTTAAACTTAAAAAAGAAAAAAAATTCTTACCTTTTTAAGACATACGATCATGTTCCTACATAGTAAATACGACCCGTTGTTTAATGCGTACTGTGCAGCTTTGTGAAGTCGGCTTTGCCATTTGTAACACACATTCTTATAAGCAGCATAGTCTAACTGTCCACTTGAATTTCGAATTTTTGTCAAGAAACCAGGGAAACCAAGACATTCCTAAAACAATATATAGCTTGAATAATTGAATGTAACAAGTAAAAAATAAAAAAAAAAATTTTAATCAAAAACGTTTTTAAAAAATCATAAATATTTCTTAAAGTCAAAATCATAACCTACATTATCAAACACCTCCTTTTTGCCATGCCAATACATGACCTTTTCCAATAGTAAGCTCAAAAACTTTCCAAAGTTACTGGCTTCGCTTTCGGTTAGAGCTGCCAGGATTACTGTGATATCGTGGAATATCTTATCCATCAGGATCATCGTTTGGAAATAGGATGTGCGAATACTGTGAAGTGTTGTGATGAATTTGGCACAGAATACGGCGTCCATTTCGGAGAAAACAGCCCGAGGCAATATGCACACTTGGAGGAAACGATTGTTCTGGGCTGAGGAGGCTAGAATAAGATAAAAGTTAATTTTTTTTTAAATTTTACAAAATTTTTAAAATATTTTAATTTAAAAACTCTTAAAAAGTAAAACAGGCAAAAATGCAAAATAATATGTAGATACAGTTAACACAACATACCAGTAGCAAAAAGGAATTCCTTGTTATTCTGAAGCAGATGCTTAACTTGTGTTACATGATGTTCCATTTTAACTAGCTCCGCATTCAACTTGGTTTCCAGCACTTTTAACCTGTCTTCTTCTTTTGCCATTCGTTTCTTCGACTAAAATTGCAAATTTTACTATTTATTCAAAATGTATACATTTTTAAACATCTTTGTCTTTAAAAATCAAAAACGCAATAAAAATGTCTTACATTATCAGAGCTTTGTACATCTTCAGCTTGTTTCTTGACATTTTCAACTTCTTTGGTATAAGCTGCTTTGCTCACTTCTAAGTCGTTCGCTGACAGCATCCAGAATAATGTGAATAACCTGAAAATAAATTTTTATCAAAGATTACTTTCCTCTTAAAAAATCCATCATAGCTCTACGTCAAAATATTTTAAAATATAAAGCTCTTCAAATAAAAAGCTAATGCCTTACTTTGCACTGATATCCTTCCAGAACTCCGGCTTCTGTAACTTGACCATTTCCTCTTCAGCAGATACTAATATTTCGCTGACAGCCTCCTTGTACAACTCCTGTTTGGCCTCAGATCCAACCTTGTTGTTCTCGGCGATTTCTTTTTTCAATTTTTTCGTCAATTCGTACGTACTCTGAACACGATACCAATATACGGGTCTAGCGATGTGAAACGCAGTGTCTGGGTCCAATTGAAAGTCACCCATGAGTTGGCCAAGTTGAGGGAATCTCTTGGCATAATCTTCCATTTTACTGTTGGTTCGTAGGAAATTGACAAACTGTAGGAAGGTCGATTGACATTCATCTAGGATCTGACACGACAGTTTGACTGGAGCTTCCTTGGTTTCTTTGTAGACGATGCAATTCCTCTGTTGAGCCATTAGAATGGCCAGTGCTACGCTTAGATCAGAATTTTGGAGAGCTTCCTTTAGGCGGGTGACAGCCTTTTTGTTGGTCTTCTGGTTTATCGAGTTGAACACCTACAACAATATAATTTTTAATTGTTTCTATTTTTGTAATAATTTTTCAACTTATAAAACATCAAAATTTCTAAAAAAAATCAATCACGATATCTTCCCTTACCTCCTGTTTGAGTAGTTCCCCGCCCAGCAATCCTTGAATATGTTCTTCAGTCAGATTAGAAGATTGATCTACGCCTCCAATGGCTGTTACCACTTCTCTCAACACCAATAGATCCACAGACTTTTGGGCTTTGAGTTGATTGACAATATATTGAAGTAGTCCTTCGTATTCAATGCCATATCTTTTGTAAATTGAGCCAGTAAACGCTGCTAGCGCTGATAACCATGAGCTTAAGGTGCCATCACCAGTTTTTAGAGTTTGTTTGGCTGGATCTGATAGACTTTCAACCAAGGAGTCTAAAATAAGGTGGGTTAGGTATTAAAACTAAATTTTCATTACAGAGAGTTATTGCCAAGAAAATAACAATAACTTTCTTTAACAAAACTTTTTTTTAAACAATGACTAAAATATAATATATCAAGGCTTAGAACATTAAAACTTACAAGTAAGAACATCGAATGCCAATTCAGATAAGTACCTCAACGAATCCACAACTGGATCAATCAAGTTTTGAAAAGTCTGAACTTGAGCCAATAAGTAGTCCAAAGCAATTGTCGGGTGATTCAAACAAAGTTTTCCAATTTGTCGGCCAATTCTTTTCACCGAATCTTTGGATAATCGCCTAAAAACAAAAAAAGCATAAATTTCTAAACATTTTTTAAAAAATTTAAAAAATTTTGAACTCCTTGACCTGCACATGTCTTTTTATACCTATACCTATAATCACTGCCAATTTAAACCCTTTATTTCATCAAAAGATGACGAAAGTAAACTTACTTCATCAAATACCTAGCCCTTCCCAAGATCATTCCTTTTTCCAAACTCATCAGATAGTACGGTGTTGTATTCACTGTCTTCCATCTTCCGTACATTTGATATCTTTGATGGTACGGTAGAACTTTCAACAGAGACCACACTTCCTCACTGTATTTGTAAACAGGCTCGGATATTGTTAAGCCTGGCAGCAAAGCAAAGTCGATTAGTTGGTAAACCTTGTTTTTACCTAAAATTGTGGTGTAATATGACTAATTATGTAGACTTAGAGTTAATCTCCTGTTTCTATACGTATTTTACAATTTTTAAGATTTATACTGATAAAACTAGGTATTAAAATTAAATTATTTAAAAAATACGTTTAACCAAAACCAAACATACACTGAGCCTTCTTCTCCTCACTGTCATTTAGCTCTTCATCTGTTAGCATGACTTGTAGTAGCTTTACAATTTTAGTCGCTACTTCTGGATTACAGCCGATATTTGGTCCTAGTAACATGATTATTGGTGTGGCTTGTTGTTCAAAGTCTGCCCAAGTCTGAGCTTGATTAGGACGTTCAATATAAGCATCATACTTTCTTCTTCTTGTCTCTTTTTCATCGAAAATTGATGCTACTTTTCTAAAAAAAATTTTCAGATAAATCAATGTTAATAATTATCCGTTAGATTCTAAAATGCAGTATAAGTCACGCAGTGTAAAAAATGTTTCAATGTATTTTACCTAAAAAAGGTTCTTAATATACTAGAATTCACTATTTTGACACCAAAATTTTAAATTTGATGTCTAAAAATGATTTAAAAACCTCCAAATAACTATCTTTTAAAAGATTTAAACGACTCACTGTCTAAACAATGGATCAATTATAAATCCCAAGATCCTGGTAAGCCCTTCTCTTGCCCGCTGACTCTTTCCAAACACATAGTCAGGTGGAAAATAGCCAAAGAGTTGGTTGGCTATTGACAACGACCCCAATTCCAATGCGGCCACCAAGAAGCCTAGCTTTTGATTTGTGCCAAGCACCACGTACTGTAAATTTAGGAATTATTTTTAATTGTAAAACGTTATTTTTTAATTATAAAGCCTCAAAAGCAATTTTTTAAGTATGTTTGTTAAAAAATCTGCAATTAAAAAAAACTTTTAAAAAACGTTTTCAAAATCCAAATCCCCACCTCATCAAACTGTTCATCAGCCAACTTCTCGTCCTCAGACAACTGCGCTCTAACAGCATTGTCATATGTGACTTGGTTGTTATTGCTGTTGTCACCTCCTTGAGAACTCGAAGTAGATGGTCCTTGTGTCTGACTGTCCATAATAGCAATTGTAGATATCGTTAATGCCTTTGTTTGTCGTTTTTTAATCATGGCTTTCGCGTTACCCGCATCTTCTATTAGTTTTTGTTGATCTGGTGATAGTCTTTGAAACAACTGAAGCATATCCAGTAGACCTTCAAGACATAGAATCACGGCGACCTTGTAGAAAGTGTTCGAGGTGTGTCCAGATTTCTGAAATATTATAGTAAAGATCAGAAAAAAATGATAAAGCTGCAATATTTATAAAAATTCAAAAGTAAGCAATGTTCAAACAAAAAATTTAAAAGGTTCGCCATGTTCATTATAAAGAACCTTGTGACCTTCATAAAACATAAAGCAACATCGAAAAACAAAAACCATCCATACCTGATAGAACATAAACTTCATGACAATCATATCCCTCAAAATGTCTTTTGACAACTTCAGCCTCTTCAAAATGTTAACAAAGACCTGTTTTCGATTCAATTGATAAGCGAAACATTCCAGTATAACATCGACAACTCTGTTTGGATCCAGGTTAAACTGTCCAATTAACTGACTGATTCGTACCCACAAAGTGTTTTCAGATACTGGAGTCAGCAACTCTGTTATCAACTTAGAAAACCCTTCGGATTCCTCGCGAAGAAGGTTGAACTTGGTCTGCTTGTAGCTGAAAATAAGGTTTTGGTTAAAAATATTTTAAAAACTAAAAACTGTTCATTTGAATCCGTACTCTATGACTCCCCTCAGTAATTTGTGAGCGAATACGAGTGAATAAATAAAAAATATAAAAAAATGTTCAAAATTTAAAAAAAAATTAACTTACTAAACCTTCGTCCTTGTTTTTACAATCTTCCCTTTGATTTCGTTGACTCCCATTGTTGTACAATCAACTTTAAGCACATCTTCGGGCACAAACTAAAAAAAATATCATTTACACCAACTGCCCTTTAATCTATAACATCAGTTTTCATCGCAAACCCATTTTAATAATTAGTTTTTTAAATCCCAATAAAAAATTTTGTTACCTAAATTCTCAACTTCAAATCCTAAACTTACATGTTCTGTTAAGATTCTACCGAATTCTGAAGCTTTTTTACTTTGCTCTGAGGTTAAGCTAACCAACGATAAGTTGGCATAAACATCATAAAGCTGAGATCGAACTTGAGGCGAATCTATCTTCTTTATCGTTTCTATAGCTTCCTTTATGTTTCCATCCTTCAGTACAACATTCTCTACGAGATCAAATAACTGCACTGTTAGATCCACAGAAGATAGTTCCTAAAATAAAAAAAATCATAAAATGTAGTGATTTAGAGACTTTGAGAGTATTTGTACTATATTTTAGGTATTAATAATATCTCTGACAAAAATTCATCACTTTAGACCTTGTCAATGCTGCACTTCTTATCCCTCTATTCAATGTAATAAAAACCTAAAGTCAAAAGCAATTAAAAACAAAAGCTTACGTATTCTTCCAGTACAGTCAGTGGAACTTCTTCGGCTTCCATCGGAGTCTCTACATTACCATTCACCTGCTCATTTAGCTGACCGTCGACTTCCATTTCTAAATTGGCTATAAATTATATGACTTTATTAAAATTAAATTTATTAAGTCTGTGGCATTGCTCACACGAGTATAACACACGCTAAACAATAGCCACAACTCCATAACCATTGAAAAGTATGCAAATTGAGTATAACAACTTCACGAATTCCGATAAAATGTAAAAGAAAAAACAATTTATTTTAAATAATTAAAAAACAGCATTTAGGTCAAAAAAACAACAACTTCTGATCAGTTTCCGATTTGGTGGGACAGTTGGAGAACGTCACGGCATTCTGAAAAGACAAAGTTATCAACAAGGTAAAATCAAAAACTATACTTTACTATAATAAATTGGTAGAAAAACTATATAAACTGCCTGAACCCTTCAAATACCAAGTACAATATAGTTAAAACAGAACCTTTCAAAAATCCGCCAAATTTAAAAACCCGCCAGGCTCTAATACAAGGTATAATAATAAATGAACATACGTTCGAACTTGACTCTTTCCTCAACATTTCTGCTCTTAATGGTAGCGTCGTGATTTTTAATAAAGTAACTACCATCCGACCGCTTTTCCCATTTGTAGTGCCTCGCATATCCTTGGCATTCGCTATCTAAACACGTACATGATAAATAAAAATCCGCACCAAAATTTATACGCACACAATTTAATCATGAGAAAGTATAAAAAGATCTTACCAGAAATGCCGCCCAACAATCGTTTCAATTGAGAAGCATCAATCGTTTGAAAAGTGGCAGAGATAACCGAACATACATCTAAAAATAAATAAGTTGACGATATCTATAGCTATACTTCATCATTACCCAAACTTTCAAAATTATCCCTCCAAAACATAAACTATAAAAAATTAGCCGCCCAATCATCTACTGTAAAATATTATAATATATCTTCTCCTTAACATTATCAATAACAAAATTAACTTACAATGTCTAATAGCATCTTCAAACCCTTTCAAAGGTTGAAGCAACTTTTTGATTTCATCCGGATTCTTGAACTTTTCCTCCGCCGTATTCGAAGGGACATATTCACCATGAAGAAGCTTCCAGAAAACGCTGAAGTTGCACGATTCCAACAAAGCTCCAATGTCCATAACCTTGCGGAGGTCCTGAAAATACTCTTTCATCCTATTTGTAAAAAGTGCCAGTAAAATTAGTAAAAGCGTCCTTACTAGAATAACTAGCTAGTACAATATGCTTCACTAAAGCAATGTTAATGTAAATCTCCATATATTAACCCAAAAAATATAAATAAACTACTTACAGGAGAGGAAGCACACTTAGCATCAATCAAATATTTGGCCAAAGCATAGTCGTTTCTTGGGAAGACCATCATAGTTTTGAGAAGAATGTCTTGCACGTACCCTTCGTTGTAACTAAAACAATATACACAATAATTAAATAAACTTCGTACAAAAGTAATTTCCAGCTATATAAAAAGCCCATCGTGAGGCTTCTTAAGGTAATGCCAACCTAAATTTTAAACAAAATCTTCAAAGTAACTTACCTTTTTGGATTCAACTGATACAACTTCAAGGTAGTCAACAAAATATCCTTGTCGTACGTATCCTCTCTCAACATGGCAGTAATGCACTCTTGTAAAGCCGGAATGTGATTTGGATTGTAGCGGTTGACGCCCTTAATGTCGTCGGAGAGTTGTTCACGAAGTTCTTCGAATCGGCCAGCCATTTTTAATGTTTACAACCTAAAAATATAACATATCTTTAATATATTGTTAGAAATACTAATAAGAAGTTTTTCTTAAAATTTTCAACGTAGTAATTATAATTTTACAAAGGAATTACGATGTAAAAACAAGAAAGAGTAAAGCAAAGCGAAAAAAAAATATTTTGGGACGTTTTATAAAAAGAGAAAAACTTGACACAAAAAAGTTTGTTTTTTCTTTATGTCAAGTGTTCGCCGAATCAACATAACTGTAATTCGGCAAATACAAAATTTTTCAAAAGTAAATTGTAGTTACAGTTTGTTATTTTTAAACTTATTTAGGCTGAATTTAATATTTTAAAATTAAATGATTTTTTTTATTTGTTTGGCAAAGGTTAAAATCATATGCAAATTTTTAAGGACAGCCGATTTTAACAAACCGAGAATGTCGCAGTCTTGTAGTCAGTTTTTAATTGCGACAAAATCATCAGTAGTGTGCGGTTGGTATGTCTGAAGTTTTTGTGTTAGGCGTTATTGGTGCTGCCCTAATCGTATCATTAGCCCTTAACATAGTTGCATGGTTTGTATTAATACGGATCGCTGATGTAAGCCGTTGATTTAAAGAATATACATTTTTACATTTTACCCTTATATTTTACGTGGTTGTATTTAAAATGTTGCGATATCTAGCTGTAAACTAATAAAAACTATGCAAATCTTCCGAAAAATGAGAAAATTCTAATATTTTTTGGATATTTAGGCTTACGTACGGCTACATTTGTGGATAAACAAGTTGAATTATGGAAGACAAGTGTTGGATGTGCGGAGTATGCCTAAGTTGGCCCTACGTTATTGTGCTGGAATTGCTGGCTTTAGCATGAAAGACCTTGAGGACGAACGAGAGACTGAATTCAGAAGATTCACGCTAAGAGAAGTTGGTTTTTGAAGCTTAATGTTTAAATGGTTAGACAATGGCTTTAATATTGTTTTGAAAATTTTTTACGGTTTACATAATATAAAATTTAATAATAGGTTTACATAAAATACTTTTCACTTCCAGTTCGCTTTCCTTGGAGGTTCACACGAGATTGACAAGATTCTTCGTGAAAGCATTTTCCTATTTCAAGCCCCCAAGCCTGAAGTCGATGTTTGTTGCAACTACAAGTGTATTGGGGCGCCAATGGCAGGTGGTGGCGGCGGTGGAGGTAAGAATGAAGTAATCAAGTCAGCGGTCGAACCAGAGCCAGAAAAACAATCGCCGAAGCGAGAAGATAGGAAGGAAGAAGAAAAGGAAGACAAGAAAGAGGAGAAGGAAAAGGATAAGGAAGACGAGAAGCTAAAGGCGGATCCGTTCAAAAAGCCAGAGAAGATGGGCAAGGCCGAGGCTAAGGATCCACAATACCAGGTGAGTTTTGGAGGTTTGAAAAGCTTTGAATTTTTTTTTAATTTTAAAATTCAGATGTTATAACTTAAAACTGAGGACTTGCGCTCTGAAAGTTTTTTTTTAATTTTAAAATTCAGATGTTATAACTTAAAACTGAGGACTTGCGCTCTGAAAGTTTTTTTTAATTTGAGTTGCTTCTTAAGTATTATAGCTTTAAAATGTATTTTGTCATTTTACAGACATTGATGGGCTTGAATAACGACGTATTTGGCAATGACAAAGACAACAAGCCGGCTGACATTAAGGCACCTGAAAAGAAGGGCAAGGTCGATGCTAAAGATCCTCAGTATCATGTAAGTCATTTATATTTTGAGTGAATTTAAAGTAGGAAATCTCTTCCGGGAATGGGTCAGCCCATGGTATAGGTCACCTACGAATACGCAAAAAAGCTTTAAAATTATCATTTTTTGGAAGTACAGTTATACCACCTTTGGTTATATTATCTTTTTAAAACCATTTGAATGTTGTGACATTCAGACCTTGGCTGGACTTATGAACGATGATCTGTTTGCTCCAAAAGGTGGAGCTAAGATAAAGATTAAGGCTCCGGAAAATGCAAAGGCTGCTGATGGAAAGGATCCTCAATATCAGGTAGGAAGACGTTTTATTTCATATTTTAAAATGTCGTTTTAAGAAGTGATCTTGATTTTTTTAAACTAGATGATAATTTTCAAAATAGTCCTGGAGGTACCATTGGTACTCTTTGATTGTTATGACTATAGTTTTCGATTCTAGACTCTGGCTGGAATGAACAACGACGAGGTATTCAAGAAGGAGGAGAAGAAGGAGGCCAAGTCCCCATCCAAGAACAAGTTCAAGGCTCCAACTGATGTGAAGGCTGCTGATGGCAAGGATCCACAGTATATGGTAGGTCTACGAATTTTTCATCGTAATTTTGATTTAGTCATATATAATAGGTTTATATCCCTATATCATTAGGACTTGACAATACGATGGCACTAAACTATAATATCTTTTGATTATGCCATCTTACAATTATTTTATTTATCTCATCTGACCCTTGATATTTCAGACCCTAGCCGGCATGAACAATGACGAAGTATTCAAGAAGGAGGAAGGAAAAGACAAGGGCAAGGATAAAAGCAAGGACAAGAGTAAGAAGAGCAGCAAGAGCAAAAAGGGAAGCAAAGACAAGGGCAAGAAGAAGCCCGAGAAAGCTGATAAGAAGAAGGACAAAGAGGAGGACGAAAAGAAGGAATCGGACGACGAGAAGGACGATGAAAAGAAATAGGCTTAACTATGTTATTTGCAGTAAAATAAATATTTTTTTTATCAATTATGGGTAGAGTTATACGACTTGGAAGGGGGCCCGCTAGGCCCAGTATCGGCGCGGGCATGTGGGATCGAGGTCCCGGCTCCAATTAAGGCCTCAGAGCTTTAGCTTAGGAACGAGCCCTCGGTTCGAACTAAGGCCCTAGGGTTCTAGCTTAAGACTCGCAACGAAAGATTTGACTGGCCAAAGCAAACTTTAAAAAGGCCGGCATGAGTGGGCTGCGGGCGCGAAACCAAGGCCTAATCTATACATGAGAAACGAGCCGGGCCCAATTTTTTTTACATGGAAACGGGCCGGGCCTTGTTTTTTAGGCCGGGGTGGTGAGGGTTTGATGAAAACCGTCGGAGCAACTTATTGTAGCTGTTCTCAATTGGGCCTCATCTAGCTCATCCCGTTTTTCGAGCTACTGGGTCGAGATGAGGTGCTCTTCAAGACTTCAGATGGTAGTTGAAAGCCTGTGCAGGTCAGGCCACTAGTTTGCTATAGTCCCTGTGCACTTAGCACTACCGACCAGTAAAACGTAAAAAAATTTTTTGAAACTAAAGATTTCTTTATTTTTTTATATTTTGGCCACTTTTTCAATTTGTCACTTTGGAGGCGGGCGGTTGGTGTGAAAGGAATTAGAACAAGTTTACCATTATCTAAATTCAAGTTTGGACTAAAGTCGTAAGTTGTATGGCTGATTTTTTAATAGTAAAAACGTAGTTTTTATTGTATAAGGTAGTTCAAATATTTCTGTGCTCCCTCTGAAAGCAAATGTTTGGGATTAAGGGCACAGTATTACTTGAACAACGTAATAGTAATCATATCAAAGTTTTGGTTTAAAAGCAGTAGAGTTGTAATAAGTTATGTTTTGGCCTATTATAATATCATAATAAGAGTTTTTATATTAAAGTTCATCTTCAGAACATGGTGAGACGAAACACTGAAGATGTGACTCAAGACTGCGACGAGAACATGACGGCCGAGGAGAAGAAGGAGACCGGAGCAAAGCTGCATCTAGTCAAAAAGCCACGCCCTCGTAAAATCAAATCTCCCGGCCGAAAGAAGAGGGTATGTTATAGTATGATACAGTATAGTAGTGATCAAACTATTACAATTATAGATCAAAATATACTTGCGTTAAAGTAAAATCTGTAAAAGGTTGTCCACCTTGTTCATGTTGACATCAACGATTCCTCCCCCCGAAGAAAAATTTCGAAAAAAGTTGAACGTGGCTTCCCCTGTGCATTTTTCGACCCCCATAAATTCAATTTCAGAGCAAATCAACGACAGTAGAAGACGATATTACCACACAAGTGACCGAAGATGAGAATGAAGAATTGTCATTGGATGATCAGTTGAAACGAGAGCTGGCTATGGGTCTACCCATGAAAAAACATGTCATCAGTTTTGACTATGAACCGGGAACTTATGTAAGGTTTTTGATTTATACCGTTATTATATTACTCTCAATCATTTCGAGATTGGGTGTGGGTATGATAGCAAGGGTGCCGTCTGGGCAAGTCGAAAGGTGAAAGTGTAAAAGGATTAATTATATAATATTAAGTTGTTCAAATAATTATGAGCCCCTTCTAAAAAAACACTTTGGAGGTAAGGAACACAGAATTATTTGAACAAACTAATATTTTGAAATATAAAACAATAATTTTTTGGGTGATATACGCCTTTTGTAAACCTCAGCTTTATCACTTGACCTGCCCTCATCTAGTGAAAGGTAAAACTATGTAAAGCACCTTTACATACGAGTTTCATTTACATTTTTTTGTTTCAGATGGGATTCAAGTTGAATGACAAATGCGTAATAACAGAAGTCGACCAACGACCCAATGTGTCACCATTTTGGGACATACTCAAGGTTGGAGACGTGATATTGCAAATCAACACTCATGTGGTAAGGATTTTTGTTTAAAAAGTATTGATCGGTTGGTTCTTAAGTATGTACAACATATCTAATCATATATTCTTTGCATGGAATGATTGAAAGAATAGTTTTTACAATGTTATAATCAAATTTCTTTAGGTCATGAGTCAAGACGACTTCTACAGTTTCCTCGGCAAAACCCAGGGTCCCAAGTGTTTTCACGTGAATCGCGTCGTTCCAATGAAAGAAGTGTCGCAGAATCGCCGTCGGCGCTTGAAAATTGACAAGTACGATGGAGACAAGTACTTCACAGCCTACATCACGGCAGCAGCCAACTCCAAGCTCGGTATCACGGTGAAGTCGAATGGCTTTAATGTGGCATTGACCAAGGTTGAGGAATGGAGTGCTGGTGAGGCGTTTTATGACTTGTATTGAGGTATTCATACTGATATAATCGTATACTTTTGGGTATATTTGATGATATTATCATAGATTTTTTAATAATTTTGAGTTTTATGGGTTTGTTACTCTATGAAAATGTATTTTATGCTTTTAAACTAATATTTAAATGTTTTTGAAGGCTACGGTGTAATAGATATTGGTGACTTGATCCTGGATGTAAATGGAGTTCCAGTGAAAGATGCAGAGACTACCAAGTCGTTGCTGAGTCAATCAATGAAGAAGAATGGCTTTGTCACCTGTGTCTGTTGTCGCGCCATGACTATGAAAAGTTTAGAACGGGCACGGTAAGTTATTATTACTTTGAAGTAACATAACATAATATTTCCCAAACATATCACAGTATTACTTCAAATTGACTTATCTTATAAACCTACCTTTCTTGGACCAAAAGTACTGCTTACAATACTATTGTAAGCTCCACATTGTTTGGATCACTGTACCGAACCTTCACTTTGTTCCCGACACTGTAGCTTAAACCTATGTTTTAGTGAAGCCCTAGGACCACAAGCTTGCGCTCCAGAAGACTATGTAATGAGGCCAGACGCAGCCTTGATTGGCCGAATGGAAGCGATGCGGATAAGACGACATAAAGCCAACAAGAAGAAGCGCGGTGTCTATAGGAAAACGCCGAACAAGAAAAAACAGAATATTACTGTAAGTTTTTGCTCAGTAAAAAGCAAGGTCTTGTCCGATTTGGACAGAAACCGCCGTTACTAATCTACAGGCTTGTAGACAAGAAACTCGCCTTTTTTTCGGCGTTAAAAGATACACAACTTTTTGAATCTGAAGGCTTGATTTCAGTTGAACACAAAGCACAACAAGACACTGGACATCATGTCGGACGTGGAAGACTTTGCCCAATTGGCTCGCGTTCCCCCAGTCCATCACAATAACTCGTCGGCCAAAGAGAAAGTGAAAAACACGTTCCGTCTTCTCTTCGATCCCTTCTTCTGAACTCAATAAAAATTCAGCCCGGCGAGATATTTGATTTTAATTTTTAAATTTTCTTTGATATACTGATAGAAAATCGTTAAATGAACCTACGTTTTTGATTTCGTAAGCGTGCCGTATCTTGAATATCCAAAAACAGGGCTTGCAACACAATGCCAAAATTACTAAGTTGACGCGAACTTCAAGTATTTTTACTTCGAAAGTCAAAAGCGTGGGCTGAAATTTCGAAACAATTTTTTTGCGAGTTCTAATTTAAAATTTTGAAATTCATATTCAAAATGGTGTGAATATATTCAAATTATATTTTGTTTATGAAATTTTGTTCATACTAATGTTTTTCAGGCAATGAGTTCATTTCTGCTACTTTGTACCTTTGAGGAACGGTGGTTCACATCCATAAGTTTACTATTATCTAAATTTATACGGTTTTACACATAAGTAAGTTTTGACATCTTTATACTGATTTTAGGTATCAATTTAATTTTTTTAAGTTTATTTACTTATTTTACTTAAAAGTTTACTTCAAAAACGTTATTTTAGGTAATAAAAAATAAAGAATATTATTTTAGATAATAAAGAAACAATTAAAAACCTTATTTTAGGCAATAAATAATGTCTAAAGGATTGAAGAAGCGGTTTTTCGAAGATGGAACTCAGGATTCGGATGGCAACAATTCTAGAACTTGTCTTACTAACAGTACTATGCCAGATGCAACTGCTAAAGGAGTGTCGAGTCGGCGGAGAAAGACAGGAAAGGGTAATAAGGTATGGCATTTTTAAATTTAAAATTTTTGTTCAAAGGTTTTTCAAATAATTCTGTGCTTTTTAACCTCAAAAATTTGCTTTGAGAGAGGCTCAGAATTATATGAACCACCAGGGCCGGGCGCGAGGGGGGGGGGTTCCCCCACCCCCCAGAAAAAAAATTTTTTGAAAAAAGTTGAACGTGGTCCCCCCTGTGGATTTTCGGAAAAAAAATTTTTACAAAAAATCGGCACAGGTAGCTTTGTGCCGATTTTTTTTGGACCCCTGCCCCCAGACCAAAAGTCCTCGCCCGGCCCTGTGAACGACATAATATTTTGAAATTTTTGTTATTAACTTATGATTCAGGTCCTACGTAGTAAAATGCTTTAGTTGATAATGTTTATATACAGAATCGTATATCAATCGTACCTCATCAAGAAAAAATATAAACCTTATCTCATCACAATGTTGTTTTAGCGTTCGACTAGTACTACAATAACAACCTAAACAAGCGATGATGATATAACAAATGCAAAAGATGGTAAGATGAATATAAACGCTGAGTTATCATTACAAGAACAGCTGAAGCAAGAACTGGCTATGGGCCTACCTTTCAAACGAGTTGTCATACCTTTTGATTATGATTCTGGTCAGCTTGTAAGTTAGTTTTTTGATATATTTGTTCGGAACCTCTTAAAATGGAAGGCTTTCTTTGCTTATTACCCTTGCAACGCGTTGTAAATCTATAATATTAGTGCAGTAGAGTTAGAAAAAAATTTGAAGTAGAATTTTATTTCGGGCTGATTATTGCCTATCTTCTTACAACCTGGTCATAAGGGCAGGTAGGACCAGGTTCCAGTCTAATGATTGTCATACTGAAGAGGTTCGATTGTAATCTACTTTGATAGTTATTACTAATGAAAATGTTTTAGCTTGGTATGAAGATCAACGAGAAATGTGTAATAACCGAAATCGACCAACGCCCCCACACATGTCGTCATTCTGGAATATGCTCAAAGTTGGTGACATTATTCGTCAAGTCAATAAAACTGGTATGTTCTTAAAATGATTACTCTTTCTGGTGCAAAAGCTGGCGCTTTGAGTTTTCGCTTTAGAACGTTCTCGAACGATACCTAATATGTTTTACATTATATTGTACTGATTTTTGATGAACACTAGTCTAAACGCCTCATAAAATTATGAATAATCAAGTTACAGTAAGCTAAAGCAAATATTGTTGTAGGTAAAGGACCCGGACAACTTTTACCAGCTCTTAAAAACGGCAGAAGCTCCGAAGACTCTTCATGTAGATCGTCTCATACCAATGAAACCTGTTTCGTCCAACAGAAGGCGTCGCCTCAATCTGGATACAACGACCGGCGACAAGTTTTTCACAGCTTATCTTACTTCTACTGGTACTACAAAGATAGAGATGACATTAAAATCGGATGGACGATATGTAGTTGTGTTAGGAGTGGCTGAGGGAACGGCTGGTAATTATTTTTGTTATATTTCTTTGCTATAAATGTACTTTTATTTTTTGACTGAAAATTTGAAAAAAAAATTTTTAATTTTAGGTATAAATTTTGAAAATTAGGAATGAAAGTTTGGAGAAAAAAGTTATTAAAAGCAGTATCTATACTTTTATGACATTATTCTTCTATTAGGCAATAAAAATGTCATTTTACCCTTTCAGGTTACGGTCTAATAGACATTGGCGACATTATACTTGACGTAGACGGAGCACCAGTTTTGGACGCCGAAAAGGCTAAAATCTTGCTGAATGCAAACCTAAAGAAGAACAACTATGTAACATGTGTCACTTGTCGTGCAATGACAATGAAAGGAATACAAAGAGTTTGGTAAGGACTTCTTTGATTCATGGATATTGTAGTAGACTTTAGAAAAGTAAATATTATGGTAGATATAGCTTATTTATTGTGAACCTATTTATAAATGTAAAATATTGTTTGTTTAGTAATGTGCTAAAATATGAGATATTGTACGACACTCTGAACCCAGAAATGAAGCTAGACGCCGCCCTGATCGGCCGAATGGAAGCGATGCGACTTCGAAAATCATTCGCAAAACGAAGGAAAGGCGTCTACCGGAAGACGAAAGCTTTGAGGAAGGAGAAGGTTAATGTGAGTTTGCTATAAAGACTGGTGAAATACAATTATCTTGTTATTGGGAACTATGTGCACTATTTTCTAGAAACAGGCAAGATCTTTATTTGCACGGTGCAGACTAAACCTGATAAAGGTCGTGTGATACCTCTTTAGCTCCATTCCTATAGGGTTTTGTAATTAAAGCATGTTTTTTATATAAATTTGTTATTTGCAAGTTTTATTTACATAAAAATGATGTTGAAAACACTCGGCTATTTCATTTTAGCGGACCAGAGAAGAAGGTAATGGATATCGGCACAGATCAAGACGATGTAAGTGAATTGGTCCAAGCCGAAACAAAGCTTCACGGACAAGATGAAGAAGTTGTTGTATGACACATTTGACTACAATTGAGTTGATGTACATAAAGTTATTATGAATCATTGTTTTGTTTTTTTTTGAGGTTTTGAAATGTTGGCGACAGTGATAGTATTACGTATTTATTGGTAATTATCTTCACCTTGCTTTTACTTTTTTATACCTTAGGTTATATTATAGTAGATAACGATAGTAAATTTTTATATGAAATGTTTATCAAACGTTAATTTTACATTAATCGTGATCTACTTCTGACCCTTGTTGAACAAGTTTCGTCGTTGTCGATTGAATCTACATCTAGGGTCTTTTACATTACAACTGGTCGGTTCCACATATTCAGGGAAGTTAATAGCCATATGTTGTTGAGCCCTTTCGATCGATGGAAAAGTGTTTTCATCCTTGGAAATCCAGAATTCATCGATAACTTTCTTCTGTCTCTCAACCGAAATCTGTTCCATATACAAGTGAGTACGGTTGTGTACGTGTAGTACTGAGTAGCCGTAGTCAACGTAACGTGCCGCACTGCCTGGTACTGGGTTCTGGTCGAAGTAGGCGTGTTTTGTGTGACAGCCGGCTGCACCAGTGATGACGTAAGTTGGAGCTGGAGCATTGTGGTAGGGGTTCTCGGTAAGGTTGTATACTCTGCGGTAACTGATGGGGAAGAAGCGTTCGTACGAGTGTTGGTGGCCCCAGAAGCCCATGTCTACTCCGTTTTCGATGAAGAGCTTCTCTAGGCCGGGCATATCTTGGTAGCCTTTTGTGATCTATAATAATGTGTCCTTAACTATTCTTTGTTATTATAGCTATACAGGGTGCGCCCAATGATCTGTTACACGGTTTTTTAATCAAATATTTATTTTAACAACAAATATAACTAAAACAACAACTAACAATAGTAACATGTAGTACTAGTTATAACATAGTCAATCGGTTTCAAAGTGTCCCCTTTTGCGGCTTGGCACAAGCGTAAAGGCTTCAAAAAGTTCTCAGCGATGGGCCGCAGTACCTCCGGTGACACTTTGTCCCACTCTTCGATCAATGCTTGTTTCAAAGACTCCAAAGTTTGGTGTCTTCTACTACATACCCTAGCCTCCAATATCGACCACACACGGTAATCCATAGGATTGAGATCGGGAGAATATGGAGGCCATTCAGCATATGCAATGAAGTCAGGGAAATGGGTTCGACACTACTCTTTCGTTGATTTTGCTTTACGGGCGGGTGCAGAGTCTTGCTGAAAGACCCATGCGGCACCTTTGAAGCTTCCGAGCAAAAGGGAGTACCACAGCTTCCAAAATGTCTCTTTGATACACTTCTTTGTTGATCTTCACGCCTTCATCGACAAAAATCAAAGAAATCTTGCCTGAAGCACAGATACCGGTCCAAACCATAATGTCCCGAGGGTGTTGACGACTTGCCACGATGGATTCAGCTTAAGGAGCCTCTGTTGAGTATTATTTGTCATTTTGGGGATTGTAGGCCTCTGTAAAATGTAAATATCCCCTCATCAGTGAAAAGGATTCGTTCCCAGTTTTGACCAGCGGCCCGCTGCTGAAGCAGTTTACATCTTTCGAAACGTACCGCCTTGTTTTCTTCAGTTAGCTTCTGAACTTTTTTGAGTTTGTACGGCTTCATCTTAAGTTTCTTTTCCACTATGCGCCTCAAAGTAGATTCTTTGATTCCTGTCTCCCGGGCCATCTTTCTTACTGAAGTCCGTGGATTTCGCTTGAAGCGCTTCTTGATCATCTGTCGATTGGCCACGTTGTTAACAGATGGTGGACGCCCACTTTTAGGTCTGTCACAGTCATGTCTAAGCTCTTCGAAACGTTTTACGGCTCTGTGGACTGTCATTCTTAAAATATTCGACAATTTCGCGATTTTGGGGTTACTTTTTCCTTCATTATTTAATTTGATGACGGCAGCCCTCATGTTTGACATCTAAAAACAGACAGACAGTAGACAATGAAGACTTAACTTTTATGGTTATACAATTAAAAAAACACGGAGAATAAGCTGAAATAAAAAATTTTAAATAATTTAACCGCAACATTGAGAAAACGACCGGTAAAGTTTTGTAACAGATCATTGGGCGCACCCTGTAAATATGGCTTACACTAGGCTTTATTAACTATAAAGTGGGTTTTCTTATACCACACAGTAGTTTGTAACTAATACAAGATCCTTAGTATTCAATCTGACTATGAATAAAAGTTACTTACCAAAGTATTCTCAAAAGAATGACACTCAAAGTTATTGGAATTGGAGCAGTAGAATGGTCGATGTTGGAAAGTAATCAACCATGGTCTTTCCTGTCGCAATGTTCTTTGATATTCTTTCAAATGATTCTCGAGCCAAAAGTATTGCCTAATCACTGACTGTGGTCCGTACTCATAGAAGAAGCCATAGTACTCTGTACTAATAGCTACGAAATGAATTGGTCCTGCATTGAAACTGAAAAGAACATAGATTTTGATTTTGTAGTAGGCTATATTGAGGTAAAGGCTTTATTGAGTTAAAAGCAGGTTAATATTGAGGTAAAATTAAGTCAATATGAAAGTAAAAAAGCCTATATAAAGGTAATTTTACTATTTCTTCAATTTACCTTCTCTATCTCTACTCTGTATTAAGTTAGGTTCGCAGCAATGCAATTTTCATGACTTACTGACCTATAAACCTGGCTATCTCCAAAAGGATCATTGGGCATGTTAAACCGATTGACATAATGAGAGAAGTTCTTTCCATCATCCTCATGGTTACCGGCTACTACCATAAATGGCACTTTACTCGCTATTGGCTCCATTTGATTCATAAATATATCTCCAATTTGGCCATCGTTCGTGTGGAGGTCATATGCAAAGTCACCTTAAAATGGCATTTTAAATTAATTTTTAAACGTTTAGATTGTATAATACGAACAACGTGATCTTATTGAGGCTAAAAAATATAAAAAATCATTTTAAATTCTAACACTAATTAAAATTAAAAAAATAATGGCATACCAACATCAATAATCAAGTCAAACTCATTGTTCTGGGCAGCTTCCGCCAGATACTCCAAAGAAATGCCATTCTCTACTCCAAGGTCACCGAATATGCAAATTCGAAGACTATAGTCGGTTTTGTCAAAGGGTAAAGTTTTGAAGGTATATGTTTTACTCCATACTCCATCGCCTCCTACTTGGTAGTCTAAAACATAATGTTAATATTACACTTTTAACTTGTATTTAAAGCTAACGGCTAGCTAATTGGTGGGCCAAGTTTTAGCTTCTGAATTATTAGATTGTTTAAATGTTTCTGTGCCCTCTTTTCAAGCAAATTTTCGGAGTTGGAGGGCACAGGATTATTTGAACTAGATAATTTAGTATTTTTATAAATTTCTTATAAACCTCTATGTAAACTGCTTGATAATACCATTTACGGTAGGCTATAAAAATGATATTTTAACGATACATAAGTAACCCTTGCAGTAAAATTAAAAAAAGCGTAAAATACGAATTGATTCATTGCGTCATTATACAGTGGAACTCCATGTATAACGAAACTCTTGTATAACGAACAACTTTGAATTCCCGTCTTCCACTGTACAGTGTTTTGAAAACTTCTGTATAACGAAACTCCTTTATAACGAACAAGTTTCCAGTCCCCGAGCGATTCGTTATACAGGAGCCTGTAACTTAAAAAAACTTACAATAAGTCGTATTAGGTAGCAAATCTACCATAATAGCATTGTGAATGTATCGAGTAATGACATCGAACTTAAAGTTATGTGTTCGTCCCGTAACAGCCTTTTTAAGCTCCTCTAATTTTGTGCCATACCTTACTTCACTTATAGCTGAAATCAAAAAATTACGTTTTAAAAATTTAAAAATATCATTTCAGGCGCTTTTTAATCAACAAAAGAAAGAAAAAGCACACGAGGAAAGTACCCAAACGGCCTCATCAGGCAAATTTGGCGTTGTGTTGCAATTTGCAAACCCTTTTTTGGTGTTCTAGATAAGGTACGTTTTGAAATTTAACAATGTAGGTTTATTTAAAAAAGTTTTTTACTAGTATAACATAAAAAACTTGTTAAAAGCCTGGATGCAACAAAGTTGTAAGCTTGAAACATAATGCCAATTTAGCGGAAAATTCAAAACGTAATTTTTTAATCTCGATTTTCTCGAGATTTTCTAGAAAGTTTTTTTGAGATTCTGACTTTAAAGCCTATACCATCTTCGAAGGTGATCCAATGAACATTCATTGAGTTATCCGCATCTCCTAGTGCAATGTGCACTTGTTCCGGTGTGGGTATGCATTCTACCGAGAAAAGAAGAAATACAATTAGAAAATAAAGTAACATTTCAATAAATAATTAGTTTAACGAGTTCTTTAATCTAAATTATAAAAAAAAGAATTGAAATCAAAGACCGCTAATTTTCACTGATAAGGGAGAATTTAAAACTACAGGTTGTTTCACTAAATTTATGAAATTAACAAAAAAATAAGTATATAGTACGAGCGTCAAAAACTTTAATTACGATTTATATTACTATAAACATTTAAATAATTTAAAAGTAAAAGAGGATTTGGTTTTTTTATACAACTTCTTGATTGCGATACTCAAAAAGAACATTAATGAGAATTAAAACAAAAAATTATAAAAATATGTTAAACTTTTTTTAGGCACAAGAATTTTCAAGCCCACCTCGAGCGTAGACCCGGTCTGGGCCGTGCCGGTCCTACACGGTTCGTTTCTCGCTTCCTACAGGCTTTTGACTACGCCCTGAAGTCTTAAACAGCAACGACTAGACATGGCAAACGCGTCGGCCCGCTTTTTGAATTTTTTTCCCGTCAAGTCCATATCTCAAAAATTGTAAGAGCTATCAAAATTTTAAGATTATTTGGATGGGGTAGCACCCAATAAAACATAGGGGTAGAAAAAGTTTCAGACTGATTTGATAAGTAGAAAAAAAGCGAGGGAAAAAAATTCAAAAAAACGGGCCAACGCGGGCTTCGGCCCGGCCCATTTGCCATGTCTATTTACGACTCGACAGCTCCGAGAAACCGGATCACCTGGTTGGAGCCCAATTGGAAACAGCTAAAATAGACTACTGTCTTTATCAAACGGTCATCGTCACTTCTCTAATTATACACCTTGCGTTAAAAAATTAAATTTTTAAAAATTTTAAAATGATTTTAAACAAAAAAAACAATAAATTGTAACAAAAAACTTCAATAAAAGCAATGCCAAAATAAGCCTTATAATAAAATTGCTTATAAATTAATTTTAAAAGAAAAACTTCCAAAAACTATAAACCTAAAACTATAGAAGTAACCTTTTTAGTTCTGCTTATAAGTGTTAAGTTTCTTTATATTCTGACCAAAGAAAGTAAGGCAAAGGCATGAATATTAAATTAATAATAACTGTTATTGGCAGCACGAGGCTCTAAAAGCACTGTCAATTGTTATACTTTTGCGGTAATGGTTAGCTCTAAATAAAAAACTAACACAAAAACAATTAAGTTAGCGCTATATTGTAGTAGGTATTGAACTGTTGTATTATAGTTGCTATTAAGCTGTCATACTATAGTAAAAATAAATAAATATACTATAGTAGTTAGTGAACTGTTATATTATAGTAGCTATTATAATGTTACAAAATTTAATGTTTCTTTACATTGCTAATGACACTCTTTCTTTTGTATTGTCTATACTATCTAACATAACATTATTAATTCTAATAAAATACAAAACTCCAAACAGAATGAAAGATTACACTAGGCTACTGAAGATTCACGTCTATTCAGATGTTTACTACAGTATAGTTAATGCACTAACAAGTATAGAAGTTTTTACCTACAACGGATATTATTACTTAGTGATCATGGGCATAGCTCGACACTTTAAAAGTTTGCTTACCCAAAAACTTTTGATCAGCATGTTCTACCATGGTACTGTCTTAGAGTTGTGTATCTTGCCTGCCGACTTTTACTATCGTTATGCTGTTGTTGTTAGGTAAGCACAATGAAATATAATACTCTTGTATTTTTATACAAATATACATATATTATTTGTTTAAATAAAAATATATGACTTTCAGAAACCGCACGGTAACTAGTCTTCGACTTTACATCATCATAAGCATTATGGTAACTTTAACTTTTATTTTGACTTTTCCTTTATATTCAATGGTAACCTATTACGGCCCTTCGTATGAGACAAAGATAGACAAAAATGCTACAGAAACATTATACCAAATACCTCGGTTCCGCAAAGACATTGGCATGTTCAGCTATAATCCAAGGGTAAACGTTCTGTAGCTATATATTATATTTACCAAGAAAGTACCTAACCTACCATATTCAGAATCAGCTCAAAATCCTTACATGAATTCTAGTACCACCAGTAGTACCTATAACAAATTTTAGCTTGCGTTTTTGGGTCTTAAAATTTAAATATTTGAGTTCCTTCCTTATTTGGCATTGTGTTTCAAGCACTTTTTTCGGCTTTCCAGGCAAGCTACGCTTACAAATTAAGAAATGTATTCAAGTTTCTACTAGTATATTCAAAAAATAATTAAAGGACCAGTTCGCCCTTTAAAATATCATTGGCATTGTGTCGCAAAAATTCGACGTTCATTTTTTTCTCAAAAAACCTGAGCCGGTCGGTCCCAAATTGGAAAATTCATTTCGACACCGACTCACTCACGTTTTTTGAGAAAAATGATTTTGATTGAAACAGCCTGATTTTCGACGCTTTTTGCGACAGAATGCCAATGATATTTGAATTGGCGCACTGATCCTTTAAAAGTCGAAAAATGACAATTTTATAATTTTAAAAAGTGCGAATTCGGCAGAAAATTCAAAACGTAATTTTTTTGGTTTCGAATTTCTCGAGATTAACTAGAAAGCGCAATTTAATACTTTGTTGAAGATCTTATATTTACGTGTCCTTTCTACATATATATAAAACTTGAAGTCGATCAGAGCTTTTAAGGTCGGGTACTTTCCTTGTTAGTTCAAACAACAAATCTAGCTTTGTATATAGTAATAACTGAAAAATTGCGATAACTTGCCTAATATATATTTGTGTTTAGGGAAAATTTTTCACCAAACTTCACAGTGGAATATTAACATTAGCATCAGTTTTTGGCTGCAGTTTTGCACTTTTGATTTATCACCGAATATCAAGTGTCCTGAAGAAGCATGCAGAGACAAATCCAAATGGTGGTGTTGTTCAAGTAGAACGGCAGATCAACAAAATTATATTATTGCAGGTACCTTAGGATAATAGTTTAGTATCTTAATAGCGTAAAGCGTAGTATAGTATGACAAACGTCATATGCAAAAATGACTTTAAACTTGTGTTATTATATCATAAAACTTTAGCTGATCGTGCCAATGATTTTTAACGGCATTCCAGTAATAGCGACAGCGTCTATGATGTTTACTGGCTATAGTTTACCTCAAATGGGAATACTCAACAACCTTGTCACTAAATGGCTTACGGCTGTAAAACCTTTGCTAACTATATTCGTCGTACCCTCATATCATCAAGGCTTTGTCGACCTGTGTAAGCGTCAGAAGATTACACCGTATAAACCACAAGGACTTCAAGCATTGTACTCAACTACCTAAACATAAACTTTAAGTTTAACAAATTTGTCAAATAAAGTTAATTTTTTTTTTGTAAGCATTATTGGTGATACAAAGAATCCATATAATAATTTTAGCTGGTTCTGAGCGGGGCAGGTTGGGTACTTCCCTTGTAAGCTTAAAAACTAAAAGAAACGTCAATAATATTAAATTAAATAATAATTGTTATTGGCAACAGATGGTTTTAATAATAATTTGTTACACACCTTTGCATTAAAACTTTTAAGTAGCTTAACCTTATAATAAATTATTTTTAGCTTCCGAATCTGCTAGGCTACTAAAAAGTTGCTGTTTAATGCATGTTTATACTACTAACGATATTTCTTCTTTCATAGTATCAATACTATCTAACATAATGGTATTGTTTCTAATGAAATACAAAACACCTGACAAAATGAAAGACTATACTAGGTTATTAAAAATTCATGTCTACTCAGACTTGTTCTATTGTGTTTCGAATGTGCTAACAAGTATGGAAGTCTTTAGCTATAATGGGTACCACTTTTTAGTGTCAATGGGTATGCTTCGACACTTTGAAAGCTCGATCATTCAGAAGTCGTTGTTTAGTATGTTTTACCAGTCTACCATGTTGGAGTTGTGTTTTTTGCCAGCCGACTTTTATTATAGTTATGCTGCGGTTGTTAGGTTTGTAAAGAATTTTATCTATATAATGGTTTTGGCCCTTTTTGACACTTATTTTATTTCACTTCGGATAATACCTTTAACTTTTACTGAAAATCTTATTTTTACATAACCTTTGTATATAAAAAATTTAAATTCAACCAAAACGGCGCAGGTCAGAAACTTTCTTTTTTATTAATTATTTTTATAACTTATAGATAACGTAAAACAAAGCCAAGCTTTGTAATTTTAAAAAAAGCCGTAACGGTTTCAGAAATTGCACAGTAACACGTTTCCGACTCTACATTGTTTTATGCATTATTATTGTTGTTACCTTTATTTTTACTTTCCCTTTATATTGGACGGTCGCTTACTACGGACCATCGTATGAAACAGAATCAGAGAGAAATGCTACAGAAACCTTGTATCAAATATCCAGATTTCGAGAGTATAGTGGCATGTTTACCTATAATCCTTCGGTAATTTAAAATATTTTAAATGACTTTAAATTATTAGATGGTTAAAATAATTCTGTGCCCCTCACAAAGCAACTTTTTGGGGTTAGGAGCACAGAATTATTTGAACAACTAAATTTTAAACACCCGTTACTACTGTTCTTAACTAAATATTCTTGGCTTTATCTTTTCATACTTTACAGAGTAATTTCTTCACAAAACTGCACAGTGGAACGTTAATATCGGTATCGGTTGTTGGATACAGCTTCGCATTTCTGATTTACTTTCGTATAACAAATGCTGTGAAAAAACACGCCCAGACAAACCCAAACGGAGCTGTGGTTCAAGTGGAACGACAAATTAACATGGTTATACTATTATAAGTAATGGTATCATTTCAATTTTAAATAGCGTTTGGAATACGTTGAGTTTTTCCATCCGCTCGAACCAGATGATGATTTATGTGTTCCTCATGTCGTTCAAATAACGCTGTGCCCTCTTTCAACGCAAATTTTTATGATAAACAGGCACGAAATTATTTGAACAACCTCATATATCAACTTTAAAAATTTCTTTCAGTTAACCGTGCTTGTGAACGCTATTCCAGTGTTTTTGACTTCAGCAGCGACGTTACTCGGTGTCAGCTTTCCTCAGATTGGAATGTTCAACAATATTTTGAGTAAATGGCTGCCTTCTCTCAAACCTTTATTGATTATTTATGTTGTACCACCTTATAACCAGGGTTTGCGAAGATTCTTCAAACACAACACTGTCGATCAGACACCAATAGAGTCTCGTACTCTTAACTATGTTAAATAATATTTTCAAAATAAGCGATAAAATTCTGACTAATGTTTCAACTCATATAAGATGCCGACAAAAAGAAAGAGCCATAATTTGCTTGTAATTTCCTGTAATAAATGGCGGGTTCTTTATGTCTGCACCTAATAGTATTAATATTAAGGCTTTGGTCTACGGCCTGAATAGTTAAGCACCGGTTCATCATGACTCGGTAGCTCAAAAGACAAGACCACCTGAACAAGGCCTAACTGGGAATATGTAGCTACAATGGATTGCTTCAAACTTCAATCTTCCCCAAACCCTCACCATTTTTACATGTAGTATTTTACGCTTGAACTACAAAAGTTTTAAAATTGTAGCGTTTCTACCGTTATGAATTATAAGTACAATACATATAAAGGTGGTACATCTTAAAATATTATAACTCGCGACGTCTTATGACTTTGACATTACGTTTTTTGCCATTTTAAAATACAATTTCTATTTTATGTTGTAATAGCAACACAGAACTAAAAGAAAAAATGACAATGAAACACGCTTGCCCTTCATCATGTAACAATTTTGATTTAATTGTCGTATGAAACGTACAGTAGATTATAAATAAAGACAACACTTTTTAAATCGTTTCAATTGAAAAAACTTCCTGTAGTGTTTCTACTTCAGTAGCCTTTAAAGGTCCTAAAAAATGTTTAATACACTGGAAATGTGACGACAACGGTGGATACAGTAGTTTCTCTACTAAAAATCACTCTGTAAAGACAACACTGTATATAGGATCGACTTTTACCGGTAAATTGATTTTTCGGCAAAAAAATCTGGTAAATTTACCAGTTTTTACCGGTAAATATTCAACCCTAACTGTATAGTAAACACGAAATGTCAGTCACTTCGAGTTGCTTATCTAGAGAGAGTACTATCTTATTATGGCAACTACTACAATATATATCTATCTACTTGTTACTGTCTTGCCAACTTTTCTATTTAATTAGCTTTCTGCATCACTTTACTGCAATTTGTAGGCCTACTATATATAATACATGTATGTAGCCAAACATCATGCCCTCTTAGAATATACTAATAGAGTCTGAGCAAAGTTTAACAAGTTTGAATTGTACAAACCCCTAACAAATTATACATTACAGCTTTATATTAAAGCAGATCTTTCTTTCAAAAGTTAGTGTAAAGCAAATTAAATTATTGAGCATACATAACTAGGTAATGTTCTTTGGACGGTATTAAGTCAAAGAATGGGTTAATAGACACATTAATGTATTTTTAACACTGTTGCACTTTGTGGAGTTCAGTACTGCTGCACTTAGTTGTTTGCTACTGTTATACTTTGTTACTTCTACCTATAAACGTACTATATAATACTATAATTTACTATAAATTTAATACTGTAAAAGCCTACTGTAAAAAGAAAGTAGAGATTAATTTGGTATGTTGATCTATACGATTAACAATGTTGCTTCTTCTGGATTAGCTATCATATTTAATGTGATATTGTTGATATTGATACGATACAAAACTCCAAGTCGTATGAAAGATTACACGAGAATATTGAAGATTCACGTTTATACCGACTTTTACTACTGTTTTTCAAATAGTATGACTAGTATGGTACGTTGAATTATATAATATTAGCTATTTTCCCTACCCTGCTCTATTCTTCCTTGCTCTGCTCTGCTTTGCCCCTTGCCTGTCTTATCCTGTCCTATCCCGCCTTGCCTGTCCTATCCTGTCCTGTCCCGCCTAGCCTAGCCTGGCCTTGTCCTGCCTTGCCTTGCCTGTCCTTTCTTTCCCTGCCCCACCTTGCCTAGCCTGGCCTTGTCCTGCCTTTCTTTTCCCTATCCTATTCTGCCCTGTCCTTCCTTGTACATTGCCTTGTTCTTCCCCCTTCCCCTTCCCCTCCCTGCTATTATACTAATATGTTTATAACATTTCGTGATCAAAACACTTTCAGGAACCCTTAAGCTATGGAGGATATCAGTTTTTTGTCATGATGGGTGTAGCTCGTTATCTATCAACTTCAATACAAAAAACCATGTACAGCGTATATTACCATTCTTTAATGGTAGAGTTGTGCTTCATCCCAACTGATTTCTACTACAGATATAATGCTGTTTGTCGGCGAGTTACTTAACAAAGCTCTCGATATTTAGCAGCAGAGTTTCATTCGGCTCCAAGGCAGCTCCAACCCACCTTTTCCAAGCTCGTTCAGCTGAATAATATAATACTTTTTCAGAGGCCAAACAGTATCAAGCAAACAGCTTTATATTGTAGTTGTTGTTATCATAGTATTCACCTTTATCGCTACGTTCCCAGTGTATCAAATATTTTCATTTTATGGGCCTTCAAATGCTACTGAATTGAGTCGAAACGCTACAGAAACTTTGTTTCAAATTGAGCGATTTAGAGAAGAAGGTGTTGTCTTTACCTATAATCCTACTGTAAGTTTCTTACAAAGCTTGAATCAACAATGTCACATCGTAAAAAAAGGCAAGCTTTTCGCAGCGTTACCTGTTCTTATACAGTTGGACTTAGTATTATGTTACTACTACAACACAAAGTAGAAATTGTATTTTAGATCGGAAAAAATTTACTGTCAAAGTCATAAGATGTTACAAGCTATAGAAGATGTAATACTCTATAAATATTGCACTTATAATTGGACTTTACAACTTATGACGATAGAAACGCTACAATTTTTAAAATTTTGTATTTTAAACATAAGACACTCAGTGACAATGCCAAAGACACTATAGCTACAAATTAAACTTACCTCAACTCTCTATAACAACAAATTTCAGAAAAACCTCAGTATACGACTACAATGTTGTATCCTTGGTGTATTGTTCTCTATTGGCTACGGCTTCGCTTTCTCTGTTTACTACAAGATTATCAAAGTTGTAACAGAACATGCTAATCAAAACCCTCATTCTTCCCTTGTCCAAATTGATAGACAGATCAATACAGTAATTCTATTACAAGTAAGTATTAGAAAAAAAGTTAATTTTATTTACAACCCACACGTTGCTTTATTATGACATTATATTATAACAGAAGTTTCTTAGAAGACTTATCGCCTGCTAGAAGAAACTATGAAAAAAGATTTGTCTTGCTCTACCATTGTCTTACCTGGCCCTGCTCTATCGTAATCTGCCATGCCATGCCCTGCCCCCCCCCCTTGCCCTACTCTGCCTTGTCTTGCCTTAATTATGTATGCCTTCTTTCCTTGATTTTCCTTAGTTTGCATTCTACTTTCCTGCTCTGCGATGCATCTGCCCTGCCTTGCTTTTCCCCGTCGTGTCTTTCCTTGTCCTGTACTGCTTTGCCCTGCCGTTCCGCGCATTCCCTTGTCTTGTCTTCTCTTGCATTGCCTTGTCCTTACCCTACCGTGCCTTACCTTGTCTTAATTTGCCCTACGCTGCTGTCTTACACATGCTTGATTTTCAGTTTCTTGCTTTATGCCGTGCCTACGTTGCCTTACGCTGTCCTGCCTTGGCCTGCCCTGACCTGCCTACGTGGCCTTGCTCTTCCTGCCTTTTTTCTTGCTTTACCCTATATCAAAAAAGCTTTTCCTTTCACTCTTAAAACACAAAAGCAGAACTACAATGAAAAGTACAAATGATACTTTCAGTTAATCGTTCCAATGCTAGTTAACGGCATTCCAGTAGTTGCCACCGCTGCCATGATGTTTGTCGGCTTCAGTTTTCCGCAAATGGGTGTATTCAACAACCTTGTCAGTAAATGGTTATCCTCTCTCAAGCCACTACTTACCATATACTTTGTTCCATCGTATCATCATGGATTTGTTCATCTATGCAAACATCAACAAATTACACCAGATAATTCGCGAGGATCTCAGACATTGTACTCGATTGCTTGAGGAGTAGTACCATTGGTGTTGGTTCATCAAGTTCACGATCAAATGCTGCTTTTTCTGAATTAACTACTACTTCCAGCTTAAAAATGTCATTTCTTACCTAACTAATAATAAAAACGCCTACAACGAATAATATTGACAAGGTTAATATAACACTTGGCAAATACCACTGAAACACCTTTATAATTATTTATCTTACTTACATAGTAAATGATAAGTTACAAGATAACCAACGTTAAGTATTATAAATTGTAAAAGATGATAAACCTGATAGTAATATTATTATAGGCTCAAGCCCCATAACTTGTTGAGGTTATCCTTGTCTTCCTCTAGCGATGTGATCTTGAGAACTTCTGATTCGTCTTTTATCGTTTTGTACAGTAACGTGCTCAGATAGCGTTCTCCAAAGCTAGGTAGACAGGTAACAATGAGCTTGCCAGCGTTTTCCGGCCTTTTGGCTAGCTGAAATAAGGTTTTAGTTGAAGAAAATCAAGTTTTTTACATTGATAACACGCTATACTGATAATCATTAACTGAGATTCATTTTTGACTTCAAAACTCTTATATTATTCATCCCTTCGCAAAACCTTCACAACGTTTTATCTTATCTTACCTCAATCGCTGCCAAAACATTAGCTCCACTGCTGATTCCACTCAGAATCCCCTCCTCCGTAGCCAATCGCTTTGCCATTTCCACAGCATCAGCACTCTTGACCCTCAATGCTTCATCGTAGATCGGCTTCAGATTGTCAGGAATGATTCCAGCACCAATACCTGGAATCGTGTGTGGTGCAGCTGGTAGGCCGTTGATCACTGAAGACTCGTAAGGTTCGGCAGCATACAACTTGATGTTCGGATTCTTTTCTTTCAAGAAGGTGCCGACTCCCGTCAACGTTCCAGCTGATCCCACTCCAAAAACGGCTAGCTCCACCTTACCTTCAGTTTGTCGCCAGAGCTCAGGTCCTGTAGTTAGGTAGTGGACTTGTGGATTAGCTGGATTGGCAAACTGGTTCGGAATGAATGAGTTTGGAATAGCTTTGTTTAGTTCTTGAGCACGTTCGAAAGAGGCTTTAAAGCCAAGAGCGGCATCTGTGATGACTACCTGAGCCCCGTAGGCTTTGCACAAGACTCGCTGAAAAAAAGCTCAATTTGACATTGAAAGACTGACATACTGTGAATATTGCGTTAATAACATTAAAAAATAACCATAAAATTTAGTAAAACACAAGTAAACTTCTTTAACAACACCAACAACAACCTATAACCACAACGAAACCTTTTCTAACCTCAAACTCAACCCATAACCACTTCAAAACACTAAAAACCCACCCTTTCCAAGCTCATACTGCTCGGCATGACCAAGATCAACTTGTATCCTTTCACAGCACAAGCCATTGCCATTCCAATACCCATGTTTCCAGAAGTTGGCTCTATAATCACATCTCCTGGCTTGATCTTGCCCTCTTTTTCGGCAACTTCAATCATATGAGAAGCCGGTCGATCCTTCACGGAACAGGCTGGATTCATGTACTCTAACTTGACAGCTGAATATAACAAATATAATTTTAGATTTATTTGCTAAAAATAGGTAAGTTGAAAACATTTTTAAGATTTTCATTGTCCTTATAATTAAAATTGCAATATAAATCAAACATGCTATATAGTGTTACCTAAAAATAAAAATTCTCATTTCATAACTAAAATTTAATTTCTTCCCTATTGCCTAAATAAAATATAATAGTTTCTATAAATATCTGAGCAACAACATTCTTAAAAGCCCACTAACTAATTATGAAAAGATTACATACCAATCTTAGCATTCAATCCTTCGGTAACCTTGTTCAAGTACACCATAGGAGTATGCCCGATCGCTTCTGTGATGTTTTGACATATTCTATCTTGAGTATCTTCTACTGGAGCCATTATTCAACCTGAACAATCGTAATCTTTATTTTTGTTCATCAAACTTCAAGTTTTCACGTTTAATTTGAAAACCATTGAGCTTGGACATGTTTTACTTTTAAAATACCCATTATATCACCTTTATAAATTGGCAAAAACTTTAAATAAACATTCACAATGTTATACAATTGTAAAAACATCTTTAATAAACTTAAACATTGAGTAAACCCAACTTTTCAAAAATAAATACGAAAAAAAACTCGAAAACAAACGTTGTTTTCACATAAATTCACACATTTTAACCACCTCGAGCAGTTCAAAATGAGGTCAAAACACTTTCAAACAATCCTCGAAACTTTATTCTTCAATGAAATGATGTTAATTAGTACAAAAACAACGTTAAGTCGTTGGAAACAACAAGTTCGTGTTGTAAATCAGGTCGGAAAGGAAACTTTAAAAAAGAAAATATTAAGGAAACACTTATAAAAGAACTCTTTACAACTCTGGAGATCAAAGAATACGTTAAGGGCAGGTTGTGTCCTTTCACAAACCAAAAAGTCCATTTTATAATGGATAATAATGGATTATTTGACGTAGACACCAATAAACGACTTAAACGTAATGATTTGCATTTGAGGGTGTCAAAAGTGTAAAAAAATATCTTAACTAAAGATCTTAACAGTTTCAAAGAAAAAATATTTTATATTAAAAACCTGCCAAAAAATATCATAATAATTTACGATAATACCAAAAGTTCGCGGACAATTAGCACTTATACTTGTTCAAATGATTGCACGATGCATGCCATTGCGACTGCACGGTGCAGTTTTAATATCTGCACAGTGCAATCAAAGAACAAAACCAGCCTATGTTAACTAAAAACTCTTTTCCCACAAAACGTTAACGTGATTTTTAAAAGAAAAAAGACTTATCAATTTCAATTAACTTTTAACAGCTTCTGGGCTGTTTAAAAGCATCAAAAAGAACGTTTCGATAAGTAATAACACTAATTTTTTTACATACAACAAAAAATTATAAAATGAACCTAGCTTTAAATAGTAAAGTAATAAAACCTCAAAAAACTGTTCGTTTTCAAGCTGAAAACAGTTGAAATTTTATGAAATTCGTCAAATTTCACAAAAAAAATATTATTTTTATTATAAGGAAAAAGTTGACCCAAAAAGAAATACTTGACACGAATAAGTTGATGCATCATCGATGGTCTATAAAAAGATAAAAAACATAGTAAAATACGTAATAACGACCTTGCAGGTGAATAGTTTTCTTAAAACCTTCAGTGTTTACAATATAAAAAACTTATTCTATTATATAATGTTGTCTATTATATAAAATAAGACGTAAAACCTTTGTTAGTAGTTAATTTGGCTAAAATTTTGCACACGCTTTTCTAAGATCATTGAGGTTAAGTATACGAATTTTAGCACTCAATCTCAACAATGTCGAAAGTTATGTTAAAATTACGCTCAACAACTTTAACTTGGTAATTTTAAAGCTTTGCCAAGTCCAAGAATCCATGATATCAGGCTGTGAATGGTTGCTTAAAAACCTGGACACATGATGAAAATTAAACATCTGTCTAGCTTAAAAAAATTAAAGACCTGTACGACATTGATAATGTTTACACAACACATAGTTAAGTATTTATAGTAAACACGTACTAATTACAGAACTAAAAATTGTGTTCGTCATTTGCTATCTATAATAATAGTTTCAACTTTTAAACGTTAAACCACAAAACTCAAAGTTCGAAATGCAGGTGTACTTTTTGGACACAATAAGCGTATATTTTAGTACTATATATAAAGCAATCAAAGTTTGTTCCAATAATACTTGTAAAGAACAGACGTATAGTATCCTATTAGGTTTTTCAAATACTTCTGTGCCCTCAATCCCCGAAAATTTGCTTCGAACGGGAGCGCAGAATTATTTGAGCGCTTAATATTATAGTAAATATCCTTTATGTACCAATAAATGTACAACAAATTGCTTTTAACAATAATAAACTTCGACTCCCACTACTTCCGATCGTATTTTACAATGAAAATCAAGAGTTGTTACAATAAAACCCAATAAGTTACCACAAAAACACTAAACATCACCTTGACTTCCAAAACTATTCAAAACAAGGAACAGCAAGGTCATTCTTCCAACTTTGTTACTCTTTAGAATTTATATTGTAGTGTAATACGTGTCAAGTAACATGATATTTGTATTTACTATTTGGCACGTATTCTAACAACAAACAATGGAACAACAATTATTTAATATGCACTGCAATATAGTTGTTATTAAATAAGTTATAAAACTAAGATTTTGAGGGTATAGTAGGTACTACAATTGTTATGTTGTAGTAGTTAATACAATATATATCTTTATACTATAGTATAATATAAATAGGATAGTGGCATAAAAACAAAAGTTGTTTAAGCATATAGTAAAAATTACAAAATTGAAGCAAAAGAAACTTTTAAAGATTGATTATCTTGAAAAATCAAATTCAAAAATCACAATTCAATTAGTAATCTAGCCTACTTTAAATAATCAATCCCATAATCTACTAAAATTCGTGAACAATTGATTAAAAAATAGCAACGAAAAAGTGACTGTAAACTTTAAATAACCTTCATTAATATTCAACGAATTATAACTTAAAAGATCAAAATCACTGTGATTATTAAAACATTGAAGATTAGTTTGTACGTTTTGATTTTAAAAAGTACAGACAAATCTTGATGTACAAGTAGCAAACATGTCAAACTGTGAAAATGTAAAATTGAAGATAATTTTGAATTTAATTTTTGTTAATTAAAACTCTCAAAGATAAATTTGAATTTCAATAATATAAAATGATATAAAAACAAATATAATTTTAATTGTTCTATACAATCATAAATAACACAAATATGAATCATCGTGTTGGCTCAATGGCATATAAAAATATTTAAATTAAAAATTAGATTTTATATTGTAATTAAGAAACAATGCAAGCTTCAAACGACCATAACTTTTTAAAATTTTATTTAATTTATTCCAAAAAGTTAAAAAAATTTTTCGATTTTCATTTTTGATTTCTCAAATTACAAGTAAAGTTCATCACTTTCACAATAACAATTTGTGTCACTTTCTAAAATGAATTTGTTGGCCGATCATGTTGAAGAGTTTAGCAACCTTTTGTGGAAATGCTAGGGTGCACAGCTTCAGAAATGCTCATAATGAAGTACGAAAAGTGATTAGTGTCTTTCCATCAATGCGAATCAACGATGATTTACATGGATTGAATGAGGAACAAAAATTGGTAAATTTTTTAAATTTTTTAAAAATTTAAAACTTAAAAAATAAAATAAAATTTGACTTTCATTGTTTTTTAGATCACTTATTGTGTTACCAAAAAAAAAAAAGACATTAAAAATTTTTTTAATTTAAAAAAAATGTTGGTCCCGGGTCTAACTTTAAAGTTGCCCAAGAACCTGGCCTAACTTTTAGACCCGGCCTTTTTCAACTTTAGCTCCGGGCGGCCCAATTGTAAGACCTCACACACAGGCCGGGCAGAGCCTACACGGCCCTTTTTTCACCCCTAATTTTAGTATCCGTAGACAAAAAGTTTTGAATTGTGCAAGTTTTGGGTTAACTATTGCTATTTAAGCAAGCTTACTGTAAAAAAAATTTTTTTTTTTCAGTTTTGTATCTAATTTTACGTCAGAAATTGTAGCAGAATACAAAACATATTTAAAATTATCTTTATTCAAAGTTAAAAACAATATAGCAAAATGAAGACTACAAGTGTCTCTTTTACTATAAATTCGCGGTTTCTTGTATCTGTAATATGATATTATTTGAGTTTCAAAGCGTAAAAGTTTTTGCAAAGTAACTGAAAGTACAAAAGATATCGTTAGCCTTTAGAGTTTTATGGTTTCAAAGTTTCTTTAAAGGTATAAGAAGATGAATAATACTGTATCTGAAAGGAATACAGTATACCTCTGTTAAAAAACTGTTACAGAAACGTTATAGGCTTACTACATATACCATATTACAATACACCAAAATCAAATATAATGTATACTTTTAGCTGCGCCACTCCGTTCACAAGTTCCTACAAAAAGAATTGGCACCTTATGCCAAGGAAATCGACGAGAAAGACGATTTCGACAAATTACACGAATTTTGGCTGAAAATCGGAGAACAAGGCTATCTCGGTGCTACAGTAGACCCTCAATATGGTGGAAGTGGATTATCATACATGGACCATTGTATCATCGTCGAGGAAATGCACCGAGCTTCTGGAGCTATCGGCTGTCGGTATGTTAACCATAGTAACTTGTGTGTCAATCAAATCAGCAGAAATGGCACTCATGAACAAAAAAAGAAGTATTTGCCCAAGGTAAGTTTGGAAAGTGATTGTGTAAAATGTATTACTGTTTTTGACCATTTTTGTACTTTATGCCATAACTAATCCTTAAAAATTGTAATTTTGACCTTGCAGCTCTGTACTGGCGAAGCATTTGGATCGATTTGTATGAGCGAAGTCACCGCCGGCACAGACGTTACTAATATGAAATGTAGAGCCAGAAAAGAAGGTGATGTTTATATTGTAAATGGACACAAAATGTGGATTACAAATGGCCCAGAAGCCAATGTTTCAGTACTGTATGCAAGAACCGACCCGACAAAGGGAAAACATGGAATTGCGGCTTTTATTTTAAATACAGTAAGCTTTTCTAAATTAAAAAAAATTTTTTTTGAAATTTAAGTAATGTTTAAAAAAGCGCTTTTAAAAAAATTAAAATTTGCTTTCCACTTCCCGTAGGCCTAATTAGAAAGCAAATGAAACGTTATTTCGGAAGAAACAAGTGTGCCCGGTTAGCTCAGTCGGTAGAGCACCAGACTCTTAATCTGGCTGTCGCGGGTTCGAGCCCCGCATCGGGCTAAGGCACATTTTGCTGTTTTAACGCCAGAATTTTGGTTTTTTTTTGAAAATCTGTTCAAAATAGATTTTCAATCGTTTCTACTCTTACGTACCTACTATAATTTTAGTATGAACGTTCTTTTTATAGTAATAACTACAACTTTAAAATCAAAAACCATTCTTCAGAACTCGAAAGGCGTGACAAAAATGCCAAAAATCAACAAAATGGGAATGCGCGGCTCAGCTACATGTCAATTAATATTCGAAAATGTGGAAATACCGGTCGAAAACGTTTTAAAATCAGAAGACCAAGGAGTATATCTACTGATGAGCGGGCTGGACTTGGAACGACTAACTTGTGCAGCTGGATCGCTTGGTATGATGCAAGCAGCGTGTGATGTGGGATTTGCATATGTCAATCAGCGAGACATATTTGGTACCAAATTGAGTAAATTACCGGTAAGGAATGGTAGAATAGTTGTATATACTACCATAGTTTGAGGAGTAGCTATCACTCTCCTCAAACTATGGTTGACTAGAACAAATTATACGCCTCCCCTCTCCCTCAAAAAAATAACTAACCCCCTGGTCGGAACTGAACATAGATATTACTTTTATAATATACATTATACCAACTTGTTTACTTTGTAGATAATTACAGGTTAGTTACCACGTAATTATAATACTAACGCTGTAGAGCAAAGATCTTTTGTTTTCAGATAATGCAAGCTACGATGGCCGAAATGTACACGAAACTGGAGTCTTCAAGAGCCTATTTGTATGCCATCGCCAAAAATACATCGGACGGTAGCCCCCTATCCCCCAAAGATTGTAATGCCGCTTTCCTATTGTGCGGAGAAAATGCTACAAGTGTTGCGATGAAGGCTGTACAAATTTTGGGTAAATTTCACAGTTGAATTTTTAAAAAAATTTAGGTAACAAAACCTTTGTTATTCTCAAAAAATGTGAATTTTAGACAACAAAACATTGACTAATTTAAAAAAGTACTTTTTAAGAAAAGAATTGTAAAAATACTGAAAATTACTTGATTTACAATAAAACATCACTTTCAGGAGGTAATGGATACACCCGAGACTACCCAGCCGAACGCATCGCCCGCGACGCCAAGTTATACGAAATTGGAGCCGGCTGCACGGAGATCCGCAAGATTGTCGTATCACGAGAAATCAACAAAAATTATCAATAACAATTACTGATATCATGAATAAAATTATCCATTGGTCATAATACGACAATAATACAATTTATTTGTATTTTAACGAAAACATTTTTGATCCAGAGACTTAAAATAATCTTATCCATGTCTTATGAAACTGACTCGCAATAATTAAAGCAAAATTAGGTCTAAAATTAATTTTACGAGATAAAATGTATTTGAATTATTCAAATTTTTTTCTGCTTCTGTTTATAAAATGCCGCGAAAATGTTTTATTTGAATCTTTTTTCTAGAATTTTTCGGGATTTCAAAGCTTTTCGTTGGAAAACTCGTGTAAAACAACAGCTTGACGGTGTTTATTTTGCTGTAAGGCCTTTGGAAGATATTATTTTAGATTCCTTATGGTTTTTGCTGCATTTTTTACAAAAATTTGTTCAAACGACGACTTTACAATGTCTTATCCTTCAGGTCTGATGGGTAACAAGTTTTTCAGCTAAAGATGTCGATTGACCGAGAAACTAACATGATTATTCACGATGAACTGAAAGCTGCTGCCACTTTCGGCCGGTCCTTTGACCAATACGCTAAAAGAGTCTTCTATAAGATCAAGTTTAACGAAAGATACGGGATCCAGTCTAAATTGTGAGTTTGCTTTGTTTGTTTCTTGGTTTTTAGGTAACAATTATTGGGTTAAAATTAATGTAAAGGTTGATTTACGTTTCGTGATAGTTATTGTGGCGTATTTGTGGTTTTCGGCTTTGCTTTCAAATTTTAGGTATAAGTTTAAAGTTTAACAATGGCAAAATGAAGGTTTTAAGCTGATTCTTTGCAAGATGGTAAAATTTATAAATAGAAAGAAGTTCAAAACGTTTCAAGCACCTGCAGGCAGTGAGAAGATATTTTGACTGTGCTCGCTTTTAGGTATCATTACACTAGTTTATTCATGTTTTAATCTTTTCGTTTCAGCACAAGAGCCATTGACTATTATAACTTTTACCTCGAGTTCTTCGACCGACTTCAATGGGATCCCAACTACATTCCCGAAGAGTTTCCTATCCTCGATCCTGAATGGTTGTATCCGTTTGGAAGAACACCACCAAACCTGCACGAATATCTGAAGAAGACAAACCAGGACTACAGCGATATCAGCTGGGACGAGGATACTCCAAGCGACATTTACCTCACTACCGTTTGAAACCAAGTTTGTTATTTTGTTTTTTTTAGCTATTGATATCGTATTTTGTTTGTAATAAACTAAAGTTTTTTTTATTTTAAATTGAAAATTTTGGTATTTTCCTTGTTTTACATCATATTACGAGTCTTATTTGATTTTTTGTTTGTTTTTTTAAAGTTTAATTTGCTTCTAAGCTTTGGGATTATAAGTAAGGTTTGACAAGTCTTTGTCTATATTAATGTTCCAAAACCACTTTTGTGCCATATTTATTCATTTTTTGCTTAACATTCCTTACGACCATCAGCTAATGGTAATAAAGGTTTTGTTACCTAAAAATTGATGCATCAGTAGATGATGGCAGAAGTGGCCAATTCAGCAACGCCACAAACGTTCTCTCCACGATACAATCGGAAGTAGCCCTCTTCTCCCCAGCCAGTTCCCCACGAGTTCTTCACGATCCAGAATGGCTTTCCTTCTTCTTCACCATAACCCACCAACAACAAGGCGTGGTTCAAAGCTTTGGGGTTACAGAACATCTTGGGGGGATGGTGGATACCGCCACCGTAGAATTGGAGAGGATTCGCGTTGACAGCGATGGAAACGGGGCCGTGATTGAATAGGTATTGTTGGATCTTCTGCTCATTGGCTGGGAGATGGATGGAGTCGTTGATGTAGGCGACAAAGTCGTACTGGTCAATCTTGCACTTGCCTTCAACGGCGGTGTATTTGTAGTCTTCTTCTTTGACCAGACCTCCGAGGCGGATGATTTCACTGAAAGTGAGTTTTATTTTGTTTGGCAATGATTTGTTTAGACTTTGGTAGTTTAGGTAGAGTTTTTAGCTCCAAAATCATGGCAAAGTTACATTAACTTTCCGAAACAACACTTACTTGTAAGTCCAAGTCATGTATCCACCGTTACATCCGTGATCTTTTCTGTCACAATCGACCAATTCTTGTTCGGACAAGCTCACCAACTCTCCGGTCTTCTTCTTCCACTGACCTTCAACGTTGCCAGTGACTGAGAAGGACCAGCACGATCCACAACTACCTTGGTTCTTGACTGGAGTGACCAAACCTTCACTTCTAAAGTCTTTAGCGGTCGGCAAGGTGACTTCCAAGTTGGCCAGTTCATCGACAGTCAAACGTTTGACTGGAGCGACTTCAGCGGCGTTGATGTTGGAGAGGACCTGGGTGCGGAACTCTTCTGGGGTCAAGTCCATGAATTGAGTCTCGCCATACTGGGCGGTGCCTTGTTCAACTTGTTGGTAGACCTGGAGCTGAAGGTGGTTGGATTTGTAGATTTGGAAGCGTTCGTGGGCTTCTTCTACTGAAGTGTAGGTCTTTTGGTGACTGAAATTTGAAGAATATGGTTTTGAAAAGAGTTTTTTAAAGGTATAAAGAGTAAAACAGGCGTTAAGCTTACATAATGTTATGAATCTGAAGCCTATTCTTTGTCATAACTTATTCTTTAATCCAAAGACGATCTTGAAACTTACGTTTCAGCGAAGCTTTGGAACTTGTTGAAGACTTCCAAGTCGTTGATGGTGACATGCTTCTCCAAGCCATGAAGTCTGGCCGAAACGCTCAAGACCAACAAAGCCAAAACGGCGTTGCGAAACATTTTTGTTTCAAAAGTATCGAGAAAAAGCCTTGACAAGTTTATATAATACGTTTGTGACGGTTTTTAGACGATGAAAAAGTGCTGATAAAGAGATTAAGGAGTTATATTTTGCTGATGAACGGTTTAATTGTTCCGAGTTTAACTCAAGAATTTGGTCTTAAAAAGTGCATTAACTACTCTGTCTATGCTGGGCTTGAGATTAGAGTTGGTTTAGTGACGTCAAGCTAAATAGATAAGAATTGAGATGGTTTTTCCTTTAGAAGTTTTCAGCTTTATTTATGTTTTAACAAGGAAGTACTCAAGTTGCCTGGATCAAAACTAGTTTAAAATTTACGTACATGTAAATTCATGGTGCCACTTATAGTACCTATAAAACATTTTAGCTCGCGCTTTTGAGTTTTAAATTTTGAATATTTGAGTTTTCCGACAATATGGCAAATTTGGCATTGTGTTTCAAGCAATTTTTGGACTTTCCAGACAAGCTACGCTTACAAATTTAAAAATTTAGGTCTATATAAAGTGTGTCTGCTAGTATATTAGAGAAAAATGATTAAAATTCTAAAAATTAAAAAATTATAAGCTTGAAACACAATGCCAATTTGGCGGGAAATTCAAAACCTTGATCTCGATTTTCTCGAGATTGTCTGGGAAGCGCGATTCAGTACTTTGTTGAAGATGTTATATTTACATGATCTTTATATGTAAAAAGTTTGAAATCAATCAGAATGGGACAGGTCAGGCACTTTCATTGTTATGTGTTTTATGAATTGCTGTTTGCTACCTTTTTGTCGGCATATATCTGATTAAAATTGCTTTTCTTAATTCATTGTTTTTTAATTAGCGTTTTTTGTATACTCTGTTTTCTGAAATATTCTCTTTGAGTTTTGTTTAGTATAATCCTCTTATCAACGCCAAGGTCTACAATCTTCGGCGAACTTTTAACTTTGTCTATAAGGAGTTTTTGGAGATAACACTAAAATAGCTTTAAAAGTAACTAATTAGCATAAGTAAAATAGATCCATCGCCAAAATAGTTTATAAAAGGTTTAACGAACTGAATAACATGACAAGGGTGACAAAAAGTGCCCCATTTGCCCCCCCCTTTAAAAAATTTTTTTTTAAATCGGTAAGTGTAGCATGTCTGGAAAGTTGAAAAAGTGCTTGAAACATAATGCCAAATTTGCCGAATTGGCAAGAAAATTAAATATTTAAATTTTAAGACTCATAAGCGCAGGTTAAAATTTTTTATTTTTACTGCTTGAATGGGGCAGGGTGGGTACTTCTCCTGTTGGATATGTGGTGTGATAAATATAAACTGATGTGTGATTTCTGGACGATACAGACTTGTTATAAGATCTTAAAATTGTGATAAGGAACATACTTGAATTATAGATCAAAAGCTGTAGTCATATCGTAAAGAAGTTATTGCAGAGAAAACAAGAATTCTAGGAATCTGGAATGTTTTCGTGAAGTTCTTATGATGCAATGGGTGTATTATCTTATTTTTAGCTACTTTGCATTTCCTTATCAGTCATGAGTTGTGTTCTTTTTTGTTCTTCGTTTGTTCACTGTAAGATAAGGAATTTAATTTATAAAAAATGTTGGGAACGGCTCAAAGCGGAACCAATTGCCAACATTATATTACCTTTTCTAATCACAATAACAATATTAAGGAATGGTCGAGAAGATTGAATATGTTTTTACAATGTTGGTTCTGAAAGATATAAAATAAGACTACTTTATCATATTAACATACAGTGGAACACCTGTATAACAAAAATTCCGTATAATGAACGACTTTTAAATACCCGCCTATCACTATACAATGCATTTAAACTCTTGTATAACGAAACCCTTTTATATAGAACAATTTTAAATCTTCGATCGATTTGTTATACAGGAGCTCCACTGTTAATAATGAATAGAGGTTTCAGACTTTTTCTGTGTTTTGATGATAAATTTGAAATTGAATGATAGAATGCATCTTCTTTATCAACTAATAAAAATGTTATGAAACAATATGAAGCCTAAATAAAAAAAACCCAATCACAAGACATATAAATATTGTGATTATAGTCTAATCATAGACTTTTATTAATTACATATTTTTGCAAAAAAAAGTTTTAAAATATATAAAAAATTAGCAAAAAAAGATCAAAACTTACAAAAATAAAAAAGGGTATTACAAGCGTAGACGAGGCAGGCCTCTTAAATTTGCATCAGCCCGGCCTCGCTTCTTATATAAGATTTAAAATAAACTTCATTCCATTTTTAACACAAGATATATAACTGAGACATGAGTGGGGATGATGAGGGTATGCTGAAGACCGTCAGAGTCTGTTGTAGCAGTTCTCAATTGGTCCCCATGTAGGCGATCCTATTCCTTACCGAATTGTGATGAGATGCTCCTCAAGCTTTCAGGCCATAGCCGGAAGCCTGTGTAGGTCAAGCAATTTTTGCTTTGGCCTGGCCTAGTGAATCCTTTTAGGTCTAATAACTATCTTTCCCCCTATCATTCAATGATGTGAGAAACAGTGGAATACTTGGGAGAGGCTCAATTTTGGAAAACATAGAAAACAAATAGAGCTCCTTCATAAAGTAGGTGCTTTAAATCGTGAGATAAAGTATTGCATAAGAGTTAGTAAAGGCATTAAATTTTTAATAGTTTGCTATAGGAAGGTAAAGACTGCCGCGCAAGACAACCCTTAAACTTTGTCTTAAATTTTTTCTTACGTCTACATAAGCTACACATTGTTCTCACCAAAAACTGAGTGCTCAATCATACCTTTTGTAACAACGAACATGAATTTAAAAGTTGATGTTTAGTAAGACACAATGCTGATTAAGCCCGCACTTATCAGCCGCTCAAAATTCAATTAGGCGACGCGCGTCATTGGACGACAAAAGGCTAGCGACTTTTGATTGACCTTATCTTATCACCACTCTATTGTTCTAGTCAAGGGCGGTGCTGTAAGACGGCGGTATTTAAGGCACGGTGGCAATGTTCTCATCATCAATCGGGCGAAATGTACCGCACAGTGGTTTTGGCCTTGCTGGCCTTGAGCGTTTCGGCTAGACTTCATGGCTTGGAGAAGCAGGTCACCATCAACGACTTGGAATTCTTCAACAAGTTCCAGAGCTTCGCTGAAACGTAAGTTGGTTTGGCTGTTTTTGATGTTTCAAGGTTACGATAAGATATGATTAGGCATATCTTGTTGTTTTTTGTTGTTTACCTTTTTGTTTTGGCTTAAAGGTCCTATTAATAACACCCAGCACAATCTTATCGACCACTTTTCAGCCACCAAAAGACCTATGCTTCAGTAGAAGAAGCCCGCGAACGCTTCGAAATCTACAAAGCCAACCACCTCCAACTCCAGGTCTACCAACAAACCGAACAAGGTACCGCCCAGTACGGCGAGACTCAATTCATGGACTTGACCCCAGAAGAGTTCCGCTCCCAGGTCCTCTCCAACATCGCCAAGGACCCATTGGCCCCACAAAGACGTCTGACCACCGAAGAGATCGACTCTTTGGTCGGAGCTCCAGAAACCTACGACTCGCGCAGCGAAGGTTTGGTCACTCCAGTCAAGAACCAAGGCAGCTGCGGCTCGTGCTGGTCCTTCTCCGTCACCGGAAACATTGAAGGTTTGTGGAAGAAGAAGACTGGAGAGCTCGTGAGCTTGTCCGAACAGGAATTGGTCGACTGTGACAAGAAGGACGAGGGATGCGACGGCGGCATGATGATGTGGACTTACGCGTAAGTTTTTTATTGGATTAGGTTGTTCAAAAAGTAATGAGCTACTAATAACTGGGTTTGAAAGACAAGTCTTGAATTCTTTGTTTTGCATAATGTTAGGCAGATCCAAATGTAGCGGGAAACTTTTTAATTGCAAAATAAATGAAAACTGTCCCGCTACTTTTGGTTCAATCTAATATTTCAAAAAAGCTCTTTAATACAATATTTTATATATAAAAGGAACTGAAAAGTAAGAAAACAGTGATTTTACATATTACCTTACAGTGAAATCATCCGTCTCGGAGGATTGGTCACCGAAGAAGACTACCCATACACCGCCCGCGGAGGAGCCTGCAAGTTGGAAGGCAAACAATTCGCCGCCTACATCAACGACTCGCTCCAACTGCCAGAGAACGAAGACAAGATCAAGGAGTACTTGGCCAAGTCCGGCCCAATCTCCGTTGGAATCAACGCCAACCCCCTCCAATTCTACTACGGCGGTATCCACCACCCAGCCAAGTTCTTCTGCAACCCCAAGGGCATGAACCACGCCGTCCTGTTGGTCGGTTACGGAAGCGAGAACGGAAAGCCATTCTGGATCGTCAAGAACTCATGGGGAGGCAGCTGGGGTGAGAAGGGATACTTCCGTCTCTACCGTGGTGAGAACGTCTGTGGTGTTGCTGGCTACGCCACCACTGCCATCATCAACTAAAATGTACAATTTCACTCTTAACTAATTTGGATTAGCAATGACTTTTTTATAAATAAACTCGCATTTATTAGTTTGGGAAATTCGTTATTTAAAAACATTCTCTATCATAGGTTAAAGCAAAGAATGATGGTCTTCGTTAGCGTGTTACAGTACGTACAATATTCTTATGTTTAAAAATTGTAGCTTTAAAGTTTGAAAAATCATATTTTTTTTGCTAAATATTTTTTTAAATTAACAGAAGCAAAAATTATGACTAAAAATACTTGTTTATTCATAATATTGTTTTGCTAGCCAAAAGGTCTTGTCATAATGACCCAATGCCAAAATTAAACCGGTCGGATTCGAACTTACTGTCTTCTGCACGCAGCACTAAACTCTTAACCACTCGACCACGCGTGATTAATTTCTCAATGAAAGCCCGAAAAATGTTGTTTTTATGCAAATTTTTAAGCGCTAACATCTCGCTAGCTAAGGCCAATTAACAATTTCTGAAAGTAGTTTTGTTTGTAACGTTTTATGTTCTTTCATCCTATATAGGTTTCGCTTGAAAAGCCGAGAGATATTTTGTGAGATTCTCTAGTAAAATCAAACAACCATCATTTTTATTCGTATTTTACAAATAATAGAGGTTTTTAATCAGAAAATAAAAATTTAAATCAAAATTTTGAGAATATAAAAGTTATATTCTATTTAAAAGTTTTAATCCGATTAATTACTTATCAACAATTGATCTCAACGTATCAATTGTTATCGATAACAATTAGTTTAAATCAACTGTTAGTTTCATTCATTGTTAGTAAAAAATGCTAAAGTTGCTTGTTACAGCTATATTAATACCTTTATGTTCTTCCAATTATATTTCTGAATTGGAAAATGAAGTTACTATTGATGAGATTGGCACTTTTAACAATTTTCAACGATTTGTTGAGTTGTAAGTGTAAAATAAGTTTTTTTCTGGGTAAAATACGGTAATGTATGTTGATTAATGTCGTTTGGCATAGTATATATGTATTGCAAGCTAAACATTTATGGGTACTGTTAGTGGATATATATAGGTCTAAAAGTTAATATTTCAATTTTAGAAACGGCAAAAAGTACAAGACTGTAGAAGAAGCTCGTGAAAGATATGCCATCTACAAAACAAACCTAATCCAAGCCCAATTACATCAACAACATGAGCAAGGCACAGCTGAATTTGGTGAAACTAAATTCATGGATCTGACTTCAGAAGAATACGAAAAACAAATTCTGTCAGAAATCAAAAACAATCCTCTGAAAGCTTCAAGGAAACTGACAGAAGCAGAGCTAAAACAATATGATGTAAGTGATATTGAAGCGTTCGATTGGAGAGACAAAGGCTATGTCAATCCTGTGAAAGATCAAGGAAGTTGTGGATCATGTTGGGCCTTCTCTGTGGTCGGAAACATTGAAGGGCAGTGGAAACGAAAGACAGGACAGCTGGAGAGACTGTCTGAACAAGAACTGGTCGATTGTGATTGGAAGGACTTTGCTTGTAAAGGAGGAGAAATGGACTGGGCTTATGGGTAAGAGTTACTTAAGATAATATATCTGTTGGGGTTTGTAAAAAATGTACAATTTTAATATTTTTATTGAAGAATACGTTATCATAGCTTTCAAGGTAAAGCAAAAGAAATTTTTTTGAAATTTTTTTTAAAATTTTTAAAATTTTTTAAAATTCAGTGAAATCATTCGAATCGGCGGTCTAGTGTCCGAAAAAGACTACGAGTACGTTGGAGAGAAATGCTTCTGTCGTGTCGATGAATACCCCTTCGTTGCCTACATCAACGGCTCTCTTCACCTACCTGACAGTGAGAATGTGATCAAAAACTACTTGTACTACAATGGACCGCTTTCTATTGGTCTCAACGCGAAAACCTTACAGTACTACAAGAAGGGCATTCATCATCCCTGGGCCGTGTTTTGCAAACCCGATATTAACCATGCCGTGCTGTTGGTTGGATTTGGCGTTGAGAAGGGGAATCCTTATTGGATTCTGAAGAACTCGTGGGGAGACTGGTGGGGTGAAGATGGATACTTTAGGCTGTATAGGGGGAAGAACGTTTGTGGCATTTCACAGTACGCTACGTCTGCTATCATTCATTGAGTTTGATGAGCAAAGCTTTGGAGTTTGTGGAAAAAATGTTGGTTTATGATATTAGCTGTAGACCTTAAATAAACTATGTTGTTTTTATATAAACCATGCTATTTGAAATGGCTTTTACTGACCAGCCTTATCATTTTCACTATTCAACAAATTTATTTTTTTTAAAATCCTAGCCTTTTCTACATTATTAGCTTGTTCAAATAATTCTGCGCCCTAAACCTCAAAAATTTGAGAGGTAGCTCAGAATTATTTGAACAACCTAACATTGTAGTCTGTGCTCATTTTTTTCACACCTTTCGATTTTAATGTTGTAACAAAGAGCTGAACCTATTATCATGAGTAATGTTCGAAAGCGTGAGTAATGAGGACGATCGTACGTTGTTATGAGGTTTATCTGTTTTTGAAATGATTCATTTTTAATGTTCAAAATCTTCTATGCGAAAACCAAAAGTATTTTGTTTGACAATGCACTTTTAAATGTCATTTTAACTCAATAGACGAATAGGTATGACTACAGACTGTAAATATAGCTACAGACAGAAATTGCTACGTCAGATCTAAAGAACAGAGTAACTAACTGATGTTTGTACATTAAAAATGACAAAACGAAGACTATTTTTATCAGATTATTAATTATATAATACAATAGTAACAGGTAGTGAAATTCAGGTTATACCCAGAAAACACCCATATCATGATGACATATCATAAGATTGGAACACCCACATAATATGTTACAGAATAAGCTGTTAAACAAGAAAATTTCAACGCAAACACACTTTATTAGGTTGTTCAACTAATTTTGTGCTCTTTTCAAACCAAATTTTTGTGACTATGAGGCACAGAATTATTTGAACAGCCTAATACGTTTTTAAAATTTTTCTATAAATAAGAAGTTTATACATATCTAAAAGCTTATAAAATTAACCACGATGCTTTTAAAAATGTTCAAAAGAGTAAAAATGTTTACCAGACTTCACATACGTATATTTCATAAACATGATTTACTGTATTTTACCTTAATTCCACTTAAAACAACGCCAAATACCTAAAGTACAGTCGAGCGATCACGTAAAACACTGGCTGCCAACGACAAAACACTCTATCCTTAAAGTCTCTTACCATCTACTCTCAAAACTTACCTTACCGTCTCTCAAAAATAAAAAATCAGTTGCGCAATTCGAAAAAAACTTTTAAAGCCGGAGCAAATCCCCAAAATAACAATAAAAACGCTTTCGATAAGGGTAGCCTGTCAATCGAGAGTTGCTACTTACTCTGTAACCCGACACTTGCTACTTACACTCGGGTTGTAATCGGAAAAAAGAAACACGGGTCGAGGCGTGTGAATGTCGAGACGGGTGAGGCCAGGGCACAATGAGCAAAACAAGTGGAGTGTCCCGGCCGAACGGCTAGCCGGCGGAGAGACTGCGGCTAAGTGGAAAAGTAAGCGTTTTGGCTGGGTTTAAGTTTGCTTGTTTTTTAAAAATCTTTTACAATAAGTTTAAAAATAAGAGAAAACTATTGCCATTTTTGTAGATTCATACGTTTACTTTGTTATCCTAGCTTGCTCTTTGATTTATATAATATTTTTAAAAGAGCCAAGCCGGGCCCAATTTTTTGAGTTGCCTTCGAGCCAATGAGTGCTGACGCGGTCTGACCCTTTCAAAGTTTGTTAAGCCCGAAAAACTTGAAAAATAGACCCGGGCCTGCTCTAGGGTAAAGTTGAAACAGGTCAAGCTTATGTTGGGGCCGCGGGTTAGGCTTGAATAGCAGGTTGAGCATAGATTTTTTTTGGGCGGGCAGGGGCGGCTTGAAAAAATTAAAACAGGCTATGCATAAATGTTGAACCCTGGGTCTGAGCAGGGCTTCAAAATTTGGCCAGGCCCGGCCCGTTTTCCACCCTTAATAACTGAAACAACTTGTATCAAAGTCAATTCTTTCGTTGTAAGACCTAGAGTGGTTTCTCAGGCCTTTGAGCCCACATGTGTAGGCCCAACCCGGCTTCTTTCAAACTTAGACTTGGCTCAGCCTTTTTCAAATTTGCTTTGGCTCGGTCCAGTCCTGCCCGAGGCCGGCTTTGTAGGCCCGGTCTTTCAAATATTCTTTGATCTAATTTAAATTCATCAGACATTGTTGAAGACCTTCCAATTCCTTAGCAATACCTTCCTTTAGAATGTCTACTTTCTTATCACATTCAGTAATATCGAACATAATCAACTTTTCCCCAATTTTCATTCCCATTCTTTCAACTAAAAACCTTCCTTTTTCAGAGCTCAGTAATTGGCAGAAGACGAAACGAGTAGTGTTGGTGATAGTAAAGCTATGTACATTGTTATCAGTTATTTGTTGTTTTATTTGTACGTTGAATCTTCTCACAGACGCCTTCAAATTGCTAGGTGTCAAAGGCGTAGGCATGACTATCAAAACATCACCACTAATCCTGAATCCAGTGTCAGCGTCGTTGATTGGCATGATGTGCACATTGTTGTTCCAAAATGGCAGCACTTTGGTTAGTATATTGGTTGGCATGGTCGCTAGTGGATGTGAGTTGGCTTAGTTGTATTAAAAATTTAAAAAAAGTTAAAAATCAATTGAAATAGTCAATTTCAGTGATATCAGTTCACCACGCGCTTCCAATGATCATTGGCTCAGAAATGGGAGCATCGTTAACCAACGTTCTCATCTCAATGGGTCAATCTGGAGACCGTAACAAGTTCAGAAGGTCCTTTGCGGCCGCTACACTAAATGACGCTTTCAACGTTTTAAATTATCTTACCCTTCTACCATTAGAGATCTGTACTGGTGTTATTGAAGGGTTAAGTGCGAGGATGGTCCAACCGCTAGCCACCACTCAGGCTGGAGAGATCAAGACCTTAAACATGCTGACTGATCCATTGCTCGAGCTTATTGTTTATGTAAGTAGAGGTTGTCACGGCCGAGAGGATAGTGATTAAATAGGTTTTTGTTGAAGAATCTTTGAGATTTAAAAAAACATTTTTTTTCAATTCAATGAAGGGCAGAGAGCAAAAATATATTTTAAAAATTTTTGAAATTCAAAGAAAGTTCTCAATCTGTCCCGCTCTGATTGACTTCAAACTTTCTATATAGAAAAATCATGTAAATATAGGATGTTCAGCAGAGTATTAAATCGCCCGTTCCAGTCAATTTCGAGTAAATCAAAATCAAAAAATTACGTTTGAATTTCCCACCAAGTTGGCATTGTGTTTCAAGCTTATAACTTCGCCATTTTTTGACTTTTAGAAATTTTTCTTTAGTATACTAGTAGAATACCCCCGCATGAACCTACATTTTTAAATTTGTAAGTGTAGCTTGCCTGGAAAGTAAAAAAAGTGCTTGAAACACAACGCCAAATTTGCCAACTTGGCAGCAAAAGCAAATATTTAAAATTTAAAACTCAAAAGCGCGAGCTAAAATTTTTTATGGGTACTATAGATGGTGCAAAGAATTCATATAAAAACTTTAAGCTGATTCTAAGTGAAGCAGGTTGAGTACTTTGTTGTCAGTCAGTGGGAGGCAAATTTTGTTTTTAATTTTTAAGATGTTTAAAATTTTTTTAACTAAAGGCTTTCTGAATAGTTTTTTTAATAATTTATTTTTGATAAAGCCATTTTTAAGATCGACGACGACGCAATAAACGCTGATATAGCAGCCGCTACTGATTCGGACAATTCCACAATACCTTCAGGACGAGAAACCTTTATTTATCGATGTGTCAACTTGACAACAAAGGCTGTTAACAATAACTGTAAGCTTCTTTACTATCTTAACTACTTAAGCCTTTAAAAAACTGTCTTAAACTAACTTGTAAAACTATAATAATATACAAAATTCACTTATAGATCAAACAGTACGAAAAAAACCCGAACAAACCGAATTTCAGGCCAATACCACCACCTCTTCGCCAACTCTTTCTGGCCTGATGCTTTAATTGGAGCAATATTACTGTGCGTAGCCATCGTATCCCTAATCTGCTGTCTAATTGGCATAGTCCAGCTAATGCAATCCTTATTAGCCGGCCGAGTTGCAGTCCTAGTTCGTCGAATCCTAGACCAAGAATGTCCCCACCCATTCAGCTTCATCACCGGCTACATCGTGATGTTGTTCGGAATGGTGGTTGTCTTCATCGTTCAATCAAACAGTGTGTTCAGATCAGCCTTGACACCGCTTGTAGGTATTGGTGTTGTGACTTTGGATAGGTTATATCCATTGTTACTTGGAGCTAACATGGGGTCTTCGTTTACTGGAATTCTGGCTGCGCTTTCAGCCGACCCAGCTAGGCTGAAGGAGACCTTGCAGATAGCTTTATGTGAAACGTTATGTAACGTTTTTGGGGCTATAGCGTTTTATCCTATACCGTTCTTAAGACACATACCCATGAATATTGCGATGAAGCTAGGGGATACTACTGCTCAAGTAAGTTAATACCTACTATAATATAATGACATTACTACCTACGACAATATAATAGCTTTTCTTTTCAATTTCACAATGTTTTGGCCCTAGTACTGTAACTAAAAACTAATTTTTTTCCATCTTTATGACCTTCCGATACAAATATGATATCAATAAAACTTTTAAAAGAATGACATTTCAGTACCGATGGTTTGCCTTGGTCTACATAGCACTATTCTTTTTCGTAATGCCCTTATCACTACTTGGCATCACCTTACTTCCCACTTGGGCCACAATAACAACAATTTCACTACTCGTCTTCTTTCTTACCATTATCTTCACCATCAACTGGATGCAATCAACCTACCCCACACTACTACCAAAGATGTTACAATCCTGGGATTGGCTACCAAAACCGCTATATTCTCTGCGACCGTACGATGACTTCGTACGAAAATACTTTGGCTCCGTAGCTTGTTGTAAGAACCACTTTGTGTCTTCTGATGAACATAGAAAACGGTCAGGACACTTGGATGATATGTTTGTTCGGCCCTCGATGGCTGAAAAAGAAGCAGTTCAGAATGAAGAAGACCGGCTTGGCTTCATCAGAGAGATAATGAGGACTCCAACGCCGCAAATGACTTATTATTAAGATAGTTATATTACTTTTAAAAGCTTTAATGTTATTGCTAATATATAAATGTAAACCTATCAATTGGATTCAGTTCAATAAACAATAGATAATCTTGTCATTTTACTTACACAAGGAAAGTGCCCGAACTGCCTTGAACTTCAAACTTTATATATATGAAGATAGTGTAAATATAAGGTCAACAGCAAAGTACTAAATTGCGCTGTCCAGGAAATATCGATAAAATCGAGATCAAAAAATAGCGTTTTGAATTTCCCGCCAAATAGGCATTGTGTTTCAAGCTTATAACTTTGCCATTTTTTAATTTATAATCATTGCTCTTTGATATACTAATAGGAAACCTTCAAATGAACCAACATTTTTAGAATTGTAAGCGTAGTTTGTTTGGAAAATCAAAAAAAGTGCTTGAAACACAATGCCTAGTTTGCAAAATTGGCGGAAAATCAAATATTTAAAAATTAAAGTTACAGTCTTTAGCTAATAGTTAAAATTAACATTATAATTTAGCGTTCCATGAAGGTTTATCTTCCTTTATCTTCTCTAGCACCCCCTTATCCTGCCTTACCTCTCGTTAAATTGCCGAATATAAGCAATATAGTAAAATATATCAATAATATAGTAAAAAACCAATAACACATCAAAAATGACACTCTTTGCTTCATATAATTTATCAAAGAATCAAATAATTCATTAATAATACACTGATTATGTTTGGCTTTTGGAGTCTGAGTTTATTGACGACGAATCCGAATTCAAGTTTTCAAAGCTCATGATGAAGCCGCCACGTTGATCTTGTTTGGCCTGAAATTAACACTTAGTACAATATAAAGCCACTTCTTTAAATTTTACTTTGACATATTACTCATTATACTTTGAAACTTCAAGTTATTAACAACGTATTTTACTAAAAACCAAAAAATGTCAGTTCATAATCTAACACAACATCAAAAAGTTACATTATATAATATAATGTACATTCCACTCACCACAGTCTGATGAGCTGAATAGAATATGTTTTCGTGAAAGCAATTGCTCTTCGGTTCTTCCATAAAACTTTCCACATCCACAAACTCCAATCGATCTCTGTACTCTCCCAGTACTTCTTTTACAATCTCCATTACCTCGTCCATACAATTCGAAGCAGTTTGGTTCCAACGAAGTTGAGGATGTTGTGGTTTTAACGGAAGCTCATTCAGTTGGACCTGAAATTAGGTTTTTAAAATTATAAGCACATAACTTTGGTAAATCTTTAACCTAGCCACAATCAAACCAATACCTTTTTTAAAATTAAAAAAATACCGGTTATGCTACTTTAAAGAGACAAAGGACGCAACAAATTGTGATGCGTTGTGTCCTTATCTCGCGATCAGTGGCGACGGCCACGGGAAACGGGGGTTGGCCTGCCTGGCCATATTCCTTAGCTGCCAAGAAGGGCCGAAGAGACGCCGTACGGAAGAGAGACGGTCCGCCTTTTCGTCCGGTTTGGCCGTATTAAAGGCTAGAAGAACGATCATTCGGGGTCGACCAGGCATAACAAAACGTTAAGCCGTAATTCCACTCTCTGTGAGCCAGAACTTGTTAATTGATGAGAACTTTCGAGAAATATCGGATGCCAGCTCTACTCAGGCCATCCCAGTGAGGGCTATTGATCTACCTCCTACCGTGCAGTCGCACCTCGCTCAAATAGATGTCAATCGTATGAAATCTACCGAGGATCTTGTGTTTTGGCGGTATTGGTTGCCCCAACTCAGCGTCGTTGCCCGCCTCTTCCGCCTATTTCGAGAAACGGAGCCTCCCACCACTCACTCAGCCACAGCCGTCCCATTCACATCCGGCTTCAACCTACAGTTAGCTTTCACCCCCGACGCTTTCAAACGCTTCTGTCGGAATTTCAAAACGAAGGATTCTGTATTGTTAAACTTGGATGATGGTGTAAACTTGTCAGGTTTCCACATTGTATCACAAAGCGACAACGTTGTGACCTTGAATCGACGACCACGCCAAATCACCGAAAACATGGCTTCACTAATAAGGCGTGTGGACGCGGATCTCGCCTCCCGTTGGGAAACGTACGAACACGAAGCGTTGCATCAGATCGAACCATTCTCCCGACCATCGGAAGTCTCTTTACTGGCTGACACACAGGCCACAGAAGCTCAACGGTTATCTCAAGTAAAGTTGGTCGATCGGCTTCTAGCACGACCAACTCGGCCATCGACCAATCCCTACTATACCAGTCCTGAACAAACGGTTCCGTTTAGAGTGGTGGCGGGGTTGCCAGTCGACCCTCCCACATCACATCTACGAAACACTACTCCATTGGAGGAATTCCGGAATCTAATTGGCAATTCGCCGCTGGACGAATCACAAAAAATGGCTGCACAGTTGGCCGCACCCTTTGGCTCGACCACCATCATCCACAGCCCCGCGGGAAGTGGAAAAACATGGCTTTTGGCCAACATGCTACAAGCCGCGGTGAGGTCAAAGTTGGGACGTCTTTTTGTCGCAACAACTGAATCAAATGACGGTGTTAGAAACATCGCGGAGGCCCTCAGGCAGTTGGAACAACCAGGCACCACAGTCATATGGTTCCGAAGCGAACACGACACAGGACGGCATGTCAATCCCGCTGGTCGTATATCCAATGATTACCTTTTTTCTCCACTATCTTTACTGTGCCACATCGCTCAAACTCGCCCGCCCCTCACCTCGGTTGGACGACGCATAATCGACAAAGACGCCCTGCACAGGAACGCAAGGTTGACCACAATGCTAATTGCCCGCGAAGCACTGAAGGTGGCTGATCGAGCCCTCATTCTGCTCGGTACCACGAATCTCATCGCGTCAACATTGACCAAGTTGAACCTAGAAATCGACCTACTCTGCTTAGACGAGGCGGGTGTGGTTTCAACCTCAGCGGCAATCACAGTAATGGGATCGTTTCGACAAGTGTTTCGGGTGGTCGCGTGTGGCGACAAGATGTAGCTGCTGAGCTGCTCTGACAACAGCCTCGCCACCATACGGTTTGGAGAACTGTCGGTACTCACACACATGGAGAAGGATGATCGCACCTCAAAAGCGGCACTAAAATTCACATACCGCTTCTCGAGGCCACTGGCTGTTCTCATAAGCCAAGCGTCATATTATGGAGTGATCGGCTATCGGGGGACAACGGTGCCACTTCCAGCGGTCCAACGAGCGATGAAGACAGACCGTCCGGTGACCCTAGTGGACGTCACCCAACCTCACTCCCCCGTCGGGACCTCCTTCACCAACCACGCGCAAATTGAGGCCATGACGAATGTACTATGGACGCTGTGCACAGAGGTCAAGGATTTGGCAAAAAGCCAGGCACACTTCGCCGCTGGCTGATATGGTCCAGCTGAACTTCACACTGCCCATTGGCCATCAGTAAACCAACTCGGTGTCGTGTTCTTTTGGAGGTATTGTATGGTATAATTTAACTGTTTGTGTATGTTATAGTGTTAACCGTTTTTTTGCGTGTTATAGTTTCAACTGTTTTCGCATGTTACACGTTTAACCATTTCGAAATAAATTTGTTACATTAATCCCTGTGGACATTTGTTTTACCATACTGGTTGACTCCCAGACATACTTTTACTTGAGGTTGCTGGCCTCCATAGTCTGTCTCTCACTATCAATCTCGTCTCCCTCGCGACTTCCGAGTTGCATGTTACTCAAACCGTATGCTCACACCTATGCCTTCTTTGTAAGGGAGGAACAGGGGAAACAGGATGGGCTGAGGGTAAGGGAAAATTAAGTGAAGATAGCACCTCCGAGGAGGGCGATTACATGTTCTGGAGAAGGGAAGAGGGCCATTACCTCCGAAAGGTAATTTGGGAGAGGAGCCGGAAAGGCTCCGATCCGAAAGAGGGAAGCGTTGGGGTTATCAATGCCATAACACGAGGCAAAGCCAAGAAGGTGGGAACAAACGGCGCCTCGGTACCCCCGCCATCGACTAGCCGGGATGGGGGGGGGGCCGTCGCGACACATCTCTACTAACAAGGAAAGTACCCTACCTGCCCCGCTCAGAATCAGCTCAAAATTTGTATATGAATTCTTTGTACCACCAATAGTACCCATAAAAAATTTTAGCTCGCGCTTTTGAGTTTTAAATTTAAATTATTTGGGTTTCCCGCCAAATTGGCAAATTTGGCATTGTGTTTCAAGCACTTTTTTCGGCTTTCCAGACAAAATACGCTTACAAATTTAAAAATGTAAGTTCATTTAAAGCTTTTCTACTAGTATATCAAAGAAAAATTATTAAAGGTCCAAAATTGACAGTTACAAGCTTGAAACACAATGCCAAGTTGGCGGGAAATTCAAAATGTCATTTTTTAATCTCGATTTTCTCGTCATTTCCTGGAAAGCGCGATTTAGTACTTTGCTGAAGACCTTATATTTACATGATCTACCTATTTAAAAAATTTGAAGTCAATCAGAGCGGGGCAGGTCGGGCACTTTCCTTGTAAACCCAAATCATTAGACTTAATATTGATTTAGACGACAAACAATCTTATATTTCAATCCTAAAAAACTTACGACAACTTCAGGCACTTGAACATCATTTTTCTTTAATATCTCTTCTTTTTTAACATCTTTTGGCACATTGATCATCGTTGCCCTTTCACTTTTCTTTTTAGCTTTAGAGGCTTGCTCCATACCCTAAAACAGCAAATTATAGTATAAAACGTTTTTTTAACTTTCCACTTTCAAGCAGAGATGTACTCACACCTGCCAGATCTTTTTACGCTACAGTATTTTCAAAGGTGGAAGAGTGTTGCACGGTGCAATCAAATTAAACTCTCTCTGCACCGTGCAACCAAAAAAATTAAAAATGCAAAACCAAAAATAACTTTTGAAAATAGAGCGCCCAAGATAAAGTTGAACTTACCGAAGTCGATTTAGAAGTTGATTTAGACTTGGATTTGGACCGTTCCTTGATAAGCTTTTGTTTTTCACTTTCAGTTCGAAGTTTCGCAGCAAAAAATACGTTTACTTTCTTCTAAAAACAAAAATAGGTTTAATAATTAAATTCAAGTGCTCTAGCTATTTTCATACTTAAGCCATTTCTCAAAGGCCCTTACTTCCTGATCCACTTCAGTAATGTGTTCAACATCCTTCGCTGGTTCTGCAAATTCCCATTCGTTGTCTTCGCAAGCTGGAAGCGGCGGACCATCTAGCTCATCTCTTTTGTTATCACGACCGCTCATCCTAACTGTTAGAGAATACAAAATGACCAACTTTAGAGTTTCATTTTACGATTTCCTGAGTTTTACAAATTTGAACATTTTTTACAAAAAAAATACGTTTTTTGATCAAATCAATTGAAAAAAAAGTTTAGTAGACTATTGAAGAGTATGCCACAATTTAGACAATATACTTCGACGTTTGTCCCCTAAATTTAGCTAAACACGGGGTTTTGATGCAAAAGAACGATTATCGCTAAGAAATTCATTTTTTCGGGCCAGGGCGCAAGTCGGAAAAATTATAAGGGGAAATGACATTTTCGAATATACTGAAAAAGTTAACACCGCAAAAAACAAAGTAATAAAGTATTCAAAAACTAGAATTTATGCTCTTTCAGATACTATTTAGCTCTATGTCAAAATAATGTTTCGTTTTCTCACAATTTGCATTCAAAGTCTGCATATTGGGTAAAAATACAGTGAAACATGACATTTTCGAATATAGTGAAAAAGTTAACACCGCTAAAAACGAATTAAAACCTTATTTCAGTACTACATTTTATGCTGTTTTAGATACTATTTAGCTCTATGTCAAAATAATGTTTCGTTTTCTCACAATTTGCATTCAAAGTCTGCATATTGGGTAAAAATACAGTGAAAACCGACATTTTAGAATATGGCAGAAAAGTTAACACCGCAAAATACAAAATAAAACAGCATTTTAATACTACATTTTATGCTCTTCCAGATAATATTTAGTTCTATGCCAAAATAATGTTTTGTTTTCTCACAATTGGCATTCAAAGTACACCCATTGAGGAAAAATATAGTGAAAAGTGCATTTTTACCCTACCTGACATACCATACCCTACCCTACATACTATGCTTTGCCATATCGTATTATACCATATCATATTAAATTGTATGTTGTCTACTATTCTCTACCTTACCTACCATACCATATTCTATACTACCAACCGTACAATACTCTACCGTATCCTGTACTACCATACCTTATATTTACATACCCTACACTATCTTATATACCATACTATACTAAATCATACCATACCAAACCCTATACCACCTACTATACCATAGTATCACATACAATACCTACCTTATCCTATCTGCCAAACATTATCATATCTTACCTTGTCTAATCTTATATTTACGACAGTACCGTATACTATAATACTTACCCATTGGTAAGATTTCAGTGCAAGTATGTAAGGCAAGATAAGTGGTTTAGTATAGACAAATATGTCATGGTATGGTATGGTAGATATGGTACTGTAGGTAGTGTAAGGGTATTTTAGAGTATAATATGATATAGTATTTTTTGGTTTAATATGGTAGAGTAGGGTAGGATAGGTAGTATAGGGTGTGATATGGTACAATATAGTAGTATAAAGTATGGTAGGGTATGGAATGTTAGTTAGTATAGAGTATGGTAGTACAGTATACGGTAGGGTATGATATGGTAGGTAGAATAAAGTATGACATGGTATAGTAGGTAAGCAACGTAGAGAATAGATAACATACGATATAATGGTATAGTATAGCATAGTAATTAGGATAGAGTATGGTGTGCCAAGTAGGATGAGTACGATATAGTAGGTAGCATAGGGTATAGTATGTTAGGGTTTGTTCCGGAGGTGTCACTATTCCGGAAAGTGACCCAAACCTTTTAAAGATTGTGAAGAAGTTAACATGGCATTAAAAAAAGTAATACTGTATTCAAAAACTAAATTTTATGTTTGTTCAGGTAATGTTTAGCGCGATGCAAATATAATGTTTCAATTAGTTAATAACTGCGTTTGAAGCTAACCTGCTACCTGCTATCCATTTCCAGCCTAATCGATAGAAAATTGGCATTTTTAGCTATTTTGCAAAGATTAATATTGTCTAAAGCCGTGTAAAGCAGACCTATATCTACTTTTTGTTCCTTCTCTTATTAAAAATCCTTAAATACAAATGCCAGTTTAAAAAAATACAGCAAAATTCGCTAATAAGATTCCGCTTAAAAACCCCCGATATAGCGAAATTTTTTAAATCCCAAGAAAAAATGTTTCATTAATTCTTGACTAAAAAATCCGGATATAATGAAATTCCCTGCAGCTAACAGTTCTTTAATCCCATTGCAAATTGCAGTTCGTTAAGTTTTAAAAAGTTGCCATCAGCAACAAATTGTTTGTAAACAAACCTATAATATTTTCATTTTACGTCTTTTTTATTATTTTTGTTTTATTATAAAAAGTTCATAAGCTGCCTGTGAATAATAGAGCAAACGTTTCTTCGTATAACTTGTCACTCGCGGGACACAGCGGCCCGCCGCGAAAAAAAGTCTAACGATAATAGAAAAACACCCGTGAAATTTATAAAACTTTAATTTTTCTTTCACACATACAACCTGGTTTACTCCCGACGCGCAAACGATAAACGCAAAAATTTTGTGGCTATGTGTATTATTCGTTAAAAAATAATTTTTTGGGATTAAATTTTGTAAAGTTAACAAGTAAATGGCTACAACAAGCTCAACAATGATTCTAACACGACCAGTAGCTTCAGAAAATGTAGACTTACATGATCCAGTTGAAGATTTTTTGAATTCGCCGTTTGATGAAGAAGAAACGGCTGTTGAATACCTATGTTTACATCAATTTAACGCTTTGAAAAGGTAAGTTAAGCCTAAATAATAGTTTTTTTCTGTGTTTAGGTTTCCAGAAGATTTCGACGAGAAAAAGGCGTTTTATCCGACTATATTCAATGAAATTCAAAGACTTTTCATCAGAGTTTCCAACCTTAATGTCGTTAAAGATCCTTCAAAGTCGTCGGAATTTAGTGCTGTTATGTTTTACTGGCTGCACTTTGTACAGAAAGTTACTTTAAAGATTTATGAGGTTAATCAGAAGAGTTTTGCCAAGATTGTCAACTTGGCTCTGAATGGATTGGTGTTTCAATTGGCACAACAAGATTATAAGGAATATGAGAGGTAGGTAGAGTATTTTGAAAGCATATCTTAGTTTAGTTTTAAGATGATATAAACCTATAGCTTTTCTTGAAGTAAAGGTGCAATACTATAGCCTCAGTTAAGAACAAAAGATGTTTTCAGAAGGAAGAGTATAATTTTAGATGCACGACTATATTGGTCAACTTACTCCCAAGTCTGGAAGGATATACCGAATATGAGCAGTTATTTCTTGCTATTCATAACATAGTTGTGAAGAAAAAGAAAAAAGGAAAGCAGCTCTACTTTGAATGGTCCAAAAATTGTAATAAAGAGTTGGGGATCTTGGTTTTGGAGCTATTGTGGAAGATCTGCGAGCTTGGTATGGATGCATGGAAGCAAGGTAAGAGGCTCAAACTATTATTTTCAAAAAAATTATGTTATATTAATCTTAAAAAACTGATGTTACAATTTCAGAACTCCAACTTGACATTCTTGAAGTAGTCAATTTAATGAAATTTTCGTTTGAAACTAAAAGTGAACGAATTTTTAATGTCTGTGCCAGCACTTTGAGCAAATTAATCAAAAATTCTTCATATGACATTTTTGTACATTTTCGTGAAGTGTTTTCCTTAATTGGGTTACAATCTCAGCATCCGTTGGTACTGTCGGTGACACCTGGTATTATGAGAAGATTTGCCTGTTTTCAACCGATGGAGCCATTGGGATTGGAGGTTTTGAAGGTTGTGTTGGAGAATAAGGTAGGGTTTTTATTTTTAAGATTTTTTTTTGTAAATTGACATTGGGTTTTAAGTTTTAGACAATTAAAGGGGCCGGTCTGTTTGGCTTGGTTCGGGCCGAGGCCGGGCTTAGTGAGTCTCTTTTAGGTCTGTTAAGACTTTGTTTTTGCTAACTTTTAAAATTTTATGGGAGTTACTATTTTTTAAAGCTTAAAATAATTACTAACATTAGCTAAGAAAACGATGGCACACTAATTTATGGTTTTACAGGACACAGTAACTGATTTACACTACGAAGTATTGTTTGAATTTGTGAAAAACTCATATTTTTCAATAAGCGAAGAGAAGTTGGAGCAATTGTTGGTATTATTGTGTAAAAACCTGGATGAAACTCTAGAATCCCCAGCCAGATTTAAGTTGTTCAACTTGTTCTTCAGCTTAAAAGATGTCAGAGTACCTATGCCTATCAATGCAAGTTTAATTTTTACTTTAGTTGACGTTGTTTTACGGATTAAAAGGTAAAATACAGGTTATAGAGGGGTTCTATTGAGAGTTGAAAAAATATTTTTAAAAAATAGTACATTTTTTTCAGTTTGCCATAAAATCTGTGCTGCCAAGACAAAATGAATTCAAGAAGGATCCAGTGATCAGACGGTTGTTTGTACAGTTAAGATCACTTTGTCATTTGGCTTTGCCCCAACGTGAACGACTTCTGAAGGTTGCTGGAGCTTCACTCAAACCAAGGGCTAAAGCACAGTCCAAATTCTCGGTTTTAAAGCCAGGTTTTGGTAGGTTTTGTTATTTTAATAATTTTTATTATGAGGGTTACTAATTAATTTTTTTAAATGAATGACTTTGGGTTATGGGTAAGAAGGCAGTTATAACTTATAAGCTGTTTACATCTTATAATTTGAAAGATAATGAAGTTAGGAATGGTTAATGTAAAGATAAATCATATGGCTTTTAAAATAACAAAAATTAGTTGTTTACAAGTATTTACTAACGAAAAATAATTTTTGGGTACTTTTCGCAACTTTTCGAATTTAAAATTGAGCGAAATCAGTGCGGATAAAGCGGTTTCTGAGCCGTGGCTGAGTGGTCTAGTGGTATGATTCTCGCTTAGGGTGCGAGAGGTCCCGGGATCGATCCCCGGCTCAGCCCACGAACCTTTTTGCTTTTTTCTTTGAATCTTTAAAAACATTTGTAAAGCTTTTGATATAATAAAATTCAAAAATTTACATAAGAATAAATAATTCCTTTAGCTTTTAACTAAAAGTAACTTCTTTTTTACTTTTTTTCTTGTATAAGATGGATTCCTATAGTTGTATAATGATTCCTTTCAGGTAGCTTATTAAGTGACACTTATTTACAAGCAAAACAAAATGCAATAAACGACCAGATAGTGGATGAAAAAGGTGATAAACAGTCAACAACTTCACAAGAAAAAGAACTTTCAGAGGAAATTGAGCTGATTCAAGTTGAAGATGAAGTTGTCTTAAGTAGCGATGGTGAAGACGTCAAGATTGTAGATGTGAAGCGTAAAAAATCAGATGATGTTGTGGTAATATCAGAAAAGAGGCCCAAATTGGATAAGATTTCCGATTTGGACAGAAAAATGGTGGATTTGCAGTTGAGTGTGGATGGTGATACGAAGGTTGAAGTTGTACGTTTTTGAGTTATCTTTAGTTAGGTTAAGGTCTTCTTTCTTTTGTTTAAGGTCTTGTAAATGGCAAAAAGTAATTTCTTACATTTCAGGCCATTCCAGACTCACCAGGCAGCTACGATGACGAAGGAGCTGAAACAGAACACGAAGAAGAAGGTGACGATGAGATTGTCACTTTCTTGGACTTGGAAATGCCAAAACGTAAAGCAAAAGAGGTCTTCAAAGCTGTGTTTGGTACTACTAGAACTGTGCCAAGTCTAATGAAACGACCAATAGAACCACTCGAGTGTGAACAAATCTTTGGAGTGAGTTTTGACGTTATTATTGGTAAAAAGAGGCAAAAATGTTATTAAAAAATTGATAAAAACGCAATTTTTTGATTAAAATTTATAAGGGTAGTTATTTTTTTAACTAAAAGATATTATTTTTTTATGTTACCATATCAAAATATTTAGAAACTTTTCAAAAAATTTAAAAAAAGCGCCAAAAAGCTTCCTGGGCTGAACCGGGGATCGATCCCGGGACCTCTCGCACCCTAAGCGAGAATCATACCACTAGACCACTCAGCCACGGGTCGCAGCGCGCTTCGGCAAGTACGGATTTCGAATGTTTTGAAGGGAAATGGAAAGCAAAAACAAGTTTCTCCTTGTTTTTCGGATTCTGAACGTGGTTTCAGTGCGGAATTTACAATAAATCTTGTAAAACTTAATGTTTTATGGGGTTTGTCAGAGAGTTTTGAATTTATTTTTTGAAAAATTAAAAAATTAGACGAAAATTCAAATAATTGAACTTTTTTCATTAGTTTGTTCAAATAATTCTGTGCTTCTAACCTTGAAATTTGTTTTGATAGGGGACACAGAATTATTTGAACAAATTTATATAAAAATTTGTTATTTTTATTTTTAGGACACTTCGGTTAACATAATGGAAGGTCAGCCAAACCGCGAGGCTATGAAGAAATGGAAGGAAGTGACAGATCCAGTCAACGCGGAAAAAGAGTTCTCCGCCATGGCGAAGAAATTCAAAGTGAGAGAGGAAGAGTTGATGGGAGAGTACGATTGTGATGATGAAGATGACGATGAAGCCGAGAGAATAGCTGAGGAAATTGCTGAAATGTTCAAAAATCAGTTTGGACTTCCATAATTCCATAATTTTGTTTAATCTTTTAAAATGTTGTTTTATGTTTAGTTATATTGTTATATCAAATTGTTGATTTTTTTGTTGAAAAAATAAGTTTTAATTATATAGTCTGTGGAACCAGTTTTGAGGTCTTAAAAATTTTTAAAACTGGCTAATTTTGGAATGGGAAAGTGACATTTTGTTATAGAATTTTTATATTTTTTTCATCTAACAGAGAAAGTACCAAAATGCAATTCAGAATCAGTTCAAAATTTTTTGATAAGTAATTTGGTCTTGATTTTCTCGAGTTTGAATGGCAAGCGCAATTTAGTACTTTGCTGATGATCTTATATTTACATGATTTACTCCTATACATTACTCTTCCTATATAAGCAACCCGAAGGGACAGAAATTTTGTGTTTACTATAAGGAGTGTTGTCTTTACAGAGTGATTTTTAGTGCAAATTGGCTTGGCGGGACCAAATTTCTTGTTCACTATAAGGAGAGTTGCTTATACAGATGGTTCACTATATAGAGAGACCATTGTATTTTCTATGTATATTGTTCTTTTTATCTAAACTTCTAATTTAGATTTATTTTGTCAACACTTCTTACCTAATTCCGCATTTTATGTCCCTTCTTTACCTAAAAGGCAACTTTATGTCGAGACGAAAGTCGTGAAACCGGCGATATAAACCTAGGCTCTGTTGTCGACTGTTTGATGTGACGCAAGGCTTCTGTATTCCGAAACTTCCAAAACGAAATAAAACCGAATGAGGGGGAGGTTTTATTGGAAAATCGAGTCGAAAAAAAACTTTTGCCGCCCATTGGTCGTAAAAGGTGACTTTTCTCCACTTCCGCTCGGATTTCGGTACAGGTGGAAATGGCACAAAGGGATTAATAATAGTTTGGTTACAACCGTTCCGTTCGGATTTAATTTATGGATGGGAAGGGACAAATATGTATGCATCTTTTCGAATCTCGGCTTGATTCTTTGGTTTCTGGAGAGAGGGGAATGGATAGGTAGAGGGGTAGGGGGGGGGGTGAGGCGAACAAGATTGAGGTTTAAGTAATAGGTAGATTGTAAGTCTGTGAATAGTAAGGTAAAACTACATAGTCTAATGAAGAATAATGAAGGTATTAACAAAATATGGTAAAGAAAGATTACATAATATTATGATTTAGAATATATTTTCTACGATTCAAAAAAAGAATACGTAGATAAAGGTAAGATAAATAGTAAAATACGGCTATCTTCTGCTAATTTGTATTTTTTTTTATTTTTAATGTAGTACATGTATTATGAATAAATAAGAGTATTGTCAACCTTGTAAAAAATGTAAAATTGTAAACATTATTTTAAAGTTGTTGCGCATTTTAAAGTACAGTGAACTTTCGAATTGCAAGGAAATTAAAAAATCATTTGCTGTAGCGAGGTTTTCATTTTATCCGGAGTTGTTTTACTTAAGAATCAGTGCAAGATGTCCTTCTAGGAAATTCAAAAAAATTCGTTACAACGAGGGGTTCATTGTAAGCAAAGTCTTAGTAGCGAGTTTTCATTGTATATAAATAAAAAAATTTATCTTGATTCCAATTTTTTATTTTGCAGATAAATGAAAAAATGAAGATTGTAGGGTTAACTATGCACTTTTTCAATATTTAAAAAATGAACAAGAAAAACATTTTTTAATTTTGTAGGGGAGGGGAAGGGGTGTAGATTTTTCTTTCTTACTTTTCCTTGTAGCATTACAATCTCTTTTCTTATCGTCCGGCTCTAGTCTTCACTACCATTTAATTTTTAAGTTTTTATTTTTATTACTATGGTTATGTTTTTACTTTTAATGTCATGTATTCGTTCCGGATGGGTAAAATTTGAATGTTCGTCTGCAAATTATGGTATAACAACTTTGAATTGCGTTTTCTTTATTGTCTTTGCTTATTAGTGGCGAAAGAAATGTAAATACAAACTTTATTTATTTAACTTTGCTTTTTTAGATGATTAATATTTGGTGCAGAGGTCGTATTTTACATTATTTTCTATAATTAAAAAAAACCTAAAATTATAAGTTTTAGATAATAAATTGTATTTTACCAAAATTAACCATAGGCTTTGAAATACACATAATATAAGATTTTTCAAATAATTATGTGCCCTCCCACACCAAAAATTTGCTTTGAAAGGAAGCACAGAATTATTAACCTAATATCTTAGACAAGCAAATGTGCAATATGATAAGATTATGTCTTAAAAATATAGGTAACAACACCTACTTTAAGGTATTTTTGATTAAATTTCGATCTCCGCGCACTCAAATTCAATATTTAAATAGAACAAACAGAGAACGGTTACGGTCATTGCTTTTTCATTACATTGAGTCATACAACAACATAGTTACCACGTTACTTTGGGTTTGCTTACTTTGATATTCAGGGGTTTTGGGTTGAGTTTCGAAGGTAAAATACGTGAAATGCAACACTCGCCTTTTATTTTAAAATTTAAACTTAAAATACACAGTTTTCATTTTTGGCTCAGAAAGTTTAACCTCGATGACATTCGATGGTGTGATATTCTCTTTAGAATGGAAGCTTTTAGCCACCTTTTTTACTACAGTCAAGCCCCTTTAGTATGACACTCAAGGGACTAGTCCAAATCTGCCTTTATAAACTGTATGTTGCCCTAGCAGGTTAATTTTTGATAAGATTTGTATTACAAAGGGCGGTCAGAATGTTGTCATTATAAAGAGGATGACATAATATCGATGGTTTTACTAAAGTTTGGTTGTATTTAAACGTTTGTAGCACTGCAACTTTATCTTGTAAATTACTACTATATATCTTTGATGTGTTTTAAATATATTACTCTGGTTATAGTATTTTGAAGTAGAATATAATGTTGCAAATGTCGTGGTGTGTTGTTACAGGTAACTATATTATATGTAAAGTAAACAGCCAAAAAATATCATTTATTTTTGAATTTATTATATATACTTGTTGATTCTACAGTATCGTGAATTTTAATTTTTGAGTAAATACTTTTTTCAATATGTTGTCTATGACAAACTGAAATGTATTTTTTATTTCATTATGCTTTTTGCAAGATCATTTATTATCTTTCTATTATTTTTTGTTTTACAATACTCTTGTTCTTCGTAGCTGCTTTACAGTACTCTTTATGAAGCAAGCTTAATTATATATTTTTTTCCTTACTATAATGGTGCCTCTTGAGGTATTTAATCGGAATATTCGACAAAGATCCTTGATAGTATGACATCTTCTTTATAATGACGGTCTTCTGACTCTTTTTGTAACAGAATCCTTATTAGATAATACCTGAGTAGGGTAACCCTCTGGTTTTAAGGACAGGTTTAGGCCATTTCGCTGAGTGTGATACTAAAAAGTTTTGGCTGTATTACAAAGGGCGGGCAAGAAGTTGTCATTATAAAGAAGGTATTGCACTATCGAGGCTCGTACTAAAGTGGTTTCAGTGTATTAATGCTGACGTTTTCAATAACATTGTCATTTTTTAAATTTTTAAAGAACGATTTTATGTACAGTACACCTACAGTACCCTATCAAGTATAACCCTTTTCGAGTTTTTCAGTCTAAACCTCTTAACAGCGGGATTGAGAAGGAGTAATGTCGTCGTACCCTACTTCGAGGCGAATTTGAAAGAAAGAAAATTAAAATCAGCCATAAAAGATCTCTGAGGAAGGAGAAGGTCGTTGTAACTGCACCCTCACTTACTTCGTTTTACGTCCGATCATGCGGGCGTACGGTAGTCTAATTACTCTGATTATTTACTTTCAAATTCGACAGAGTTTTGGCTCGTTTCGCAATTATGTCAAACCGCCAGATGTGCTATTCGAGGTGAGTTGACATTTGCTTATATTGTATAGTATTGTATTGTATATGGTGACATTACATTTCTTGGCTGTTAGACATAAGGTAGCTAACATATAAAGGTAGATTGACATATAATTCTGTAAGAGTGTTCAAATAATTCTGCGCCATTTCTAAAAGCAACTTTTTGAGGTTTGAAGGCACAGAACTATTTGAACTACTTAATATTAATGTAAAATTGACGAACATATTAAGGTAGATTAACATATTTTTTCGATTTTATAAAGTACAGGATGCGCCAAAAGTCCCCGGACTCATTATTTTAGTCATATATTTATTAAAACTATGGGGAATAGGACAATCTTTAAAAAAATGATATAAATTGCGTACACCATAAAGAAATCGACCGGTAAAGTTAGTCCGGGCACTTTTAGCGTACCCTGTATGTTAACATTGTTCGCTAGGATACGTATACGTCAAGAAAGAGTGGTTTACTGTAACATGAGAAAATGGAAGAAAAAATAGAAGGAGAAAGAGAAAAAAAACAAGAACTTTAAAAAATATTCACCTTGCTAGTATAATACTGTGGATGCAGTCAAACCTCATTAGTATGGCACTGAAGGTACTTGTTCCAACTTGTCTTTTGAACCTAGGAGTCACACTACCCAGCTACTTCTTCATGGAGTTTCTATTACAAAAGCATCCAGAATTTTTCATTATAAAGAGGACGGCAGACTATCGAGGGTCATACTAAAGAGGTTTTACTGTACTGTCACCACCAAACTTCATTAACTCTACTTCCAGGGCTGTTCTCCAGAACTACAACATGTTCATTCATTCAAACACTTCACCACAACTTGCAAAACTCAACCATCGTTGGCAATCGTAGCGTACGAAGGAATTCTGGACGCGATGGAAGAGTGTCGCGAGCGAATGAGATTCCAGCCGTGGGACTGTTCACAGCCGGGAACGGTGTTGCATGAGCCTTCGTTGTTAAGATACGGTAGGGTTTTTGAACATTATTTGATATCAATAGGGACGTTATTAAGTTGTTCAAATAATTCTGTGCTTCCTAGCCTTAAAAAATTTAATTTTAAAAGGGGGCACAAAATTATTTGAACAACCGAATAATTTGCAAAAACAGTCGTTCTAATTCGAAAAAACCCCAAATTTCACTAAAATTCAACTAAAATGCCTTCAGGCTACCGAGAATCCGCTTATCTTCTAGCGATGAGTGCGGCCGGTGCAGCTTGGGGTGTGTCAACAGCCTGTGCACAAGGCTGGCTTTCTGAATGTAAGTGTATACCACCCAAGATCAATACTGATCACATGGATCCTCAACAAATCGAGGACCTTAACCAAGACCCGGATTGGCAATGGAGTGGATGTTCGTATGGTGTACAGTATGGCATTGGCACGTCGAGAAAGTTGTTCACAAGGACAGCCGGACATTTGAGAGGACCGTTGAAGAGGCTGGAGAAGCATAACTTGAAGGCTGGCAGATTGGTGAGTTGTCGATAATTTAGTGGTATAGTATTAATAGGTTGTTAAAATAATTCTGTGCTTTCCTAACTTAAAAATTTGCTTTGAAAAGGGGCACAGAATTATTTAAACAACGTAATGAAATATGACATTTTTGCTGTGCCAATAAAAGTAAACTTGCAACACAAAAATTTTTAAAAAAGCGGGAAATTTAAAATTTAAAAAAGTTAAAGTAATAAGTAAAAATCTGAGTTAAATTGTTTTAGGCAGTTAAAAAGACCCTAATCCAGCAATGCAAATGTCATGGAGTTAGTGGTAGTTGTCAACAAAAGACATGTTGGAAGAAGGTGGCGGACCTTACTACAATATCTGATTACATTACCGATAAGTACTACAAAGCCAAACAGTTGATAAACGAAGGCACTAGAGTCAAAAGCTCGGATTTGGTATGTTAATGTTATATTTTATTATTGTAAGCAGGGTCGGGCGGCAGGGAGGGTATTCGGCAAGGGGGAGGGGGAGGGGATCAAACTCAAGGTTCAAAAAATTCAAAAAAAGTAAAAATGACAAACTACAGTACCTTATGCACACTTTATATCCCAAGTATAGTATAGCAAATTAGTATACGTTTCAGATATACCTAGAGCAAAGCCCGGAGACATGTACTCCTTTCACATACGAAGTGAAGCAACGTCGCTCTCTGCCACGGATATGCAACTGGAGGAACGAAACTCACAGTATGGGCGACTGTAACTCTTTATGTTGTGGTAGAGGATTTACTGTAAGTTTTTCTTCACTACTGTTTAAGTCTGAGCTTATATTGGCCTACATAGGACTGCTGTATTTAAGTGCGCATACATATGCATAATACATAGCGCTGCCATTTTTGTATGTACCTTTAAAGCATAAAAATTACAGTGTATCTACAGCACAGTAAGACATGTTGTTTTAAATATACAGTAAAAATAAAATGTTAAACATAAAAGTATTAAAATCAATACATCTTTAGGTACGACATGAGCCAGTCACGTACAAATGCGATTGTAAAATTGTATGGTGCTGTAATTTGCAATGCAACGAGTGTCTTCAACATCAATGGGTCTCAACATGTAATAATTAACTTTATTTTCTACTAGTTTCACTTACATTTTGCAATAAAACCAAAGATTATACTAGATTTTAGGCAGAAAGTTACTGTAAAATTACTTCAAAGTGCCGTACATTAGTCTCAAGTTTATACAAGTTGAAACTGCAATTTTTTGAATATTTTTTAGTTTCAAAAAAGCAAGAATAGAACAATGCGTATTTTACATCTTAAAAAGTCGAAAAAAAACTTCCTCCCCGGCCGGGAATCGAACCCGGGTCTCGCACGTGACAGGCGCGGATACTTACCACTATACTACCGAGGAACGTTGCTCTATTTTACGAATATTTCTATTGTTTTTATCGCCAACATAATGTCGGTATGAAGCAATATGAACAACACCTTATAATGTGAAAACAGTAAAAATACCAAAATTTTGTTATCATTTACACAAAAACAGGATCAACTGGCTAAGGTTCAATTGAAAACAGCTACAATGGATTTCTCTAATAGTCTTCGCCAAACCTTCACCATCCTTCTTCATGTCTCAATTTTTATATCTTGCGTTAAAAAAGGAATGATAGTTTTTAGAAGTTAAAAAAGTTTAAATTATAAATAGGTATTAGGTTGTTTCCAAAACAATGGACGAATTTATCCTTGATTTGTTTGCCAAAGTTGGCCGTTCTTTTTGCAACAACCTAATAATAAAAATCAGGAGCACGTGTTGTAGAATTGTGTGTGTTTAAAGTTATGTTTGGAATGTATATCAAAACTTTAAAAATGACGTACTACATCTAAATTTAATTTTCTGAAACTACGTCATGTAACACAAATGGTCATGAAGTTATAGTACGTTCTATTGTAGTATAGCAACTCTTTCTCGAAACTAAAATTTGAATATTCTGATTTTTCAAATTTTAATCGTAAAAAAGGACGTTAGGCCATCTTTTGCAACGATTTTTTTACCCTACCAGACTGGTCAAGACAACAAAAGACCATTTTTTATTACAATTTCGAACCCACGACACACGTAATAGATTATATAACAAGCAACGTACAGATGCACAAACAAACATTCTTCCGTGACAAGTTGTAGTATTGTATAATTTATTTTAAAAGTCGATTGTATTTCGATTACACATGCACAAACTATGCTTCGTACTGCTTACTATAGTCAATGCTGATGTATCCCACTACATGTCATATATTCAGACTAGTAATGTGATTAATAATATACTTGTTCAGAGTGGTAATCTAGATGACAGTAACCTTTTTAAAACTAATAATGTAGAGCCTAACGTACTTGGTCAGAACAGTAATGTTATACCAGATATACTGGATCAAAATAGAAAAGTCAAACCGAACGTATTTATTAGTATTGATGTTACTACTACACAATCGCCCTCTACTACGACAGAAACTATTGATTTGGCATTAGATCGAACACCAAAAAATGGGTTTTTAATTGAATATACTCCGATTCCTATCAATAATTTCGCCGAAAGTAAGACATGTTTTACTCTTAAACTTTTTTTATTCAGGGTTAAATAAAGCACAGTAAATTAAAACTAAAAGACAAGGCTTAGGCTTTCCTTATTACTTTCTTTAGGTCTGGCAGAGACATGCAGGCCTTACGGTCGAGGTCTAACTTAATGTCCCAAACCCCAGTTTAGGTCTCGCAACGAAAGACTTACCTAATATAAAATATAAAACATATATTGTAATGTATTTATATAAGGAGTCGTGCATGTAGATGAGAAGCTGTCAGAGCTAACCCGATTTTTGAGACTCGGCCCAGGCTCAGAGCACAACGTATAAGTCCGACCCGTTTTCATTTTTTCTCAGGCCGGTCCGGCTTGATCAAAACTTGTTGGGCTTAATTTTTAGGCCAGTTTGTTTCAAATTTAGTTCAAAAGCGACCCTGACTACAATAAAATAAATCTCAAAATTACAAATTTTATTTTAGTCAACAAAAGATATATATCTGTTTATGAAAGGTATATATGAGAGCGGTAGGAAACAGGCCGTGTAAACCGGACCAAATCAAGCCGTATAGATGGCTTGGTCAAGATCGGCCTTGATCTTAAGTTGAAACAATCTGTGCCGGCCTGAAAAAAAAGTAATAACGAGTCGGTCTAAACTTTGTGCCGCTATCCCGGGCTAAGCCGTAAAAGTAAGCCCGGCTCATTTTTTACTCCTAACAACAGCAAACATTTTTTATTACTTTTCAGCTTTTAAAAAACATTTGCATATGAAAATTTAAAACTTTTATTTTCAGCTGGTGAATGTGAAGATGATAAAACAAACGATTGCACAATACCTAGGAAGAAAGAGTTGTGCACGAATGCTGCTTACTTTCATTTGATGCAAAAGTTTTGCGCCAAAACTTGTGGATTTTGTAGTTCAACACCCGCGCCTCAGGCACAACCTGAAATCACAACAGGTGTGTTCACATTGTTATGTTAAAGATTAGTTTATGGTTTTATATTGATTTTTAATGTAAAATACGCCAATAATAGTATTGTTAGTTTATAATATATATTTAAAAATAAAAAAAAATGTTTTAAAAATTATAGTAAACTGTGGAGAAGATACGACGACAGACTGTATCAAGCCGAACGTTCGAATTTTGTGCGATAACACAGTTTACCGCCGGTTGATGAACAAGAAATGTCCAAAGACTTGTGGAGCTTGTGCTACTACCACACCGTCAACCCCTATCACGCCAACTACTCCTAGCACGCCCAGTACTCCTAGTACTGAAAGCACACCAAGTACTCCTACTACACCCACCACACCTACTACACCATCTACTGACACAACACCGTCTACTGACACTACACCAAGTACACCAACAACGCCTACCACTCCCACGACACCTACGACAGCTACAGCTGGTACTACAACAAACCTTGACGATTGTAGTTAGTGATATTAAAGTTGCAAATGTTTGGAATGAATATACTTTTGCTATAACATATTAGGTTGTTCATTTAATTCTGTGCTTCCAACTCTAAAAATTTTTTTTGAGAAGGGCAGAGAATTATTTGAACAACGTAATACTTTGTTTTATGTCTTATTATAGGAGATTCTAAATTTTGCCATACAATAGCCAAAACCTAGGTTAGCCTTTGTTTTGGTTCATATCTTACCCTTATTTTACGACAACCTAGCTTGTCCTTGACTAAACGAATGTATAAAGCATTATAGAAAGCTAAATTCTAGTTTAATTTTAAAATTTAAACGCTATCTATGTATATTAATACTCTTCTAGCCTAAAACTCCTAAAGTTTATCTTTAAGTAATTCAATTTATAATTATATTTTACGTATACAAGTGTCAGCTAATATTATCATACACACATAATAAGTAAGCACGTCTCTGATGCTCTGTTCGTGGCAGAAGGGCCGAGATAATTAGGCGGAGATGGCATTTCCACATACTGAATGTAAATTAGAATACACACCAAGTTTTAATGAAATGCGCCGCAAGGCAAAGTTATTTTTTGTTGTTTTAGTTATCTTTATAAAATAGAAAGTATAAGAATGTGTTGTTTTACTTCGAGTTTTATCTTCATATTGTATTAAAAAAGTTAATACGAAGCTTTTCACTGTACCAAGAAGCTTGTTATAAGAAACGGAAAGTATATTTTTCTTGACTATGACCAGCTTTTACCAAAGTTTTTGATGGCACAATACTTTCTGTCGTCTATAACAAAAGTCTAACATAAAGTCATCCTAGTTTATGTTTTTCTCTTAACGGTGACATTTTATAAAAGTATTTTTATCCTTCATTTGATACAGTCATACTCTTTTAGTATGACACTTAACGGACAGCTCTAATTCCTTATTGTGCTAGTTGCAATATCAAAAAATGTAAAAACACAATTATTAAACAATTTTAATGTAAGGAGAAGCATGTTTATCCATGTTTAACGTCAACATTATATGAATATTATAGTTGATTGATGCAAGTGGAAGAACGTGTTCTCTAAAAATAAGGTTATTTTTGAAAATACAAATGTGAGCCTACTTTTTCTACGCGAAAATCTGTAGTTTTAATATTGCAGTAGTCTCTTGTTTTACAAAATTTTATATTGTCCCGGAGGCACCGGGTCTAGACTGGGCCTTAAAAGTGGACTAGCCCGTTTCTCACGCATAAGGAACGGTACTAATGAAGATTTTTTATAGTTACGGTATAAATTCGTTTTTAATTTAAATGTATCATTATCTTTTTCTACTCTATCAACCATTTATCCTCCACTAATCCTTTATGTCCTCCACTAACCCCCGTAACATAATAAACGTCCTTTTATGCGATTAGCTTCCTACCGTGCCATTGTCCTTCCAACGTTCCAACGTTTCACGAGGGGAAAGACCATACTTTGGAACAGCATGAGTAAACACGGTCGTCGGGAGATTAAAAATAAAACGAGATTAACTTTTTGTTTACTTTACTTATATCTCGATGACATGACACAAGACTTCGAAGAGTAATTCGAGAAAGGAAAGCACAAATTTGGGAGCACGTTGAGAGTTACATTCTGGAGACAAAAAACAGGAGCTGACGAGTGTTTTTATTTTTTGGGAATGGGGGAGGATGATGAGTGGTGAGAGAGTGATCGTTAAAGATCGTAAGATCACTTTGTGAATTATTAGTGAGTAGGGTTGTTTTACTAGGGTAAGGGTGTTTATTAGAAAAGTTACTCTTAGCAATTTAGCATTAGATACTGAAGGGCAGGAGGAAAAATAGTTAACAAGTTTTTAAATTTTTACAAAGAAACTACCCAGCCTGCCAAGCTCAAAACCAGCTTAAAATCTTTATTGACTTCTCGGCACTACTAATATTACCTATAAATAATTTTAGTTTGCGTTTTGAGTTTTCAAATTAAAATATTTGACTTTTCCGCCAACTTTGCAAATTTGGCATTGTGTTGCAAGCTCTTTTTTAATGTTTCAGATACGGTACGTTTTAAAATTGAGAAATTTAGGTTTATTTATCGGCTTTCTACTAGTATGTCAAAGAAAAATTATAAAAAATCAAAAAATGACAAATTTATAAGCTTGAAACACAATGCCAATTGGCGGAAAATTCAAAATATTTTTTTTTAATCTTGATTTTCTAGGGGTTGAGTGGAAAGTGCAATTTAGTACTTTGCTGCAGATCTTATATTTAAATAATTTTTCTAAAATTTTGAAGTCAATCAAAGCGAAACAGGTCGGGTACTGTTGTTGTAAGTCAACCCGACAGGTCGGACACGTTCTTTATAGCCCTTTATAAACCACAACAACTTTTTAAAGATCCCAATTCAAAAAACAAGTTTTCAAACTTGAAAAGTTACCAATTCTCAGCTTTGCAACCTTTGGACATTGCAAAGCATTGTGTGTTAAAGTGTTCTCACAATGAACTCCCGGACAATGACGATGAATATGTTTTGTGAAAAGTCAAGTCCACAACTTATGAATTCCGTTTTCAAATTCCGCGTTTAACAGAACAAACAGACAGTGCTCATTTCCAAGGGAATCTCTCGGTTTAAACACTTTCGACTTGAAGATGACAGGGACTGTCTCGGACACGAGCTACGTGGGGTTGTTTTGTCAATATTGAGATTGATCTTTAGAGTTCATTAACTTCTAAAAAAAAAGTTACAACTGTTATAGTACGGTTTCTATAAGGTTTCTATATCTAGTGTATAACTACATTCTGATTTTCTTGTACTTTTGGGTAGAATCAATGCCAAAAATTGAAAAGTTTGTTTATTATTAAACATGAGAAACGGGCCGAGCCGGGCCCAATTTTTAGGCCCGTCCCGATCGAAATTTTGCTCAGTTCCGGCCCGGCCCGTTTCTCATATCTATTTATTATGGTAAGGTTTATATTTACTGTAAAGTTAAAAAATTGTTTGAAAAACCATTTAAAGAACAAGATATATACTTTAGATAGTTATAAAAAAAACTTTAATTGAAAAGTTCTTCTAGTTTCTGAGTTAAAAGAGTCAAATTACATGTCTGTTCCGTAATTTTACCCAGATTTAAATTTTTTTGAAATATTTTTTAAAGTTTTTTTTTCAAATTGCAAATGTTGCTAAGCTTTTCTGAAACCTTAAACGGATGGTAAAAAAAAGAAACATGATTAAGTTTCAGTACGGTCAGATGTATCTCAATTCTTACTATTAAAATGTTTTTGTTTGGAAGTTGATACAACTCTACGTTGTTGTAAGACTATATATGAGACTACAATCGCTAAAACAGTTATCTTTTATGTTTTGAGATACGAAATTACTTAACACAAACGTTTTTCAAATTTTATTAGGTGCCGACATAAAGCCATGTTTTGCCTGTAGTTTACTGTAAAAAATGGCGGGTTCTTTATGTCGGCACTTATTTTTAATAAAAGAGTTTAAAAAAAGTTAAAATAACCATAACACTGTAGAAATTATTTTTGAAATTTAAAAATATGAAATATGAGTAAAATACGAAAAATTTTAGTTATTAATTTAAATATATGGCGCTGCTTTAAAATTCACAAGTATTCTATTGAAAAAGTGAAAGTGAGAATAATAAAATATGTTTTTGAGGCCATCAAAAGTCCTCATTAGCCAGATTTCGAGAAAAAACAAAGTTTGAAGCATTGTTACTTTAATTATTTTAGAGTTACTGTCATTTTATGCCTTACTATCTTGTAATTTTGAACTTTTTTAAATTTAAATTTAATTTTTTTTTAATATTCGTGCTTATTTTCATTTCAAATTTTTCATTGTATTAGCTTGTTCAACTGCTTATGTGCCCATAAACCCAAAAATTTGCATTGAGGGGCTCAGAACTATTTGAACAATCTAATAATAAAACGTTAATTTCAGTGTTGATTTGCCTACCATGAATCCTCTTGTTACCTTATTGTATATATCGTTTATTGTTGGTTATGTCACTCCATCTGCTTTGACACACTATAAAAATACGACAAAACGACATTTGGCCTCGACTTCGACCAAAACAAAAGCCAAAAATGACTCTGTCGACCACAAATTGATCGAAATGTTGTTGAAAAATTATGACAAGAATATACGACCACCTCCGAGTAATGTTTCAGGTAAGTTTTGTTTTCTACCTATATTTTCATTGCTTACTTATGTATAGGTTTTAAGTAAGTAAAGATATTGTAGCAGTTTTTTAAATATTAAATTTTTTTAGCAAAAGAAGGTCCAGTGTTAGTCAAGGTTAACATGTTGATTCGAATGCTGAGCAAAATCGATGTAGTTAACATGGTAAGTCTTGTATTTACTATAAGAAGGCTGTAAGCTTTTGCAACACTCTCCGCTATATACAGATCCAAAACGTCATTTATAAGGTATATATATAATACATCAAAACTCTGTACAACAATAGCACAAAAATCTAAAGTTTCTTCGTTATGAGAATGTTTTGTTATAGAATGCACTGTGTAGCCGTAGACGGAGATTCCGAAGTTGCTTTTTATAGAGGAGATAGTTATACAGTACTTCCATTGTACGGTTAAAAATATCTTACAATTTCAGGAGTACAACATGCAAATAACGTTACGAGAACAATGGCCAGACCGTCGATTAGCCTACGAAAAGTTCAGTAACATATCGTACAAACCCAAGTTCCTGACTGTCCCATACGCCGCTAAACATATCTGGATGCCCGATTCGTTTTTCCCGGTAAATTAAACTTTTTACAAATTTTGAAGTTCAAAATTTTAATTTTTAATCTTGATTTGAAACTTTAATTTTAGAAAGTTAAATTTAAAATTCTCAATTTCAGACTGAAAAGAACGCTCATCGGCATCTTGTGGACACAGAAAACATGTTTATTAGAATCTACCCAGATGGTACAGTTTTGTACAGTGTCAGATTGTCATTGACTTGTTCTTGTCCTATGTATTTGGCTGTAAGCTTGCGGTTTTGTCTTCAAAAGAATTACTAAATTTTGCCTAATTCAACTTTTTAAAAACAAAAAACTTCGCTTTTCCTAAACGATCTAGACTGGCTTTTAACACGCCAAATTTTTAATAAAAAGAACTTTAAACTTAAAATATAGCTTAATAATAACCTATTTTACAATCAAAGTACAATTTTTTACAAAACTTGACATTTGAAACGCTATTTTTAAGGTTTTTAGCGAAAAAACCGGCTTTTGTTTATTGCAGCAAAAGTGAAAAGCAAAGGAAAAGAAAGAAGTAAAAAATAAATTGGGGGAGAGACGTCGGCTGAGTGGTCTAGTGGTATGATTCTCGCTTAGGGTGCGAGAGGTCCCGGGATCGATCCCCGGCTCAGCCCAAGAAACTTTTTTGGGTTTTTGATCTCTTATTGCTGTAGAAAACTTTGAAATTACCCATTTTTCAAATGAAGGCCGTATTTTAAAATACTTTTACAATAAATTTGTCATTTTTTGCTATCTCAATTGCGGTAATTTAGCTATAAAATCACATAAATTTAATTTTAAACATGGATGTTAAGGTATAATAGTTAAAATTAAAGAAAATATGTTTTAGTTGTACCCATTGGATGTTCAACACTGTGACTTTGACCTAATCAGTTATGCGTTCACTACAAAAGATATTATGTACGAATGGGACACTTCAGGCGAGCCAGTACAGAAGAAAGCTGGGGTTGGGACAGACCTGCCAAACTTTCACTTGGCTGATATTAACACTGGAATTGAGTGTACTAGCCATACTAATACTGGTAATACTTCTTTTCTAGCCTTTCTATAATTTTACGTACTTTAGTAGCTTATTGTTAGTACAATATTAACTTTCAGGCAGCTACGCGTGTCTTCGAATGCGTTTGAAGCTGACCCGTCTACTACAATATTTTGTACTACAACTGTATGTTCCGACCGGTATGATTGTGATTGTCAGTTGGATGAGTTTCTGGATTGACAGTAGCTCAACTGCAGGTCGAGTAGCGTTGGCAGTTACTACGCTTCTCACTTCGTTTACTATGCAAACCTCGATAAACGCGAAGTTACCGCCAGTAAATTATGTCAAAGTAATTGATGTTTGGCTTGGGAGTAGGTTTTTGTTTTATTAGTGTAAGGTTTCTGATTTGCTATCAGTTTAATTGTATTATATTACATTATTAAAACTACTTTACATTTTTATTTTCAGCGTGCCAAACCTTTGTATTCTTGTAAGTTTGCATTTTTTTGGCTTTTAAAGAAAGTTATCGCCTTTTTAGAAAAAAAAGTTTTCACAGCCTGGGGGGATTAAATGACAGTAAACTTTTAAATTTTGCAATAAAACTTACTTTTCAACTAAAAAAAGCAAACCTTGGTTCTCGCAGTCTGCGAGTGACAAGTTATACGATAGATAATAACTCTTTAAAGTTCTTTACATAAGTAAAGATTTTTGTAAATTTAGTGCACTAATAGAATACGCTGTGGTATGTTACAAAGAAACCAACATACAGAATGAAAAAGCAGCTGAAATGAAGCTTCGGAAAACAGCAACGGCCGAAAGACCTGGGGACATTCGAAAAAGGAGATCCTCGACTACCTTGCACTTGTGGGGTAGGTTTATAACTATATTTCAACCTAAAACTTAATGAAGCTATCAAGCTGACCCATATTTATGAAATAAAAAAAATGATGCGTATTTTACAAATTGTTGCCCTAAAATCTACAATCTTTAAAGTCACTCCTATATTGTTATAGGCCATGGAAACCTCCCAATCAATATTCGCATCCCTCAGAGCCCTAAGCCCCGTCTTATCAACCATGGTACCCTTATCAGCTGGCATGCTGACCGGCACTATGGCCGATCGCATGGTCGCTTCCGAATGTTGTGGTCGTATGAGGCCGGCCTTCGCCTACCGTACTCCCATCAACATTTCGAGCCGGTCGATTTGGCAAATGCTCAAAAATAAATTCAAAAAACCCGAGTATCTGCCAGCCCGGATCGATTACTACGCTCGGGTATACGTGTTACTGTTTTTCGCGATATTCAATGTTCTATATTGGACGATTTGTCTTTATATGGCCGCTAATTGGGTTCATCCTACCAAGTAGGGGTTTTTTATTTTAATGTTTAGGGGGGGGGGGGGGGGGGGGGAAGAGAATGAATCCCAAAAAAAATTTTTGGAAAAACTTGTAAGATGCCCCCCTTTAGCAAAAAAAATTTGAAAAATTGTTTTACCCCGCCTCCCCTCGACTGATTACAATCATAATATCAGAATCCATCGTATCTCATGCCAATATTTTATCAGGTTGTTCAAATAATTCTGTACCCTCTCTCAAAGCAAATTTTCGGAGTCAAGGGGCACAGAATGAGTTGAACAACCTAATACAATTAATTTTATTTTTCATTTCTTATCATTGTATTTTCATTTTGATTTTTCAAAATGAAAAAAAAAATCATTTTTAATTTGTCATTTCCCAAAAATTGTAAATAAAATTTTATTATTGAATAAATATTTTCTATCGGCCGGTAAAATGTCGTGTTCCACTTGGAGCACCATCAGCTATGGTTTAGTATTCTACAGTCTGTTCGCTACGTTTATAGCCGTTCTGTTATCAACTTATGTCTATGCCAACTCGGGAAACAACTCTTGGTCCCTTAAAGCTTGGGGAAAGAAGTATCGTGAGGTGTACATAAGCGCAAAGTAAGTTAAATGTTAACTTAACAAAAGCTTTAATCGTATTTTACTTTTAAAAATTTAAAGTAATGTTTTAAGACCAGTACCACCTAATATACCCAGTACAAAGAGTAATATACCTAGTTTATAAACTTTCTGGTAAAACCAAAAATTCAACTTTTGAAGCCAAATTCATAACCTTTCTGCCCAATTCCATCAACTATACTTAGTGTAACATAACCTTTAACTTTCAGCTTGATGCCCGTCGAGACCAAGACAGAATGACCAATCATCGACTTGATACTACAATTTGGTTATTGCTATTTAAACCAATAAAATTTTATCCTGAATTTATTGTATATTCACTACAATCAAAAGATATCACCTATGGTAACTTATTGGCCTTGTTCGGCGAGGATCTTGGGCTTGATGTCCTTCCAGAGCTTGCCTTTGTTGTGCTGAAAGTATTTTAATTATTAAATGTGTTTATCCTTTGTCTTTTGAAATTTATTCAGAAAGAAACTTGAAAAACTGTTATTATACATGAAGACAAGTTTGTTTTCATAGAAATTAAAATATAAAACAAACTCAAAACCATCTTTTATATCATAATACAGATCCCATCGAGTTTCTAGTTATCCACTAATTATCTAAAAACCAACAAAAAAGCAAAAAAAAACATACGTTTTCCCAGTAAGCATCAGTGGCTCTGTTGACGACCAAATCGAAGACGAAGACGCCGGCAGCCGCGGTCAACAGCAAGGTCGAGAATCGTTTGCCAACAGTGTTGTAAAAGGCACCAAAAACAGCCATGATTGGCGGCTATATAAACTGGAAGAACGAGTTTGTGTTCGGTATTCAGATCGCCAAATAATTAACAAGATATGTCACGGTAAAACGCGCGAATTAGCTCAAAATTTCAAAAAAAGTAAAAATAAAATTATTACCGGCATTTTAAATATAGTTTTGAGTATAATAAGTGAAAAACAAATTGTAAAAGAAACTTGGAAAACTTATATTCTTGTTTCTAAAAAAACGAGGATTTTCGGTTAATAGGCCTGCGCCCACACTCACAATTTTGTTTGAGAAACAGTGCAGCCTGCGCCAAATAAATAAAACATTTTTACCGAAGGGCGATTTTTAAAGTCTACTGTAAAATAACAAAGTTTTGTCTTGTTTACGGCAAATGCTCATTTTTTTAAGCTAATATTTTAACTTTTTAAAGCATTGTTAAATTGATTTGTTTTAGTCATGAGTGATAATGAAGGAAGCTCGGAAAGAAGCCTCGAATCAGGCCGAGCGTCGTCTACAAGAACGTTGGATAGTTCCGAAACTCCGCCACCGGATTTGAATCGTCTTCGGCCGACACGAGTGCTGGCACGACGTGAATATGCTGAGGATGGAGATGAACAACCATTTGATATGGTTGATGGGGATCTTTGTCGCTGGACGGAAGACGACATCAGTAAGTTGACTTTATTTGTGTTTAAAATTGATGTATGAATGTACTTCATGTCTCATGGGTTAACGTTGTTAGAATACTGTTTTAATAATGTTTTATATTTATATATTACACTTAACTTTTAGATCTGAAGTATGCAGCGGAAAATGCTCGATTGCCGTACGATACCATGGCCGATATTGAAGTAGAGCTGTTTCCAGAACAATGTGTGGATAATGCTACTAAAAATCTTTATATTTTCTTACGGAATTTTATTGTAAGTACAAGTTTTTACTGATTTTGTACCTTTATCTATTCTAATGTGGAGCTTTCAGATAAACATGTGGGATTTGAATAATCGAGTCGAAGTAACTTTGGGCTCGGTGTACGACGAGATTCCTGTTCAATACAAGGGTTTATACAGTTTAGTTCCGAAGATCCACTTGTTTCTAGAGCGTTTTGGATGTATTAACCATGGTGTATTCACGCGAGTGGCTGATATTGATGGTAAGAAATGATTTTTCTGTAAATTATGTGAATTTTATGTTTAGGAGAAGACGAACCACGGCATAAACATCGTGTAGTCGTTGTTGGTGCTGGAATAGCTGGATTGGTGTGTGCCAGGCAACTCAGGTTCTTTGGGTTTGATGTTGTTGTACTTGAAGCGCGAGGGCGAATTGGAGGAAGAGCCTTTACGCATCAGGTTGGAAAAGGGCTGGAGCTTGGAGCCGATATTATTGAAGGGTCGAGTACGTTTTTTTAGATTGCTCGATGTAAAATACGCTGGGTGACTCTAAAATTCGGGAAAATATTATTTAGGTGCTGTATTTTATTAAAAAGTTCAAGTTATAGTGTGTTTCTGACTTGAAAGCTTACTTTTTTAACTAAGATTCATAAACATATTTTAATAATAATCTTTTGCAGCAGGAAACCCACTACTAACAGTCATGTATCAAGAAGGATTGTCTAAAACATTGTTGATACCTTCATGCCCCGTATACGACTTTAACGGCGATATCTTACCGGAAAAGTTTGTGAAACCGGTGCAGAGGGTGTGGAGGACTCTGTGCGAAGCTGTTTATCTTCTGACAAGGATGCCGAAAGGTATTGAAAGCTACAAAGGCTACAGTGGTTTGTTTGGTGGTATGTTGGGGCTATAACAACAGTATGTTGTGGTCTTGTACGATATTGTTTATAATAATTATAGTTATCTTTTATCTACTTTTAGGATACAAGAAGATAGACCTTACTTTACAAGAGCTGAGGAAAGAACACCGAAGACGAATTGACGAGTTGAGTGTTCAAGAGGTTGTGGATATGATGTTAGAGTAGGTGTAAATTTATTTTGTTAGTTTTTATGTTTAGGGCACAAGAAATGGACGCTATCGACAAGAAGTTGGAAGCCAGCAAGAGTTTGAAGTACCTTTCAGAGTATCTGGAGGAAATTGGGAAAGAGGTATGTTGTAGACTCTGAATGATACCTAAAGTATTGTCAATGGTATCAAATTTAATATTGAAATATTTACTTTTCTTACTTCTTGCAAACCTTTTAAAGGCAAAAAAAGTTAGCGTATAGACTTGAGTTTTACTGTTAAGTTCTAATAAAAAAATCATTTCAGATGATATTGATCAACGAGTACATCAAAACCGCAAAAGATCGTTTGGAAGAGTTGGGAGCAGACAATATTGACATAGATCAAGAAGAACTGTTCAGTATTCAGGATGAAAGCTTGAGGGAAAAAGTTGTGGAGATACGTTGTCTAGTTGATGATTTGGAAACGGCTAAGTCTTCATTAGAATATCTGATTTCACAGTTCAGCGACGTGGAGAGCGTGTCCAAGAACATGAAAAACTCGGCACATTTGTAAGTAAAATACGATCGTCTAAGTGGATTTTTAAAAAGTGGCGTGGTAAAGATATTGGGCTGATAATGAGGGTTGGGTGTGTGATTTTGGTGTGGCAGGCGGTTCAAAAATTTTCTTTTATTTTTTTAAAAAAGCAAAATGAAAATTAATGTTTAAAAGATTTATTTCCACTAAAATGTTATATTTACTGTATTGCGTCTTCGTCTGTCAATTTGTTTTTGAGTATATTATGTTTTGCCTTTGTCATATGAAGCACGAACTCTGGAGGTTGGTTTGGCAGCTGGAATTCGAGTTTTTAGGGGTTTGATTTGGGGCTCAGAATTAGTTGGATAACTTAATATTGTATGTATTGTTATTATAATCAACGAGAAGTAGTCTTTTAAAACTTAGATATTTACCTGAATTGTCATGTCTTTTGGCTTCAAGAAGAGAAGATGTTTGTAGGTGATTTTTGGTGGTAGTTTACTGGTCTCGTCTAACTGAAATGACATTTTACAGGTAGCTAAAACAATATTGGTGGCTTTTAGATAATAAAATTAAAAACGTTTGGTCAAAAATTTTGTGGAAAACTGACTTTTGCAAAGAAATAAGCGGTTTTGTCTTCTTTTTCTAATACTGTTTGAGTTACTATTTACTTTTTGACCTCTTTAGTAAATATTAGTACAGTTCAAACATTACTTTTGATATAGACAAGTGAATGCTGTACCAGGTAATACAGATTTCTGATGCTGTACGGCACAGTACAGAGCCCTGAAGTTTCAAGAAATGTAACTAAATCTTACCAAATTAGGGCCGCTTTCCCTAGCTACAGCCAAATTGTTGTCAGCGCACAGTTTGGCCTGGTACTGCTTAATACTGTTGACATAGACATACGATGGGAGTTCTCTTTGATCTTTGACATCTTCCTCACTTGTAGTAGTATCCTCTTTGTGTACTCGTACCAGTTTCTTGAGTCTGAAGGGGAGTTTCGGTCTTGGGATGGTCGAATCGCGATATCCATGGCCAATCGGGTTCTTCGGATCACCGCGGGCGGACTGAAATGTCTTTTTTTATTATGATCTTTAGTGAAATCATAGTAAAATTAGCGACATCATAGTAAAACAACATAAAGAAATTCAAAGAGAAAAGAGGAGGCGCGAATTGAACTTACACTATCAGAGACGACCTTTCTGGCACTCTCCGTCGAGGCTGTGTTTTGTCCTGGTGAGATCAGCTGAAAAGTGAAAATTTTAAAATTTTGAAAAACCTTTTCTTAATATAAGGTTGTTCACATAATTCTGTGATTTCTCTCAAATTCAATTATCAGGGATAAGGGGGCACAGAATTATTTGATAAACCTAATATAAGATATACTGACATATTAAGATAGACTAAGATATTAAGTATAGCAAATGTGACATTTCTATATTTTATGACCGTCTAGGATGTAAAAATCACTTTTTTATTTTAATATTGTGATATAAAGTCTAAAAAATCAACTTACAGCTTTTTTCTTTTTGGATTTTGGGGTTTTACTACCAGCACCACCCAGCGACATGGTCAAATTTAATAAAATGATATTTTAAAATTGAAATTTTTGGGCTTTTTTAATAATTTTGTAATGAGTTTTGTATACTTTTTTGATAAATTTATCTTACGTTATCTTATACAGTTTATCCAGTATTCTTTTCAGAGGAAACTTTTTAAGTGCAACTGATCGTAACTTGTTACACTTCTTCATGGCTAACCTTGAACGACGTCTGGGCGCACCGCTGAAGGAAGTCTCGGCGTTGGATTGGGCTGGAGGGGTCGGAAAGAGTTTGAAGGGGGAGTGCTATATTGGTAAGGTTTCTTTGAAATTATTTTTATTAAATTACGTTAGCAATGAGATGATGGCATTGGAAGTTTCAGTTTTCTAAAGCCTTTAATCTTGAACATAATTTTAGTTGATGACGGTATATCAAGGATAACATCTGCTTTGGCGATTGATTTGAATGTCCAAAGGCTGTGTTCGGTTTATGAAATTCGAGAAAACAAATTGGGCGAGGACTCCGAGATGGAGGTAAAATACCAGAAAACGGTGAAATCAACCAAGAATCATGTGGACATTGCCAATTACTCGGATGACAGCGATGTTGAATTCATCGACCAAAAGGAGGAAGACGTGGAGGAGGCGGACAGCTATGTCAAGGCCGACATTTGTGTCTGTGCTGTGCCTGTTGGGGTGTTGAAGGTATTTAAGTTTAAATAATTCTGGGCTTTCTCTTAAAACAAATTTGCGCGATTAGGGGCACAGAATTGTTTGAACAACTTAATAAAACGTTTAGGCAGCAAACTGTTTAAAATTTATTTTTGTAAATTCTAGGAAAGAGTACCAAGATCAAAATCTAACTCTGTTGCCAGCTCAGAACGTGATCAGTCGGCTTCTACACACAATTCTTCTGATTCAGAAGCTTCTTCCAAATTGGAGCCAAAAGTTGATAATATAAAGTTTTATCCAGAGCTACCAGGGAAATACAAGGAAGCTATTGAGAGGATTGGTAAGTTAATATTGGTTTTATTGTTGAAGATGAATTTTTGTTACTTAAAACTTGAAAAAATGTTATAATATGTGGAAAATGGGCTTATGTTACCTAAAATGAGAAAAAAGGTGTTGAAAGTTTGAAAAAAATGTAAATTTGTTACCTAAAATTTAAAAAAGTGTTATAAAAGGGATTAAAGTTTTTTTGGGATATAGTACTAAATAGTTTTTAAAATTTTTTCAATATTTAAGAATTTTTTATTACCTAAAATATCAAAAACTGAAAAATAAATGCGTTTTGATTAACTGAATGTCATTGTAGGCGTGGGCACAACAAATAAAGTCCTTCTCCAATTCAGCAAACGCTTCTGGCCAGATTCTGCTTTTATTGGTCGATTATCGAATGCCGACGACACCAGGGGAGAGTTTGTGGTCTTCTTTTCGAAACCCAGATCCACCAACTTGTATGCTTACTTGACCGGTGAAGCAGCTCATGTCAACAACTACTTTGAGGGCGAGTTTATCGCACAAAGGGTCATGAACGTGCTGTCCAGTATGTTCACTCATGAGGTTCCTCCGAAGGTATGTTGTTATTGTTTTAGTGGTTTGGGTGGACTGAAAGGGTGTTTAATAGCCTTGGACTCGGGCTCGTCAGAAAAAAATTTTAAAGGTATCGGGTCGAGACAAGTCAGCTTGAGGGCCGGGCCGAAATATTTGAACTCGATGGTCGGATCCAAACCAAGGTCTCAGCTTAGGTCCCGCAACGAAAAATTTGAATGTCTATAAAGAACCTGATGTTTAAGGAGGGCTCACGAGGCCTAGAATCGGAAAAGAAAAATATTTTTTAGTTTTAAATTACCATGCATTGTTTAAAAATTGAATTTTCAGCCCAAAAAGGTGATAGTAACCGACTGGTTCAACGACGCTTTCTCTCAAGGCTCGGCTCCGTTCGTGAGAAGGGGATGTGCCTTATTCAATGACTACGACTTCTTGGCTCAACCCCTATCTCTAATCGACACAAAATCAGCCCCCAAACTTTTTTTAACTGGAGATTACACCACCTCCAAGTATCCGGGCACTCTTCATGGCGCATATCTGGCTGGACTAAGGTGTGCCAGACAAATCGCCGACAATTACTTGGGACCGGTCAATGATCCAGAAGTAATGGAAGAGCTGAACAAACAAGGACGATTCTACATGGCTCTACATGAGCAGCGATTGAGGAATATGCCGGTTGAAAGTAAGTTTGGGTGGGGTGATCTTGGGGGGGGTTTGAGGAAGGTTAAGGTTTGAGCGGGATAAAGACGAGGGGAGGTGATGAGGGCTGCTTGGGAGGTTTTAATTTTAGCTTTTAAATGTGTAAAGAAAGTTATTGCGGGTTTAAAAATGACAATTGAAATTATTATGGTTTTTAAAAGAAGGTGTAAAGAAAGTTCTTGCTTTTTTAAAAAAAATAGCTAGTTTTGGATTTTGCAACCTGCGGTGACAACTTATACGATAGACAAAATTTTGAATTTTTTAAAGCAAGTTTTTGTTACTTTTAGGTCTGTAAAGAAAGTTTTTGCAATTTTTAGTGTTGTAAAAAAAGTTCTATCGATTTTTTGGAAACAAAGTTTTTACTAATTTAACTGCATTTTCAGTTTCTCCAGCACCATCAGACTAACATACGGTATAATACTTTTGCGAAGAACGGATCTCTTATCAACTCATGGTATTTTGCACTTTCGAATATACGATTATATATGAACGCTCACACTCAGTAACGATATTACAGTATCTCAACTCATTTATTCTGTAAATAAACTTTGGAGAATCAATTTTAAAAGCATCACAATGTCATATGATGTAGTGGCAACGTTCTTTGTCCTTACCGTTACCTTAATACGCCAAACCGCTACAATTGTAATCAAAATCAAATACCATAAAGTAGAAGGTAGAAAGCACAACATCGACCAGACAAGAAAACACTGTAAGTGTTTGGCAACACACTACAATTACGGTAATTGCCGCCGAAACACTTTACAATTTAATTGTCTTGTTTTGTGATTAAAGTACGGACAGGTTACTGTATGTCACGTGGAAAGGATTATAAGTAAGGTTATTGTAGGTCACGTGACAAGTTATATATTATAGTAAAAGTTACTGTATGTCACGTGGAAAGGCTTTTAAGAAGGGTTACCGTATGTTGCGTGACAAGGCTTATAGTAAATGTAACTGTACATCACGTGACAAGGGTTGCAATAAAAGTTACTGTACGTGAATTTACCTGTAGTAAAGAGTACTGTATGTCACGTCTTACAATAGAACTCTTATTACTTTTTACTTTGTCTATTTAAAAAGTAATATCTTACACTAGTATTACAACTACAGTACTCCCCCCCCCTTGCGGTAATTTCCGAAATTCCCCGCCGAAATGTGGAAATTTGAAAAACGTATATTCCCTTTGTCAAATTGTCAAAAAAACGTAATTTCTTACCAGAAAACGCGGGCGCAAATTGCTCTCGAGCCTTACAATTACAAGATAATTGAAGGCGAAGTAGGTATTGGGAAACAAACTTGTGATCAATTAAATCATGGTTCTCTTGAACTTGTGCAACGCTTTCGCAACTCGGGTTTGACATTTTACTGTAGGTGTTGTAATCTACATAGTAAATTGGGTTTACTTTGGTTTTTTGCTAATTTTCAGGTTTTAGGGGACATTTTATACAAGATGTGTGGGTAAAGGAGACTGTCTTACACGAAAGGTGAAGTTAGCGGTTTGGCGCAGTAAAATGGTTGTGTTAGAGTTTAAAATTTATAAATTACCAGTCGAAAATAAAGTTTATGACACTATGTCTTAGCTTCTTAAATTTAGTTTAAAAATTTAGTCTGTAAAGAAAGTTATTGCCGTTTTTTAAACGCTTACAATATTGGAAATAAAGGCCTGTTTAAATATTTCTGAGCCATTATCCCTGCAAATTTGCTTTGAGAAGTAGCTCAGACTTAATTGAACAACTGAATACTTTAGAAACATAAAACTTGGCGCAGCAACTAGCTAGCTGATTCTAATGGCCTTAAATAGGCAGCAAATGATTAATATTGAAATTCTGTTACTAATTTAATCAAATTACAGTAATTGAAAAGGTTTATCATATAAAAAAACCAAAATTTATATTGTTATAGGCTAAAGGTTGATGATAATCGTTAAAACTAACCGCTTTATTGAGTGAACTTAGTGGTATAGAGGTGAGAAGCTGCTTTTTTTATATGTTATACACATTGGCATGTCTTTTTGAAATTTTAAAATTTTGTTTTTCATTTTTTTGGCTTCAAATTTGGCAAAAAATCTTCAGTTTTTAGTGATTTTTAAGTAAAAATGCCACATTTGATCTGTATTCACGTATTTTACTTTCAATTTTCCATAAAATCAGCCAAATGTTAAGTTCTATTTCAATTTATGTGTAATATTCGTATAGTAAAACGTTTAAACACAGAGATAACAACAAGAATTATATTATACTAGATAACTATTCAACAGTAAGAGCTTTATACAGAGACGCTGTAGCCGGGCTACCGCGTTGGGATGAGATTTTTGAGCGATAAATAAGAATTGCGCGGAGATACGATGGATGTGTGGCCGAAAAAATCCATCAACATGACATAATTCTTTCTTTGGTATTTTAGTTGGAGTCGGAAAAAATGCGTCATGATGACATATTTTTGTACTTGCAAAAATTTTAATAGTGTTAAAATAAGACAAGAAGATGTACTGACAAGTTTTAGGATAACTATAATTGTTTTAAAAACATGTCATAATGACAGTCGTGATGACATCTTTAAAAATCATAATGACAATTTTAAAAACATGTCAAAAACAAAGTAAGTAACATAAAACTACAAAAAAATACAAAAAGTTACGAAAAGCTGTCAGGATGACGCATTTTACAAATTTATGTCAGGATGGGAGATTTTCCAGAAAAAATTAAAAATTTACAAAACCCCTTAGGCCTTGATGGGAGCGCCCGTTCTCTGGTCGACGTCCTTGATTAGGTCAAAATCAAACTGTTTGCCCATCTCTCGCCAGAACATCAGACGGTCCAACATCAGGTTGTCGCGGAGCACTGGGTCGGGGCGCATGTCGAAGAAGCCGAGGGGGTGCTCTTCGGTGACGTGTGGCCATGGGCCTAGTGGGGATGATGGGTTTCTGAAAAAGGAGAAGGTAAAATAAAGACCTTTCTTCATTTGAGGCTATTTTTAGGCTTATACAAGGTATATTTTCTCAGTTATGAGGCTTCTAACATCAAGATCACCTACTACAATTTACTTTTTGATAAAGTTTCGTTTAGAAATAGGTTTTTTGATATCACAGATCGTTACTCTAACGTAAAAAAACTAGAGCAAAGTACATAAAAAAATGATAATGAATGACGTGCGCCTTTGGTCAGACGATTTTGCAGTGTAAATAAAACTACACAAACTGTGACGAAAGTGGTGTAATTAGCTCAAGTTCAGTCAATTGTAAAGGTCGTTTTGAAAAAGGTTTAACATGAACTTGCAAAAGGTTTTTTTTAAAGTTTAAACATCAAAAGAATGGCAGTTATTAGTGTAAAAAGGCTCTTAAAACAGAATGCCAAGTTTGGCGGGAAAATCAAAATTCAAATTTTTAAAAAATACAACTTAAAAAAATGTTAATTTTAATAGTTTTTCTTAATCAAATTGACTTAAAACCTAATGGCAAAGTTTGGCGGGAAATTCAAAATTCAAATTTCAAACTAAAATAATAGAAGATAAACCTTACCCAATGTGGACAAAGTTGACCAAGGCCGAGATGATGACACTTTGCAATTTCCTGTCCTCAGGCTGGAACTGGAATGGGCCGGTGATCGACAGTCCGAAGATGTATGGGAACTCGTAGGTTTGGTATGTTCCCAACACTGGCAGCTGGGCCTTAGGGCTCAACCAGTTCAACAAGTACAGGAACACTGGCCATCCCTCCTCGCTCTTCTTGCGCACCTCCTTCAGCACGGGCATGGCGAACTGGGTGTCGGACAAGAGCTGAGTGTAGCGGGTGAGGTAGAAGTGTGGGTCTACGGCCATGGCTTCTGTAGCGTTACGATCGACGTAGAAGGCGATGATTTGTTTACGGGCTTCGTCGGTCTTCTCAGCGAAGCGTTCTGGAGTGGCGACGTAGGTTTCAATAAAGTTGATCAGGTCTTGACGGCCGAATGAGTTGATCTTGTCCATGGGGATCACGAACTTGCTGGTTTTTGGGGCTCCGGGGAAGGGCATGGCTAAAAAAGGTGGCAGTTAGTTTATGAAATATAGAAAAAAAAGTCATTTTTACACCTAAAAGAGCTATTTCAATGCATTTTATGTTGTTTTAGAGAAGAAAGGGCTAAACAACAGAATGCCAAATTTTGCGTAAAAATCAAAATTCAAATTGCGAAAATTAAAAAATCAAAAATTTTTTTAAAAAAATTTTAAAAATTCAAAAACTTACTCATGATCATGCTCTCCTGACTGTTGATTCCCTGAATCGTTGGCTTCTTGGGAGCATCGTGCAACATAGTATCGATGTCACCGTGGAAGAAGTCATCGTCCATTCTTGGTTGGAACTTGGCAAAGTTAACTTCATCACGTCTCCATCCTTCAGTCTGAGCGGCCTTAACCAGATCGTTCACATTCATCTTCTTCAAGCATTCTTTGACCTCAGCACTGTTTCCTTGACATTTCGAGGCTTCAACCACCTTCTGAGAGGCATCTACTACACGATCAGACAAAGCCCATCCTGACAAGATAGAACCACTCATCTCAATAGCTTGATGGAATAGGTCACGAGAGTGCTTGGACAATGACAAGGCTCCAACTGAGGCTGAACCAGCGTTCTGTCCCATTACAGTAACCTTGTTGGGGTTACCGCCAAAGGCTTTGATGTTCTCCTGAACCCACTTCAGTGCCAAGGTCTGGTCCCAGAGACCCAGATTGCCTGGCATGGCTTCGTCTCCAGTCGACATGAATCCGAACACTCCTAGACGGTACTGGATGGTGACTACGGTAACACCGAGGCCGTTGAATTCGTTGGCCAACTCTTGGAATCCGTACATTTCCGAATTGCCTCCGGCAAATCCTCCACCGTGGATGAATACCATGACCGGGAAGCCTTCGGGGAAGGGTGACTTCTCAGATGGTGTCATCACATTGAGGTACAGACAGTCTTCACTGTTCTGTGGGCCAGCAATTGGCAGATCAGTGATACTGTTGTTCATGATTGGAGCAAAGCTGACACAGCCGGCCGAGAACTTGGTGGCTTCCAAGGTCTGTTCCGAAGCTTCTACTGGCTCTGGCTTCTCGAATCGTCGCTCTCCAGTTGGTGGCTGAGCGTAGGGGATGCCGAGGAAGATGTTGGAGATACGGCCGCTAGCATCGGGCAGTTTGAACTGGAATCCAGTCAGTTTTCCTTGTCTTAGACTGACTTCAGCTGGACGACGGATGGTGGCTGGTTGGCAGACCAGCACTAGGCATGTTAATAACAACAAACACCTCATTGTTTTTGAAGTTTTTCTTCTGAAATTGAGTAGGATTTAGATTGATACTGCTGGTGTAAAATTGGTTTGGTAAGGTTTAGTTTGACAAAGGTAAAATACAAATTATGTTGACTCATGGCTAACATAAGAAAAGAGTCGCGAACAAATATAAAATGGTGACAAATAAAAAGTGACATTTAAAAATTAGGTAACAAATCTTTTTAAAAAGTCATTTTAAATTAATTTAATAACAAAAAAAATTATTTTTAAACTCAAAAAACAGTTTTGATATCAAAATTATATTATCCATGCCATCAAACCACTATTTTTCAAAAAAAAGTCATTATATCTCAAAAACTAACCAAAGTTTTTAAAAAATTATTGAACATTATTAATTATCAGTATCTTACACACTATTGACCAAAATTTGGTTTACATACAATAAAAAATGGCAGAGATACTCCCATTTTTCAATGACCACCCCTCAAATTTCCACCGAACAAAAACCCTTATTAAAATCTTGAAAATTGCAAAAAGTCAAACCTTTTACAACCTTAAAAGCCAAGAAAGTAAAAAAGTAAGTGACAAGACTTGCAGGCTCTTCAATCTGCTCTCCTTCAACCCCACCACCACCCTTATATTGTAAAAAGAACGTCGCGACCCCAACAAAACGTGTGAAAGCGCAGTGCAGTCCACCAACTAATCTATCATCGATGAAAGCAAGGCATGTTATTAATTGCCTCAGGGGTTGTTTGTTACAGGGAGTATTTGAATGGACTGGCATTACTACGAAAAGGCTAAAAAAGTCAAAGATATTACAAAAAACCATTAAAAGTTATTGTAATATTTTGGGTTTACATTGATGGTAGAAAGGCGGGTAGTTGTTACTGTAACAAGGAAATGTGTGTTGGTGTAAAAAGATTAAATTTTGGTATAATTGGTACTCATTTTGCCAAAAACTAGACTTTTAATACGTTGTTCAAAAAATAACGAGCTACTCCTAAAGCAAATTTTTGGGGTCAGGTAGCTCAGAATTTTTTGAACAATGTATTAGAGAGCATGAAGGTTAATATACAATACCTCAAAAACCTATTACACTATAGCTTTAAAATTTTAAAGTTACGTAGACAATAGAATATAAAAATCGTATTTTAAATTTTTCACAATTTTTTTAATTTCAACTTTTAGTAAAACATAAATATATTGTGATACCCACAATTCTCTATGTAGAACATAAAAATCTTCAAAATCTCAATTTTAAATTTGAATAAAACGGCCAAAACCTATTCAAAAGTTTAGAAAAATATCTATATTATCATTTACAAACAATGAAAGATCATTTTTGCATTGACATTAACATTAAACTTGATTATATTACACTAGACACTCCAAACTTCCACTAATTTTTAAAAAGTGGTAACACAATTTTTGGTGGCGTTACAGTAACCCGAAAGACCAAACTGATCGTCTTGTTGTTTCCTCAAATTTCGAGTTTTATATTCATCTGAAACGAGGCGGAGTTTGCCGTCTTTCCCTCCCTTTTCTCTGTTACTCTCTCCAATCACCGCACTCTCTCGCTTTTTCTCTTGCCCTCTCTTCTTTTTCGTACACTCTAATGATTGGATTGGGGAAGTGACTGGTCGACCCGCCCCGCTGATCTTTGGGAAAGAGTAATTGGGAAGTAACAAAAAATTGTGAGCGTTTACACGTTCGCCCTGAGGGCAGCACGCCAAGCTGGGAATGTGCGGAATCGACTGCTTTTACACCGTTCTTACTAGTGAATGTGGAACGTGAAAATCATCACAATGTAAAGCAAAGGTGTCGGGTGTAGAATGCTGTATATACATTGTGTATGTTGTGGTATGGACGATGGTATGATATGGTAAAGACGGTGGTATGAAGACTCAAAAAGTCGAAAGGCAACTTATTCTAGTGGTTACATTAAAGTCGTTATAACATAATAAAAACAGTAGTTACTGAGCTGTTCCTAATACAAAATGGTACAGTTTTTACTTTAGATTCATACTGTAACTTAAAAATAAAAAACAACACAGTAAAACAGTAATGTATTACAAAAAACATTGTCACAATCACCAAAAATTCGATAAAATATCAATTTTCAAGTTTTAAAATTGCATTTTTCTGATAATGTTAGTCTTTTTGATTCAAATTAATGGCATACCCAGGGCCCGGCGGGGACTTTTGGTCTGGGGGGCAGGGGTCCAAAAAAATCGGCACAGGTACTACCTGTGCCGATTTTTTACAAAATTTTTTTTTCAAAAATCCACAGGGGGAACCACGTTCAAATTTTTCGAAAATTTTTTTCTGAGGGGGGGGGGTACCCCCCCGTCCCTCCCCCCTCGCGCCCGGCCCTGGGCATACCTATACTTCAGCATCACTACAATTATAATCATAACGGTTTACCGCAGTAAAAACAAAAATACCATGTGATTTTGCAAAAATAACTGGAGTAACACCGTTGGGATGCCCTTTGGCTATAAAAAGATCACGTCATTCTCTTATTTTTAAATTTTAGACATTTTTTTTTGATTATAGTTACTTTCATCACGTCTAATCTATCGTATGCTATAGAAACTGTAACGACATAAAAATCTAATGTAATATAATAATGTACTTGACAGTACATATCGTGAGCTACTTACTCCTTGTACCTATAACAATATGCCAAGGTCAATAGAGCCAATTAAGTTTCTAAAAATGGCTGTTTATAAGTTTTGGTTAAAAACATTTCTAATCTCGTGTCTATACCTATAGTAATATAATACATCACATTTCTATACCTATAACAATATAATAGCAAAAATTTCGAAAACTGTCTTGGTTTGTAAAATTATCTTGGTTTTGTATTTTGTGGTGATGAAAAAATAATATTATAGTACTGTAAAAATTATCTTTTTGTAATTTTTAAAATTGTCTTACTAGTTAGTCAAGAAAATTCTTTTAAAATAGATTTACAAAAATGATGACAATTTAGAAATCAGGTATTAAAAAGTTTTTTTCACAAATATTAGGTTGTTCAAACAATTCAGTCCTCCTTAGTACTAATAAGTTGCTCTGAGAGAGGGCACAGAATTATTTGAACAGACTAATAATAAAACAAAGAGCGGTTGTGGTTCCTGGCGTCGACCAATAGACCACCGGAGTCAGGTTTTACCGACCGCTCTGCTAGACATTAGGAACGAGCCGGGCCGGGTGCAATTTTGAAACCCGACCCCATTTTTTACATGCAAACGCGCCGGGATTTTTGGCCCAGACTGGGCCTTCATTTTCAGACCCGGTCTAACCTAAAGTTGAGTAAGGCCACCGAGCCGTTTCTCATGTATACGCTCTGCAAGACCGAAACGCATTTTTAATTTAAAAATGTTTGAGAAACTCCACGTGCAGGGCGATTATGGCAAACCAGTAGCTTGGCCTACACATGCTTCCGACTACAGCCTGAAGTCTTGAAAAGTACCTCATCACAAGTCGGTAGCTTGAGAAACAGGATCACCTGGATGACACCCAATTGGGAGCTGCTACAATGAATTGCTCTGACTGTTTTCACCGGCGCTAGGACAAATGCGGTTTTTGGACATTTGCGGATCTGCGGTTTTTAGACACTTGCGGATCTTCGGTTTTTGGACACTTGCGGATTTTGGACACTTGCGGATTTTTTAAAGGGGTTTTTTTTTATTTTTTATTTAATTTAGTTGTAGTATGGTACTAAATGGTACTAAAGTTTAAATTGGCACTGTCTTAATATTTCTTAATGTTAAATAGTACTAAATTTTTAATCGGTACTTTTTTATATTTTTGGTACTAAATAGCACTAAAAGCCCAAAAAGGTACTGTTATGTTAAAATCGTACCAATTCAAACTTTAGTACAATTTAGTACCATAATACAACTAAATTAACTAAAAAATAAAAAAAAACCTTTAAAAAATCCGCAAATGTCCAAAATCCGCATTTGTCCTAGCGCCTTTTCACCATACCCTCGTCATCTCTTCCTACGCCTCAAATTGTATATCTTACGGTGAAAAAGAAAATTAAAAAGTTTTTTATTTGTAATTTTTTTGTTGTTCAAATAATTCTGTGTTCTTTCTCAAATCAAATTTTTGAGTTTAAGAGCACAGAATTATTTAAACAACCTAATAAAAAAACGAATGTTCTCATCGTGTACTACTATATGAGATTTTTAAAAAATAACATTTTATGTAAAATACGGTTGAACACTCTTATCTATCAATAAGGCCCTTAAAGTGTCATTTCTTAACCAATACAAACCATATTTCTGCAAAAACCCAAAAATCATCCTGACTACAGTCTACAGTACGCTCACCCAAACCCCAAGAATCGAGCGCAAAAAGACGACTGTTCTTTGTGGTGCACCAACGTTCCATCGACCCAATCCATCATCTTTTTGTTTTCCATCGATGACCATGTGACTGTTACTGCGCGCAAGTGTAGAGATACGAACCATACGCAATCATAATGACCGATTAATCACGTTGTTTCGACAACTTCCAATGTGATTCCGACCTTGCTTCGCACTCCGAATTCAAGAACATCTAAAGAACGTTCTACATCTTTAAAGGTGGGTTTAAGTTATACTTGGTTTTGTACGGAAAAGGTGGTAAACAGGGAGGTATGGAGCTATTTTTGGGCTTCTGGAAAGATTGTTAAGAAAGATTGTCAACAGTGCTGATTATTACACTATCAGTGGCATGTTTACATTAATATTAAGCTAAAAATGACTTGGCATAACTTCAAAATCGGTTATATCAGTAAGTTAAACCAAACAACGACACCTATATGAACATAATTGCTTACAAAGTATGCCTCCCTAAAATCATCATAACTTTTTTAAATTAAAAAATAATGTAAAACCTACGATACAGTAAATGTAAAAGACACAAATGTATAATACTCGGAAGCAATTTTCAAAATCACCGCTTCAGAACAAAGATAAAACTCAAAATGACAAGTGTAATATCTGACCTTCTTATACCCTACAAAGAACTCCGCCTTAAAAATTCCAAAAAAGCACTACCGTATCAGTCACGTATACTCTAGAAAATGAAAACACGTATTTTGATTAAAAAAAGATAAGTTATAAAATTTTACAGTATAGAAAAGTGTTGTACTGTAAAAGTAAAGTATCAATAATAGAAAGCTGGAATTGTAATAAAGTTCATATAGGTTTAATACAATGAGTTATAGTAAGCCTCATGTGTTATGCTTTGTGATTTTTAAAATGCAAAAAAATTGGAAACATAATTAATATTTTCTATGATCAATGTCAAGTAATAGGTTGTTCAAATAATGCTCAGCTACCTCTCAACGCAAATTTTCAAAGTTAGAGGGCGCAGTATTATTTGAACAACCTAGTAATTTTTGTGTTTCAAACCACTACTGCTTATAATGACTTTTCGTCGTAAAAAAGTTTCTTCCGATCTCAAACTATAAATTTGACTTCATTTTTAAACTTTTTTTCTAAAATTTTTAATTTCATTGCCTAAAAATATAAAAAAATTTTTAATTTTATTATCTAAACATGTGTTTATTCTTCTTAAATCGTCCTACGAAAGAACCGGTCTTTAGGTTACCGTAATCCTTTCGCAAAAAAAAACCTTTGAAAACGTTACCAAGTTATTAATGGATCATTCGTCTAAATGATCGCTGAAATGGATGATCGTCATTGTGACATGTGATAACAATATTGTAAACACATTTATTTTGGACAAACGTACTACTAAACAGGTACGGTATGTTGGGTTTTTTTTAGTCTTTAAAATTAAAACTAAAGAATAAGGTAAAAATCAAAATTTTAAAAAATTTCAAAGTTCTTACGATTAAAAAAATTGCAGTAATCTTTTGAAACTTTATTTTTTATGCGTACTAGACTAGACTTAAAGAAACCCACTAGACTGGATGAAAGAAAACTTGAAAAAGGCTAGGCAAAGAAAAGCCGGCATTTGAGGCCCCGAAAGACGAATCTCAAAACAAGCCTCGGCCAAGATCAGATTGACCCCTTTCAAAATTTCTATGCTTCGACCTAGCCCCGCCCGTTGGCTGAGCCGAGCCATTAGACGCTTTTCAAACCTAACCATAAAAACTAGGTGACTTGACCCTCTGGCCAACACGATAAGGCGCGGCCGGCCTAAATTGCAAACTTTTTTGGTCTGGCTTAGTCCTTTCAGCTCAAGCTGTAAATGTACTAAAAATAGTTTTTATACAATAGTGTTAAACTTTTTTAAATACCTAACACTAAAAAGTCGTACACGACGCCCCATTTACGATATTTCTAAATTTTCTACTTTTTTCGGTTAAAAAAAGTTTGATAATAATACAGTACCTGCTTAAAACTAACCATCAGAAAAGCCTTGATCTTCTGTTCTTTTTCAAAACCTACCGTATTCTCTAAGTTTTACTTTATTACCTAAATCTTCAAAAATTTTTAAAAAAATTAAATAAAATTTATACTGCAAGAAAACTAAAATTCCCCCTTCCACAAAATAAAACCCCATACCCAACAAAAGTGCTTCAAGCTTAAAGAACTGAAGCAAGATTCTGAAGTCAGATCGTCGCCATAAATAGTCCGCCTTCAAAAAACGACCCAAAGAACGTTCACGTTGCAATCACGTTCTTTGGCATCGCTGTAACGCTTTTCTGTGGAAAAAATATCTGTTAATAAGTTACACAAAACTGAGCTTTAATTGGTTTATAGGTAATGTTGTAATAGTATTGCAATCTATTGGCTACAGTACGATTCATCTTTGATTACGATAATAAATTACAGCGAAAAGTTAATCTTGAGCTTAAATTACACTTTTGATAATGAAAAACACTTTCAAACAAGATTTTATGGCGTGATTTTTAATGCTTTGGCATTTAAAAAAAATATTTGAAAAATGGTACTAGTGGTACCAATAATACCGTAATTTTTTTTAAATTTTTAGTTTATAATAAGACTTAGTTTCACCAAAAATTAATATTTTGACTATTTTATGTTTATTTTGGTACCAGTAGTAGTACCATTAGTACCAATAGTACCATTTTCAAAATTTTTTGGCTATAACAACTTTTCTTTGACAAAATTTAAAACTTCACATTGGTAGTAAATCTCAACCGCTAAAACCGTTTATCAACAAAGATCTCAGCCATGATCACCTTTTACCGCCGAAACAACGTGGTAACAACGTTCTTTGTAGGCTCCCGAAGCCGGTCGTGATTGGCGGTTCTCTCAACGTTTGATGAATTACCGCGGCATGAAAAACAATCTTAGAGATGTACGTGGAAGATATTATTATGGTTGTAACATTACTAAATAAGGAAGGAAATGTGAAACCATCGGTCAGGTCTTCAATGTAAAACCATCGGTCGGTTCTTTGAGAGTATTTCGGGCATCAAAAACAGTCGATCACGTTTTGCAGAGTTTAACTACTTCCTTATAGAGATATGTAGGAGAATTGTATAGTAGTTGAAAGTTTGTTGCTTTTGAATTAATGAATTTGATGAAGCACTAATTTGAAAGATATCGGAAGATACTGACTTCATCGTGATGATGTCAGTAAATATTTCAAGATTTTCTAAAGTGCGCTCTAAGAAGCATTTCAGTAACCTACTATCAAAGGTGGGTGGGTAATAGAAAGAAGGATAAAAAAATACAAAACTGCTAATTAAAAATAATATCACTAAAAATCATCAAGATAAGGGTGAAAAACAGGCCGTGTAGGCCCGGGTTTGCCTTAAAACGAGCCGGACCTAAAAGTTGAACACAACCCGCAAAAGGAATTGAAAAGTAGGCCTCAACACAAAATTTTTGGGGGCCAATGAAGAATCGTTACCCAGTGCATTATAGTTCCCAACGGTGCATAACCGTTCCCCCAATTATTTATTTTTATATTTTAACATCTTCAATTTAGAAATAAACTTTGAGCGGTGGTGCGTTGGGGAGAGATAGATAGTAAAGGGTTAAGGAACAATAGTAAAGCGTTGGGGAACGGTAGTAAAGCGTTGGGGAGTCATAGTAAAGCGTTGGGGAACGATAGTAAAGCGTTGGGGAACGATAGTAAAGCGTTGGGGAACGATAGTAAAGCGTTGGGGAACGATAGTAAAGCGTTCGGGAACGATAGTAAAGCGTTCGGGAACGATAGTAAAGCGTTCGGGAACGATAGTAAAGCGTTCGGGAACGATAGTAAAGCGTTGGGGAACGATAGTAAAGCGTTGGGGAACGGTAGTAAAGCGTTGGGGAACGATAGTAAAGCGTTCGGGAATGATAGTAAAGCGTTGGGGAGTCATAGTAAAGCGTTGGGGAACGATAGTAAAGCGTTGGGGAACGGTAGTAAAGCGTTGGGGAATGATAGTAAAGCGTTGGGGAGTCATAGTAAAGCGTTGGGGAACGGTAGTAAAGCGTTGGGGAACGATATTAAAGCGTTGGGGAATGATAGTAAAGCGTTGGGGAACGATAGTAAAGCGTTGGGGAACGGTAGTAAAGCGTTGGGGAGTCATAGTAAAGCGTTGGGGAACGATAGTAAAGCGTTGGGGAACGGTAGTAAAGCGTTGGGGAACGATATTAAAGCGTTGGGGAATGATAGTAAAGCGTTGGGGAGTCATAGTAAAGCGTTCGGGAACGATAGTAAAGCGTTGGGGAACGATAGTAAAGCGTTGGGGAACGGTAGTAAAGCGTTGGGGAACGATATTAAAGCGTTGGGGAATGATAGTAAAGCGTTGGGGAGTCATAGTAAAGCGTTGGGGAACGATAGTAAAGCGTTGGGGAATGATAGTAAAGCGTTGGGGAGTCATAGTAAAGCGTTGGGGAACGATAGTAAAGCGTTGGGGAACGATAGTAAAGCGTTGGGGAACGGTAGTAAAGCGTTGGGGAACGATATTAAAGCGTTGGGGAATGATAGTAAAGCGTTGGGGAGTCATAGTAAAGCGTTCGGGAACGATAGTAAAGCGTTGGGGAACGATAGTAAAGCGTTGGGGAACGGTAGTAAAGCGTTGGGGAACGATATTAAAGCGTTGGGGAATGATAGTAAAGCGTTGGGGAGTCATAGTAAAGCGTTGGGGAACGATAGTAAAGCGTTGGGGAATGATAGTAAAGCGTTGGGGAGTCATAGTAAAGCGTTGGGGAACGATAGTAAAGCGTTGGGGAACGATAGTAAAGCGTTGGGGAACGGTAGTAAAGCGTTGGGGAACGATATTAAAGCGTTGGGGAATGATAGTAAAGCGTTCGGGAACGATAGTAAAGCGTTCGGGAACGATAGTAAAGCGTTGGGGAACGGTAGTAAAGCGTTGGGGAGTCATAGTAAAGCGTTGGGGAACGATAGTAAAGCGTTGGGGAACGGTAGTAAAGCGTTGGGGAACGATATTAAAGCGTTGGGGAATGATAGTAAAGCGTTGGGGAACGATAGTAAAGCGTTGGGGAACGGTAGTAAAGCGTTGGGGAACGATATTAAAGCGTTGGGGAATGATAGTAAAGCGTTCGGGAACGATAGTAAAGCGTTCGGGAACGATAGTAAAGCGTTCGGGAACGATAGTAAAGCGTTGGGAAACGGTAGTAAAGCGTTGGGGAACGATAGTAAAGCGTTCGGGAATGATAGTAAAGCGTTGGGGAGTCATAGTAAAGCGTTGGGGAACGATAGTAAAGCGTTGGGGAACGATATTAAAGCGTTGGGGAATGATAGTAAAGCGTTGGGGAACGGTAGTAAAGCGTTGGGGAACGATAGTAAAGCGTTGGGAAACGGTAGTAAAGCGTTGGGGAACGATAGTAAAGCGTTGGGGAACGATAGTAAAGCGTTGGGAAACGGTAGTAAAGCGTTGGGGAACGATAGTAAAGCGTTGGGAAACGGTAGTAAAGCGTTGGGGAACGATAGTAAAGCGTTGGGGAACGATAGTAAAGCGTTGGGAAACGGTAGTAAAGCGTTGGGGAACGATAGTAAAGCGTTGGGAAACGATAGTAAAGCGTTGGGGAACGATAGTAAAGCGTTGGGAAACGGTAGTAAAGCGTTGGGGAACGATATTAAAGCGTTGGGGAATGATAGTAAAGCGTTGGGGAGTCATAGTAAAGCGTTGGGGAGTCATAGTAAAGCGTTCGGGAACGATAGTAAAGCGTTGGGGAACGGTAGTAAAGCGTTGGGGAACGATATTAAAGCGTTGGGGAATGATAGTAAAGCGTTGGGGAGTCATAGTAAAGCGTTGGGGAACGATAGTAAAGCGTTGGGGAATGATAGTAAAGCGTTGGGAAACGGTAGTAAAGCGTTGGGGAACGATAGTAAAGCGTTGGGGAACGATAGTAAAGCGTTGGGAAACGGTAGTAAAGCGTTGGGGAACGATAGTAAAGCGTTGGGAAACGGTAGTAAAGCGTTGGGGAACGATAGTAAAGCGTTGGGGAACGATAGTAAAGCGTTGGGAAACGGTAGTAAAGCGTTGGGGAACGATAGTAAAGCGTTGGGAAACGATAGTAAAGCGTTGGGGAACGATAGTAAAGCGTTGGGAAACGGTAGTAAAGCGTTGGGGAACGATATTAAAGCGTTGGGGAATGATAGTAAAGCGTTGGGGAGTCATAGTAAAGCGTTGGGGAATGATAGTAAAGCGTTGGGGAACGATAGTAAAGCGTTCGGGAATGATAGTAAAGCGTTGGGGAGTCATAGTAAAGCGTTGGGGAACGATAGTAAAGCGTTGGGGAATGATAGTAAAGCGTTGGGGAACGATAGTAAAGCGTTGGGGAACGATAGTAAAGCGTTGGGGAACGGTAGTAAAGCGTTGGGGAACGATATTAAAGCGTTGGGGAATGATAGTAAAGCGTTGGGGAGTCATAGTAAAGCGTTGGGGAGTCATAGTAAAGCGTTCGGGAACGATAGTAAAGCGTTGGGGAACGATAGTAAAGCGTTGGGGAACGGTAGTAAAGCGTTGGGGAACGATATTAAAGCGTTGGGGAATGATAGTAAAGCGTTGGGGAGTCATAGTAAAGCGTTGGGGAACGATAGTAAAGCGTTGGGGAACGGTAGTAAAGCGTTGGGGAACGATATTAAAGCGTTAGGGAATGATAGTAAAGCGTTGGGGAACGATAGTAAAGCGTTCGGGAACGATAGTAAAGCGTTCGGGAACGATAGTAAAGCGTTGGGAAACGGTAGTAAAGCGTTGGGGAACAATAGTAAAGCGTTGGGGAACGGTAGTAAAGCGTTGGGAAACGGTAGTAAAGCGTTGGGGAACAATAGTAAAGCGTTGGGGAACGGTAGTAAAGCGTTGGGGAACGATAGTAAAGCGTTCGGGAATGATAGTAAAGCGTTGGGGAGTCATAGTAAAGCGTTGGGGAACGATAGTAAAGCGTTGGGGAATGATAGTAAAGCGTTGGGGAGTCATAGTAAAGCGTTGGGGAACGATAGTAAAGCGTTGGGGAACGATAGTAAAGCGTTGGGGAACGGTAGTAAAGCGTTGGGGAACGATATTAAAGCGTTGGGGAATGATAGTAAAGCGTTGGGGAGTCATAGTAAAGCGTTGGGGAGTCATAGTAAAGCGTTCGGGAACGATAGTAAAGCGTTGGGGAACGGTAGTAAAGCGTTGGGGAACGATAGTAAAGCGTTGGGGAATGATAGTAAAGCGTTGGGGAATGATAGTAAAGCGTTGGGGAACGATAGTAAAGCGTTGGGGAACGGTAGTAAAGCGTTGGGGAACGATAGTAAAGCGTTGGGGAATGATAGTAAAGCGTTGGGGAATGATAGTAAAGCGTTGGGGAACGATATTAAAGCGTTGGGGAATGATAGTAAAGCGTTGGGGAGTCATAGTAAAGCGTTGGGGAATGATAGTAAAGCGTTGGGGAACGATAGTAAAGCGTTCGGGAATGATAGTAAAGCGTTGGGGAGTCATAGTAAAGCGTTGGGGAACGATAGTAAAGCGTTGGGGAATGATAGTAAAGCGTTGGGGAACGATAGTAAAGCGTTGGGGAACGATAGTAAAGCGTTGGGGAACGGTAGTAAAGCGTTGGGGAACGATATTAAAGCGTTGGGGAATGATAGTAAAGCGTTGGGGAGTCATAGTAAAGCGTTGGGGAGTCATAGTAAAGCGTTCGGGAACGATAGTAAAGCGTTGGGGAACGATAGTAAAGCGTTGGGGAACGGTAGTAAAGCGTTGGGGAACGATATTAAAGCGTTGGGGAATGATAGTAAAGCGTTGGGGAGTCATAGTAAAGCGTTGGGGAACGATAGTAAAGCGTTGGGGAACGGTAGTAAAGCGTTGGGGAACGATATTAAAGCGTTAGGGAATGATAGTAAAGCGTTGGGGAACGATAGTAAAGCGTTCGGGAACGATAGTAAAGCGTTCGGGAACGATAGTAAAGCGTTGGGAAACGGTAGTAAAGCGTTGGGGAACAATAGTAAAGCGTTGGGGAACGGTAGTAAAGCGTTGGGGAACGGTAGTAAAGCGTTGGGAAACGGTAGTAAAGCGTTGGGGAACAATAGTAAAGCGTTGGGGAACGGTAGTAAAGCGTTGGGGAACGATAGTAAAGCGTTCGGGAATGATAGTAAAGCGTTGGGGAGTCATAGTAAAGCGTTGGGGAACGATAGTAAAGCGTTGGGGAATGATAGTAAAGCGTTGGGGAGTCATAGTAAAGCGTTGGGGAACGATAGTAAAGCGTTGGGGAACGATAGTAAAGCGTTGGGGAACGGTAGTAAAGCGTTGGGGAACGATATTAAAGCGTTGGGGAATGATAGTAAAGCGTTGGGGAGTCATAGTAAAGCGTTGGGGAGTCATAGTAAAGCGTTCGGGAACGATAGTAAAGCGTTGGGGAACGGTAGTAAAGCGTTGGGGAACGATAGTAAAGCGTTGGGGAATGATAGTAAAGCGTTGGGGAATGATAGTAAAGCGTTGGGGAACGATAGTAAAGCGTTGGGGAACGGTAGTAAAGCGTTGGGGAACGATAGTAAAGCGTTGGGGAATGATAGTAAAGCGTTGGGGAATGATAGTAAAGCGTTGGGGAACGATATTAAAGCGTTGGGGAACGGTAGTAAAGCGTTGGGGAACGATAGTAAAGCGTTCGGGAATGATAGTAAAGCGTTGGGGAGTCATAGTAAAGCGTTGGGGAACGATAGTAAAGCGTTGGGGAATGATAGTAAAGCGTTGGGGAGTCATAGTAAAGCGTTGGGGAGTCATAGTAAAGCGTTCGGGAACGATAGTAAAGCGTTGGGGAACGATAGTAAAGCGTTGGGGAACGGTAGTAAAGCGTTGGGGAACGATAGTAAAGCGTTGGGGAATGATAGTAAAGCGTTGGGGAATGATAGTAAAGCGTTGGGGAGTCATAGTAAAGCGTTGGGGAATGATAGTAAAGCGTTGGGGAACGATAGTAAAGCGTTGGGAAACGGTAGTAAAGCGTTGGGAAACGATAGTAAAGCGTTGGGGAATGATAGTAAAGCGTTGGGGAGTCATAGTAAAGCGTTGGGGAATGATAGTAAAGCGTTGGGGAACGATAGTAAAGCGTTGGGAAACGGTAGTAAAGCGTTGGGAAACGATAGTAAAGCGTTGGGGAACGGTAGTAAAGCGTTGGGGAACGATATTAAAGCGTTGGGAAACGATAGTAAAGCGTTGGGGAACGATAGTAAAGCGTTGGGAAACGATAGTAAAGCGTTGGGGAACGATAGTAAAGCGTTGGGAAACGATAGTAAAGCGTTGGGGAACGATAGTAAAGCGTTGGGGAACGATAGTAAAGCGTTGGGAAACGATAGTAAAGCGTTGGGGAACGATAGTAAAGCGTTTGCGAATAATAGTAAATTGGAATACGTAGTCAATTACCTCGAATACTGTGTTTTATGGCGTAAAGTTCGGTGGCCAAAACCAGGATCCTTGAGCCCATTGTACGCCATCTGTGTCGAGACCGAAAGGTTAGAGTTCGAAAAGTAGGTACCATGACGAATAGAGCGGGTTCAGCAATCAGTACTTCCGTTTCGACATCTCCACTACAACAACATATGATAAATATAAACAACTAACTTACCATGTATTTATCGGCCAGTTTAGACTTTTTTGACAACTTCATAATCGACGAACATTGCTGGCACGAATAAGCCGGTGGGAGAAGAGAGTTGTCTATTATGGTCTGAATAGCAGAAACTGGTTCCATGCTGTACTAGTTTTTTGCGGTGATTTGGTATATGCTTGCTCCTCTTGTACCGTGTTCCATTTTTCGACCATCCCAGACCAAATTGAAAGAAAGAATGAAAAGCCATCATGAAAATGAAAAAATGTGTGAAGCAAAAATTTGCATAGGTTTATTTATTCTCACCGTGGGGAACGATTATGCCTTTATGAGTGGGGAACGATTCTTCGATTTTGTGGGAACGATTTTGCATGAGCGCCAATTTTTGATTTTTTAAAAATTTTTTTACCATTAATAAATGCTGTAAAAACTAACGCAAAGTCAAATTTTTTTCAATTTTTCTAAATCAGGCTAAGCTAGCCTAGAAAAAATGAAAACGTGCCAGGCCTAAACTTTAGGCCTTGAGCCTGGGCCGAACCTCAAAACAGAGACAGCCTAGTCTATTTCTCGTTCTCATCAAAATAAATAAGATGACTATGTAAAACCAAATTTTAAAAAATTTTTTATCCAAACAGATTATCAACCGAAGGTAATTTAATGCTGAACAATAGAAAGTTAGAAGCGTTCTTCAAGTTCAATTTCAATTTTAATAGCTTTTAGTTTTTTTCTATTTATTGTGAAAACATAACCATAGATCAAGTTTCAATTATACTTTGAAAAAAGTGTAGTCTACAAATTCTTCGCCGAAAGTGTCAAAAGAAATCACACACTACAGATTATACACCTTAAATAACTAATAACTAGCCGTTGGAAAGAATTGCAAAACATCTTTGACTTGTAGTAGAAACTGTGTCGTAATTAATATTTGTTGCTCACATTGCTTACTCAGTAACTGGAAAAAGTAAAACTAGATCGTTTTGAAAAATTTAAAAAATTTTAGGCATTTTCTTTGTTAATTGTTAATAGGAAAAGAGTTACCATGCCAGTTACTCTTATTACCTTTTTGCAGTAACATGTTGCACCAAAATCAGATTAGGATTGACGCAGTCAAAACAACGCATTTCATTGTAAAAATAACTCACTGCCGCTTTTACTGTAACTTTAAAATACAATTGATTTGATTACAATTCATGTTACAACGTAACGCGATTACCATGTCAAAGCATGTGAAGGTAAAGTCATCTAATTACCTTTTGTTTTACGAAAGACAAAACTGTAAATGGGTTTACATTGTAATTCAAATCATGATTTTTGTTTTATATATGCTTTTTAGGTAGTAATAAGATGACAAAAGAATTGGCAATAAAGTTAGTTTACAAAGAAATAATTAGTGATAATGCTATCAGAAACATATCAAAGATGCAAATCATCAAAAAAAAACAATTTACAGCTAGCCCTGTAAATCTGATATTAAGCGACCCGATCAATATTAATAGGTTGACATCAGCTACGTTTTACCCTTTTTGCAAAAAACAAATTTTTCGCTGCGAAACCTAAGTTGAGCCCCTGAGGGCCTGGTCTGGGCTTCACAATCCACATGTGCCAATCTAGCGTTTTTTAAATTTGCTCTGGCCCGGCTTCTTTTTATTTTGCTTCGTCCCGAATTTTTAAAATTTTTTTTGGTTTGGCCCATTTTATTGTAAAAGTCAAACAAATTGTTACACTAACTATAAATACAAATTTAAAGATCACATTACTGCATATTGTCACAACTACAATTAAAAGACTAATTCAATTACCGTTTAAATTATATGTTTGGTCAACAAAACTTTAGCTAACTACAACGTACAATTTAAAAATATAGTTCAAAAACTCAAATATTAGGATTATGTTTATTATCAGGTCACCAGTAGTGAAAGACTGAAGAGAAAAATAAGTTTAAGTTAATATACAGAGTTTCCAATGCTTTTGACTTTGCCTTAGACTTTAGAGCAGCTCTGGGGCACCTCTGGCTCTAGAGCTACACCCAGAGTCGAAACTCAAGCATTAACAATAAACAGTCAAATTTCAGTACTAAATTTCACCAGAACTAAAGCTAAAATATCAAAAAGTCAGGGTTGATTCTGAAATTGAGAAGTTTAAACTTGGGATGATCGACATCATAATCGTGGTGCTCAGTAGATGTTCAAATGATTTTAACTATATGTATATATTACTTATATCTATACAAAACTGCTTAGTTGACCATTCCCATTAACTTCTTTAATTTCTTACAGTAATTTGCACTTTGTTCTTCTAACTGTTTTGTTTTACTGGAATTCATGTTATCCATCAAAAACCAAAGCAAGAAACATCAAATTTACCACGATTTTCTCGCTTTTCCGAGAATTTTACCGAAGTTTCCGAAGAAACAGACTTCCTCATGTTTGAATGTTACTTTTATGTTCTACAAACACTCGGAATTACTTAAACTTTTGAGGTCAGTAAACAAGAACACTGTAAAGCGGGCTTTGGAAAGACAAGAACATAGATCACAAGTTGACTGTATGCCTATGTATATATTTATATAGTGTGCTAATGGTATGTCAACAAGTTGCTAATAATAGCATGCAATATACAAAAGTGGCACGAGGTTGTTTCTATGAATAATATAAATCTTACAATGAAAGTACCAGAACCAACTCAAACTTTTTATACAAATTCTTTTTGGTACTAATAGTACTTATACAAAATTATAGCCTGCGCTTTTGAGTTTAAATAACTATTATTTGAGCTATTCGTCAATTTGGTAAGTTTGGCGTTTTGTTTCAAGAACTTTTTCGACTTTTTTATGCAGACACGCTTACAAATTAAAAAAATGTAGATATATGTGAAGATGTTCTACTACTATATCAAAGAAAAATAATTAAAAGTCAACAAAACACAAAGTTATAATCTTGAAACATAATGCCAATTTGGCATGAATTTCAAAACGTAACTGTTGATTTCGATTTTCTCAAGATTGACTGAAAAGTGCGATTTAGTACTTTGCTGCATATGTTATATTTCTATGACCTTTCTCTTCCTACACAAAAAGTTCGAAGTCAATCAGCGTGAGGCAGGCCGGACACCTTCGTTGTTAGTTTTTTACTATAATATACGATAATGAAGCGTGTTGAACTAAATCATATAAATAATAATAAGAACCTCAAAAATTATAGTATTTTTTAAGAATCAATGATATGAGATCATTTCATTTATTAAATCACTTTTTAGTTTGCACTTTTACAATAATATTTTTATTGTCACCCACGGGAATAGTAGTAGAGCAAGATATTTTGTCTTCTGATAGCATGCACTCCAAAAGTTTTGCAACATCATCAAGGTTTGTCTAAAGTAATGTAACGTAAATATCATCACAAAAACAAATGAAAAAAATATTTTTGATTTGCATAAATTAGCATAAGAGGTAAAGCTGAAGCCAATATTAGCTTGTCAACAAGCCAGCATTATTTGGCTAGGATAGTGGGAAGATAACTTAGCTTGTACTTCTTTTTAAGCTTTTCTTTGGCTTTACCTCTTACTTTAGGCTTAAAGCATTCCATGATGTAGACATAGTAGCTTTTTTATGTTATTACTAAAAATAGACTTACCTCTTCAGTAAGTGTAATATCCACATTGGCCGTTGATTGTGTATTGCTCGGCATTGCCTCAAGGCATTTTTTGAATTTCTCCAACGAATTTCTTCCATATTTTTGTAAATCGACTGGTTTTGCGTTTATTGTCAAGTCGATATTAACTACTTTTATGTTTGGCAGCTGTTGTGTTATGTAGGTACCGTAGGACTCGTATTCACCTATTTTTGCAATCGAAGCGTTTGGTTCAATCAGTGTGAGGCGGTGAAGAACAGTGTCTAGTGGTCTGTAATGGAAAATTTTAAAATTTAGTTTTAAAACCATAAATAAAATTTTTTTTATTTTTAAAGGGCCCCTATAGTAAACACAAACTGCCAGTCCCTTCGTGTAACTTATATAGAGAGTACTGTATAAATATAAACTCACGTCAAGCTCAAAGCTGGTTCAAACTCTCTGTCGCTGAATTCAAAGACAAGCTGTTCGATTGCCATAACTTCTATTAGGGTTTCGTTTATGTAATACTCTTCAGCGTCTGATACTATCAACTTTTTTGCTTTCATCTGCAAAATAATGTACATATATTTGTTTATATATATGTGAAATGTCATAAAAGAAAAGGTTTAAGACTTTTGGAAACTATTAAATTGTTTAATTAATTCTGCGCCCCCTTACCACAAAAAGTTGCTTTGAGAAGGAGCGCAGAATTATTTGAACAACCTAATATTTCAATTATGTTTTACAACTAGTAAGAATATTATAACCATACCTTAATCTTATTAGGAAAGTGTTGAGACCAAAATGCACTGAAATGAACATGACATTCTTCAACCGCGATCGGCTCCCAGAATATTGACATTGCATACTTTGAAATGCCACTGATTTGTTTCAAATTCGAAGATATACTTCTAAGCATCTCCATTGGCATCGTATGGACAATATCTGGCTCAACAAAGTTGGCTAGCCATTGATCTTCCTCTGCGTGGAGGGCTAGTTCTAGGGTTGTGGGCTCTGAAATAGCACAATATTTTGTAAGAAAGTAAAACATTTTATCACATAATAGAAGCTATTATGATCATAACTTTTAAAAATGGTAATATTGGTACTCATGGTACTAAAATAGGTATAAAATAGTCAAAATATGATAATTTTTTGATAAATTTTGTTATACAAACGTAAAAAAATATTATTTAGTACCATTGGTAGCATTAGTACTATTTTTCAAACTCCACAAGTTTATATTTTTTAAATGCCAAAAAATTTAAAATCACGCTACAAATCTTGCTTTAAAATGTTTTTCAAGGTTGTTCAAATAATTCTATGCCTCATAACCCTGCATATTTGATTTGAAAATGAGCTCAGAATTATTTGAACAACCTAATGATATAAGAATCTCTTTAGTTTTCATTATTTTTTCCGCTACTGTTATAGAAAAACAGTACATTATCTATGAACACAACTTTGAACACACCTATAAATATTTTTTTTACTTCTACTACTGGACGCCAAGAAATTCTTTATCAAAAAATGGGCATGAGGTCGGGTCTCAACATTTGATTAACGAAGTGTCAAAATAATTATAAAAATTGCGAAAAATAATTCGCGATATTGTTTTAGATTGTGATTTTTGTGGTGTTTTCGGGGAAATTGCGCGAGTTTTTTGTTTAATTAGTTTAATTATTTTATGTTTTATTTTAGATATTTGAATGGGGAAAGAAGACGTTACAGAGGCCGAGTTTCCGGACGGTCAAAAAGAAGAAGGAAAGTCGGAAAGAACACGAAAGGTCGGACAAATGGTAAGGTATTTCTTATTTTTGGACTGTATTTAGGTAAAACATGTCATAGGTTGTATGGAGAATGAAGTTGCGCATCTTTTGCGTCCAAATTTGCAAAAATTTGTACAAGAAGGATTTTTTTTCTTACAAGCTTTATGATGTTATTTTAGGACTTTCGACTGAACAACCTTGCGAAGGCCAGGGAAGCCAAGAGAAAGCAGCGATTGAAGATGGAAAAGCTTTCTGACTGTAAAAGGAGGAGTTTGGTACAATCTAAAGCAGTAGCAGGATCAATTGAACATGAAGAGCAGCTGAATGTTGAGGATGATAGGTCAGTCGGAAAAATGGTAAGTTATTGCTTGTGTTTGGACTGTATTTAGGAAAATGGTTTTGGATTATATGGAGAATAGAATTGCGCATCTTTTAAGCACAAATTCATACTAGTTTGTTTTGAAACATTGTTTTTCAGTCGTTTAGTAAGATATTGTTTTAGGATAACCAGCTCGACGAACCCGTGGCTTCAACCTCGGCTCTCCCTCTAATCCCTCAGTCAATCAAGATGCCCTGTGACCTGCTGAAAGAGAAGGACATCACAATTCAAGAACTTCAAGCTGAAATCAAGAAGCTGAAGAAGAAGAATACAGAATTGACGAGGCTGCTTGCTCTATGTTCTCCACAGAAATCTTTTGTCGGTATGGTTCAAAAAGTTTAATTTTAGGTAATAAATTATTGATCTCATACTATTTTTATATAATTTATAAAGTTTTAATGTTCATTTAATCTTTTTGTCCATTATTAACAATATTTTTTACTCTTCGTATAACTTGGACTTTCCCTTGTTCTCGAAAAATTCAGTCCGAGTTGCGCCCGACCGCGAAAATCTCTATTTCCCTTTTTTTCTTGGCGTGCTACTGGTAACTCACTTAATTCAGCTGCGCTCAAGATCCTCTGAAACAGATCGCTGTGCGCTGGGTCGGTGTAGTAGACGTGTTTGAAAGCGATAGTATTTATACTATCTTTTGACTCCTGTACTATACGTTGACATAACTGGACGGCTTCTTCATTGACTTCACTGATGGTTAAACAACGCTTCTTTTCTTCTTCTGCCAAGAATTCTGACTGAAACACGGCTTTTACTACTTTTATTAAGTATCATTTATAGGTTATAGCCTTTTTTTATCTTAGTATATTATTCATAATCTATAGCATAGTTACTATATTACATATATATAATAGTATAAAATAACATTATATTTTATTGTTGAAACTTACCCATTTCTGTGGTTCCTTCTGTTTCATGCAATACAATTGACGATAACGTTCTTTGTTCACCCTGAGATCTTGTATAACACATGGCTCTTTGACCAGTCGAATTACAAACCTGTTGTTCTGAAAATTTTTTTAATCTAAGCTAAAAAATATGATAACTTTGCAACACATTCATCACAACTATTTATATTAATAATATTAATACTCAAAACGGATTACCAGGATTACTTACATTCGGCAACCCAACACTGACGTGGTTTGTGTAGAATCGGATGTCAACAACTTTGTACGTCCACAGGGAGAATTGGGTTGATACAACCTAAAGATGAAGAATGTCTTGTTTTCGTTTATTTTAACAGTAAACAGTAACTGTTTATGCAAAAAGCTTCCTTAATCCGAGCCTTTCGTTGGAAAAAGCTTACTTTTGAGCTTTTAAAACATTAGGTTATTCAAATAACTTTGTGCTTCTTTTCAAGACAAATTTCTGAAATTAGGATGCACAGAATTATTTGAACAAACTTAAAGTATTTGTAGTAAGTTTTAAAAAATTTTAAATTCGAAAAATTCAGAAGTCTAAGCATCACAATCCTAAAAGGGGCCCAACAGGCAAAAAAATTAAAAAAATAGAGCTTGGAAGATCGTTAGGGCCTGGAGACCGGGTCTTAAATAAGGCTCCCGAACACAACTATTCCAGTAAGGTTCAAAGGCCTAAGCTTAGGTCCCGCAACGAAAGTCTTGATTTGTAAAAAGTCTAAAACAAATTCGACTTTAAAGTTATTTACTTCGAAATAATTTTTAAATGTTTTTTTAAAAAATAAAATTATCAAATCTAGGGCCGTGCCCCGCTTACATAACCCTAAGGACCGGAGCTTAAACTTTGGCCTATCCCCTTCACAGGTCTGGGCATCACAATAAGAATGCTACTTTGATTCTTACTTTTGAAATTTTAATGAAAACTAAATTTTTAAGTTTAAGATGTTAAAGTAAATATAACAACCGTAAAAACTTGTAGTACAATCTAAACCAACAATACCTACCAACTCTTTAATCTTCTCGAAATCACCGTCCTGACCATAGTCGTCGTGAACGAAGATTTCTTGCCGTTCCAACGCTTCCGGCGGCAGGCTTTCGTCCATTTCTCGAGAAAAGGAAGCCGAATATGTATATATATTAGAGTACGCGTGCTGTTAAAATAAAAAATGTGCCGCATAAAGAGAATTTTTTTGCTCCTTGGAAGTAAATCGCGGTGGGATTCGGAGCTTAAATTCCGTGGAACCGATTCATTAGGAAAATCCACAAATGGGTAAAACAATGTCGGACATAATGACAAATGTTGGGGGATGAAGTAGTTTGAAAGTTCATTTTAAAATGGCATAAGTTTAAAGTTTTAAAAGTTGATATTAAGTTTATGTCTAGACGGCTTAAAATTGTTTGTTTTGGCTTTTTCCTGAAGGCTCAAAAGTGTAAGCTTGCTAGTTAGAACTTTAGAGCTTACAATTTCTAAAAATCAATTGCACCAAATATCCATTAGCTTTTAGAACGATGCGTACGTATATAGGATGAAAAAACATAAATAGTTACCAAAAAGCCAGTTTTAAGAATTGCCAAATAATTGCGGCTAGATTAGAAAGCAATAGGACCATTATTTGTCTTGAGCAAAACCAATAGATTGAACTGTCAATAACCATGTGGTCGAGTAGTTAAGAAATTAGACAGTCTTCTAATGGAACCATACCTTTTAAATATGTAAGAATAAGAGCGTACTATAAAAGTGTATTACTTTAAAACTTGAAAAAAATTTTACTATGTACACTTTTGATATATCGCTAGCCAAGGCCATTTAAAAGTTTTTGAAAATAATTTTCCTGGTAACATTCTATGCTCTTACATAGGTATCGTAATAAAACTCCAGGGATATTTGGCACTCTAAAAGGGATAAATCTTTTGTAAAATATTTTTACCTTTATAACAAACATCTATAACGCTCCAGAGCAATTTGTTATGAAGGAGTTTTAACAAAATTCAAAAAATTTCAAAAAAAAATTTTAAATTTTGTTGTAAATTCAAGCATTCTAAAAACTTCAAAAATTTCTAAGTTTTTCTTAATTTTTTTAATCAACGACACATACAAACTAAAAATATTTTAGTAAAACAATTTTCGTGTTGCCTTCAATTTCCTTCTACCTCTTCTCTTTACTGACGACTACATCACACACTACAATCATTTTTCAGCTTACTATGTTAATATTTCTCTCGAAACTGTCAAAAACGCAAATGCTAATTGGGTACCACAGCGAATTAACAAAATAATCTTTGGCATTCTGCATTAATCTTTTTGTTTATGACTTTAAAGCTTCCGTGAAGCGCATCGTTGCTTATTTACTACGGAGTATATGTAAATAATCTTACCACTACGGATATGTAAATAAAGCACGCTATTATGTCTACAAAGAAGTGGAAGCTGTAGTAATGTAACTCACAAAAAGCTATATATATGTAACACAGTAAATAAATAGATTGATGTATACAAATGGCTATTGGAAGTTTGAAAAAAGTAAAAGATATAAAGCTTGAGAAAAAACTGTACAGTAATAAAGAGAAAAAACTGTACAGTAAAAGTAAATTAAGTTGTTCAATTAATTCTGACCCCTCTCAAAGTAAATTTTTGAGGTTGCGGCACAGAATTAATTAAACAATAATATATAACAGTGTAGTAGATATTACCAAATATGAATATCAACATGAATTTTAAATTTAAAATTTTCATGTTAATTAAAACTTCCAGAAGTCTAAATTTAGGTTTTACAACATTAGCTAGGAGTTTAAACAACATGATATACGTTTGAAACATGCAATTACTAAAAATTATAATATATTGTATTGTAAAGTGAACATAATCATAATATATATCTTATAATATTTATCGTTTAAAATTACATGTAACAAATTGTATATTTACAACTTTTAGTATAGTTTTACCTGTTATAGACAGCTTTATATGAGATACAAAATATACATATAATGTAGATAGTTAAGCTTTATGAGCAACATCATATTAAAAAACAAAAAAAATGTACAAAAAACAAAATAAAAATAGGTATATATAAAGTATTACCAGAAAAAAATATCTATCAATGTTATATTACCCATGCAATGACAAAAGTCTACGATACAATAGTTATTAATACGTAATCTATTCATATTGTAGTATGTATACTTAGACTTTGTAGTTATCATCTCTAGATAGATAAAGTATAATAAATGCACTATATTGTAGGAAATACAATTACGTTTGTTTTTTGCGTTATCGTAGCTTGGACTATAACGTTAGCCAAGAACTTAAAAAGAACATACAGTAGCTAATTAAACTACAATAAACACAGTGACTAGTTTTCTATATCTTGCATTACCTACATAAAATTCAAAAAAAGTTTGAACTATAATACCTTAAACTAATGAAAAATAATATATTTGGTTGTTCAAATAATTTTGTGCCTCTAAATAAAAAAATTTTTTTTAAAAAGCAAACTTCGGAGCACAGAATTATTTGAAACAACCTCAGCTAATTTGGAAAATACATTGTAATAATGACAGTATACATATATATATATATATATATAACATATTAGGTCCATAAATACACTTCTTCACCCTTTATTTACATTTCAATGCAAAGAATCCAAAAAAACCGCCAAAGGCACAAGAAAAACATTCGAAAATGTCGCCAGAATCGGCTACATTTATTTATTTACAAATTGTAAGAATCCGGTTGTCATGGTGACAAAACAAACCAGTATAATATATTCAGGATGACATTAATTAACAAAGTGCTTCGTGGAATGACCAAAATATTTTGAAAAATATTAAACAACAAGGCTGTAAATGTCTTTCACATCCGCTCATCTTGTTAAACGTAATTGTGTTAACATTCCATCGTAAAAGTCATGTTCGAAGGCTTTACGATGGCTATTTTTGGACATGGCACGACGTGTTATGTACACAATAAATCTAAATATTACATAGTATAAAATTTTTAGTTAACGTACTAATACAGAGATGTCCATAGTTATAAGCAGTGTTCTCAAATTTAAAATTTCCGGAGTTTTACTCAAAAAAAGGATCTTCAACTAGAGTGAGAAACAAGGGCTTTACTTTTGGGACTCTTCCCCGACGTAGGGCTAACGTTTAAGCCTATCTCGTTTTTACTTTTTTTCTAATCAGCTCGGCCGGGAAATTTGAGCAATGGGGCTACTACTATTTATGGAATTTTTTTGGGTTCGGACCTACATTTTAAGCTCAACTGGCCTGACTGAGTCAACTCTTAAATCCAACTTGTTTCAACTTTAGCTCAAGGTTGGCCCAGTTTGCACGACACGTTTTTCGCCCCTATACTACACGAAACTTAAAAGTGAAGTCTCCGTTCTTGGAGATGAGGATACATACAAGAAGGTATTTTCGACCAGAAAACTATTAATTTTAATCGTGAATGACAATTTTAAAAAAACTGTACTGCTTAAATATACGCTTAAAAACTTAAATTTAAAATTTTCTCCTTACCTTGCATTGTTTTTAACGTTTTGAACCATAAGACTCTTTAAACTTCAAAATAGAGTAAAAGCTAATTAAAAGTGTCTAAAAATCTGTTGCGTTTTTGTCATTTCAAAGCCATGTGTAATAATTTCGAAAATAAATTATTGTAAAACATAACTTCAAGAATGCTACGTAAATGTGACGAACCATGATGACGGTGCGTAATCTCTTGAATCATCATCGCCAAACGGAAGGAATGTTCCTTCACTCTTATAATAGTATCGTTGTTCCAGTATTTTAGCGACAAAATGAAGACGTTCATCTTGAAACGGAATCGGTAAGTCATTTTCTACTAAAGTAAACTTTGGTGAAGTATTTTTTAAAATTATTTTGTTGATTTTTAAGGAACTTTGGGGCTTGATAGCATGGTAACTCAAAATTTTGTTCTCAGTCAAACGAGGACAATTCCTGTTCTGCTTCGACCTTATTGACTTCAAACTTTTAATATAGAAAGATTATATAAGTATAAATTCTAAAACAAAGTACTAAATTGCAATTTCAATCTCGTGAAAACCGCGATCAAAAAATTCCGTTTTGAATTTCCCGCCAAGTTGGCATTGTGTCTCAAGCTTATAACATTGCCATTTTTCGACTTTTAATAATTTTTCTTTGATATACTAGTAAAAACCTTTAAATACACCTACATTTTTAAATTTGTAAGCGTAGCTTGTCTGAAAAGTTAGAAAAAGTGGTTGAAACACAATGCCAAATTTGCCAACTTGGCGGGAAATCCAAAGATTTTAATTATTAGAACTAAAAAGAGCAAGCTAAAAACTTCTATGGGTACTATTAGTAGCACAATGAACTATTATAAAAATTTGGAGCTGGTACTAAGTGAAGCAAGTCTGGTACTTCTCTTGTAAGCCTAGTATTACTTTCGGTTCAACCTAATATATAGTATGTTAATCTAAAACTTATTGTCATCCTAAACAAGTAGCACCTCGTCACAAACATGTTGATCAACAAGTTTCAAGAACCTTTAAAAAGTGTTAGTTTAAAAACAGCTCTGCATCGAACAGGTGCTCTTCTGACCCTTGGCACTTTAAAAACAGATGAGAGTTGGCTTGCATGAGGCCATTTATTCGATCTGATCTTTAAGAATTTTGTTTTCCGATCAATAAAAGTGGTATATTAACAAGGTTCTCGTTAGTTTAGGTTTAGTTTTTCAAAAACTGTTTAGATTTTTTCAATTTAGTAACGACTTTTAATTTTGCAGTGAAATCAGTGATCCAGACATAATGGACAAGATTCAAAAAGACATCGATCGAGCGGCCAAAGACTTTCAAAGAGAAGCCCAAAATGTCACTAACGGTAAGAAACATATGTTACTGTATTGTTACTTGTTTTATAATATTAAAAATGATTAGTAATTTTTTCAAAAGTTACAAATTTTTTGAAACACCCTGTAAATCAAAAAACTAATAAAAATTAAAACAAAAAATTTTTGAAAAATTTTTGTGGCTGCGTTTACTCAACGCCTGGAAGGTTTCACCTATAGCTCAAGGCAGGCCCAATCGTACAGCCGAGCTGATATTATACGACCTGTTTCTCATCCCTACTTTTAAAACACATTGGCTCATCGTAGTTATTAAACAACACAAAAGGTCAATTTTTATATTAAAAGGCAGCTTTAGAGTAGGTGATTAATGAAATCAAGAAAATGCTAGTAAAATAAACAAAGTTTTTGATTTTTGAAGCTCCATACCTTGCCTTTAAAATTTAAGACCACAACTATTCAGTCAGAACTAATATTAGGCAGTTCAAATAATTCTGTGCCTATAACGCCAAAAATTTTTTTGTGAGGAAGCACAAAACCATTTGAACAACCTAATAAAACAAAATTTTGAGTTTTCCGTTTTTTTTATTTTTACCAAAGGACGCGGTCTTATGCAAATTATCCTGCCATTTTCAAAATCGTTTTTTCATTATTCGAAATTTTTGTTACTTATTATTGGACTTTCTGAGCTGTGTGGTCGGAAATTGAGAAGTCAACGGTATGTTACTATGTAAAATATGTTATGTCTTGCTTTAGGGTTTGATTGTAATGTAAAATACGGTCTAAGAATGTATAAGGTTTATATTACGTTTTTCACATAATTCTGTGCCCCTAACTACAAGAATTTGCTTTGAGAGGGGGCTCTGATTTATTTGAACAACAATGTTTATAAAAAAAAAACAAGTAGTTGTTTTTTTAAAAGCTTTAAGGTTACAGTAATCTACCGTAATAATATACTGTTTGGCAATGCCTTTGAATTTCCTATAATAGAAATGTAGTGTTCTGTAAATTTTTCTAAAATTTTTTAAATTTTGCTTCATTTTCAGCTGTCAACTCGAAACTAAACGACATGTCCACCTACTCTCATCGTACCATCGACTACACCTACCCGAGTGTCATCTACCAACTCCGTTCAGCTCATCTCGGCGCTCTCTTCGTTCAAGCCTTCACCTTGTACTTGTGGTCGCGGACCCTGGGCTTGTCCGGCTTCCTGTTGCCATTCATTTTCATTTGTCTGAACGTGTACTTGGTATTCAGAAGATGGTACTACTCGATTGACGGCCGCTACGACTTTCAAAAGTTTCTCGGCGTCAACAAGCCTCAACTCAAGCTTCATTACTTTATTGGTAAGGAAACGCTTTATATTTGCCTTTAGCGTTTTAAAATTTAAAATTTATACTTTTTAGGTGTTTTTGAGCTATATACCTATAGTATTACTTAAAATACAAAGTAAAATCGTTAAAATAGCATTTTTCAAATCATGAATACCAAATTTTGTTGATATAGTAATGTTAGCATAGTTAAAATAAATGACTTTTGCCGTGCTTCCGTGGCGCAATCGGTTAGCGCGTTCGGCTGTTAACCGAAAGGTTGGTGGTTCGAGTCCACCCGGGAGCGATTATCTTTTTTGCTTTTTTAATGCATTTTGATAATATGGCAATTTAAAGAATTTTAAACGTGATCAAAATTCTATAAATACCTTTTTTGTACTGTTTTATGAAAACAGTTCTAAATAAAAAACCTATTTTCGATGAAAAAAGTGCAATTTTAGCCTGTTTCGCCTAGGTTTTCTCGATGTTTTTATCTAATGAACTAATACCCCACTTTTTCAGCCCTATTCGCATCTGCCATTCTCACACTGTTGGCACATTTCTTCGGACCGGATCTTGAGGGCGGCATCACGACTTTCCTGTACAACCTGAGCAACTACCTGAGTTTGTCGTGCTCGTTGTGCATTCTGTTCGTCGATTGTTACGAAGGCTACAAGTCCAAGAATTTCTGATTCTGCGTCGAATAAACCTTGTCCCCCACGTTTCGATTTTTATTTGAATAAAAAGGTATTTTTGTGGTCAAGAGAGATATTGTAGTAGGTCATTTGTTAGTCTGGAATTCCTTATTTAAACCTGTAGTTACTTTACTATACCAGTTAATCCTGTACGCATACCTTATAACCATCCGAAAAGTAAGCCAAAGTAAAAGTGATATAAAACTTTATACTCCTTTGAGGTCAGTGTATTGTATATGTACGTATATGTTCAATGAGGTACAGTAAAGTGAGATTTAGAATTAGTAAAAACAAAAAAAGGTATAAAATATAGCCAGGTAAGACCGTAAACATCAGTGAAATCAACTTTTGAATTTTAAAAAAGTCATAAATGCAAGACTGGCACCAAATCGACGTTTTTTCTGTGTTTGTCTGGTCGCATAAGGAGCCCTGAAGCTGGTCGATATGGTCGACAGGTCATTTCATCAGCTTGTCTTCTCTCCGTGATTGCTATTTTCACGTTTTCTAGTGCCATATTCATTGATTTTTTGTACTCGACTCGACATTGTTTGATGCTTTGACGGATCTTCTCGACTTCAATGTTGTTCTTGGGTATAGACCGTGGTTTTGCTGAAATTTTAAACTTTAGCGAAAAATAATTTTTAGGCAATAATGACAATTTTTAGGTAACTTGTTTAAATGTTTTCAACTAAAAATCAATTCAAAAACATGTAAAAGTTCTAAAAACCTACCTAAATGTAACCTTCTCAACGGTACTCGACTAACCTTGGTCAGGTTAAAGTAAGGATGCTTCATAGCTTCACGAGCAGTCAGACGTTCTTGATGATCGTACCGAAGTAACTGGTCCAATAAGTCAAACGCCTCAGATGATACCAGGTCTCGATTGTCAATGTGAACAAACCGTTCCCATCGTTTTCGAGAATGACTAAAACAATATCAAATAATCCAACTATTTCAAAAACAAAGCCTTAAGAAAACATAAAGTAATATGAGTCAATATTTAAATTGGTCTTTTTTAAACTATGCCAACACTTACCTTCCAAGAATCTCGTTGAAACGGTGATCCAATTCAATGTGATAATTCTCGATATACAAAAACAATTCGTCCGTTCCTAACACTTTTGCAAACCGAACCAGCTAAAATCAATTACTAAATTTTTAAAAAAAATTTATTCCATTATCAGTTCAAATTTACGTATTCTGTTCGTTATTGGGCAAACATACCTAAAAATCAAAGAAAATTAAGACTTACTTGATCATAGTTGTCATGCCCGTGGAAGAAAGGCTCTTTGCGGAAAATCATTGAAGCTAACATACATCCCAAACTCCACATGTCAAGTGAGTAGTCGTAGTACTAAAAAACTAAATTTTAAAACCATCATTAAACCAAAAAGCTAAAAAAAACTTTACCATACCCCAAACATAACCAAAGGTAAGTCTTTTTTTTATTTTTTAAAAAATAGAATAGTATTACAAGAAAAAACTTTAAAAAATTATTTTACCTTATACCCAATCAACAATTCCGGTGCCTTGTAACATCTAGAAGCTACCCGAACATCGTATGCTTGACCCTGATGATAGAACTCGGCCAATCCCCAGTCGATAAGACGTAGTTGTCGCTTCTCGTGATCTATCATAACATTGTGTGGCTTCACATCTCGGTGCATGATTCCCATCGAATGACAAAAGTCCAAAGCCTTCAGAAGCTCGTACAAATAGTATCGAATGTCATAATCAGATAAGGTCTGGCACAACTGATTAAAGTCGGTATTGTTAACGTATTCGAAGATAAGAGCCGGCGTTTTTGTTATTGGACCTTTAACTACGTCAAGAAGAGTTATGATATTGGGTCCTGATTTAAGGTTCTTCAGGATCTTGACTTCTCTTTTCAGGGTTTTGTCGTTTACTGTCTAGAATAATAAAATTTAGGTAATAAAAAGATCAAAATAATGTTTAAACGATAAATAGAACTTGTTCCTCCGAAAAAATGTTCCTAAAGCTACTTCATCTGCATTTACTTCAAAAGTTATACTAATCACACAACAATCAACATCTTGTATCATCAATATTCAATTTTTCCAATCTTCAGTACCTAAAAACCGAAAACAATAAAAAAAACACTTACGTTTAATATCTTGATAGCCACCGTTTCATCCTCTGGTATTAGAATTCCTTCAAACACTTCCGAGAACCTTCCTTCGCCAATCTTCTCTCCCAAACGATAGTCGTCAACATCACCATATTCAATCTGATGAGCTTCGTAATTCCAGTATTTCTGAGGCTTATTCATGTTAACGTCCGAATAGACGCGAGAACTTGATAACAGCGGCATTTTATGTATAGTGGATTGTTGTTAGTTGAGTTTTAGACACCGACCATCAGTACAAATCTAAAAATACAAAAATAATCTTAAAAACCTATTGCTAATGCCTAAAAAAATATAAACAAACCATTAAAACATAATGCATAAATTGTAACATACATGAAAAATACCCAAATTTACCAAATTTTAAAAATTTTATTGTTTTATTTTTCAAAAAACCATATGCCGACAACTATCGCTTTTTCAGCTCGAAGTGTCACGATATATCGGTTTTGACAACGAAGTGTCAAACTTGTGCGCCTCTCAACTATCGAGTGACTTTTCGGTCTTGCAGCGCTTTTGGCATTTGTGATGAGCAAAAAAACTTGAATGATACTCTGCTCGTTTCGTATCTTGTTGTTTCTCCATATTTTTCTATGTTTACACTCACAGTTTTGAAGCTTAAAATTGTGTTTTTGTCGCCAAATTGATTTTTTCCAATATTTTGTCTTTTTCTTTCGAAATCCGTCGTTTTTATAAAAATTTAGATGAATTCTTTTTGGTTAAAATTCTTGGAGGAAAGTTGAATTTATTATGCAAATTTAAATTTACTTGAAACGTATGATTTGTAGCTCAAGTTTGTTGTCACAGTCTTGAGGAATCTGGATTGATCAACTCATAAACAATATCTGGTTGTTGTCTGTCTGCTTTTGTAAATGGAGTAAGTTTTATCTCTTCAAAAGGTCGTTAAAAGTTGGATTAGGGGTTGAGAATAAGCTGTATCTTTGAGCATTAAAACCGCTTTGTAATGGATGTAATGCCATTTCTTTACAATTAGGGTTTTAGTATATTAAACCGGAAGTAGGATATTATAGTAGTGTATTGAGAATGGCACAGTTTGATGTGTCGTTTTTCATGCATTGGTGTCGTCCTAACCGCGTTTCCCATCATCAAAGGTAAAATACCGAGTATTTAGATAAGAAAATGGTTTAGTTCAGTGAAATATGAATAAGAAACTAGAAAATTAAAAAATTTTTACTCAGTATAATATAATAAGGGCAGGTTTTGTAAAAAATATGATCTTTTGTTGTTTATGGTCACGAGATTTGTCTTACACAATACTTGTGGTTTTGTAAAAAGTGTTATTGGCGTCGGAATATTAATATAGGAGTCAAAAATTGATTTTTTTAGTGTCTTTGGTGCTGGTCAAGCATAATATGCCATACCTTTGTGTATTTTAGATCTTATAATATATCTTTGGTCTTAAACTTTTTCAGAGATATTAAACATTGTTTTCACATAAGTTTAGTGTAAAATTGTCTTGGGATAACTTTGTAAACTTAACGTTACTATACGTCTTAAAACAAGCTTATCATTTTTTTCTTTCAGCCGGGACTTGTCCTCGCATCCCAGCGATACTCCGTCTCTAAAGCCATACCCACCTAAGGGAGACGGGATGCCAGTTCCATCACGTGCCCGCGTCTACGCGGATGTTACTATGAGGAAACCCAGGGAATACTGGAATTACGAAGTTCATCAGATCGAATGGGGAAACATCGATGATTACCAGTTGGTCCGCAAGCTGGGCCGAGGAAAGTATTCTGAAGTTTTTGAAGGAATTAAGTTGCCAAACGACGAGAAGATTGTTATCAAAATATTGAAGGTAAGGATTCATATTTTTCTTGGTTTTTAGGTGAAGAATGAAGGAAAATTGATGTGTTTTGGTAAAATACAATAGCGACGTCGCTTGACTGCATTTTAAATGAAATCACGGCTTATATTTATAGGGAACTTACTTATATCACACGATTTTACGTTTATTTCTAACAAAGATATTGTTTTAGCCAGTGAAAAAGAAGAAGATCAAGAGAGAAATAAAAATTCTGGAGAATTTGCGTGGTGGCACGAATATCATCACTCTTTTGGACGTTGTTAAAGATCATGTTTCAAGAACACCGGCTCTCATCTTCGAATACGTTAACAACACCGACTTCAAGCAGTTATACCAGACTCTTTCTGATTATGACATTCGATACTATTTGTACGAGCTTTTGAAGGCTTTGGACTTTTGTCATTCGATGGGAATCATGCATAGAGATGTGAAGCCACACAATGTTATGATAGATCACGAGAAGCGACAGCTACGTCTTATTGATTGGGGATTGGCAGAGTTCTATCATCAGGGTCAAGAATATAATGTTAGAGTAGCTTCGAGATACTTTAAGGGGCCAGAGCTGTTGGTCGATTATCAGGTAGGAATTTTGATTGTTGTTTTGTACATAAGTGTATAAGGAATTTAATCATGACATGTTTTTAGTGTTATGACTATTCACTTGACATGTGGAGTTTGGGATGTATGTTAGCTTCAATGATTTTCCGCAAAGAGCCTTTCTTCCACGGGCATGATAACTATGATCAAGTAAGTCTTAATTTTGTTTTTATTTTTAGTTATATTTACGAAGAGAATACGTCAATTTGAGCTGATAATGGAATAAAAATTGTTTTTAATTTAATAATTGATTTTAGCTGGTCCGAATTGCAAAGGTGTTAGGGACGGACGAATTGTTTTTGTATATCGAGAAGTATCACATTGAATTGGATCACCGTTTCAACGAGATTCTTGGAAGGTAATTGTTGGCATGAATTTTAAAAGTCTTGGCATTAACTTAATACTTTGTTTTTAAAATAATTGTTTTATTTCATATTGTTTTAGACATTCTCGAAAACGATGGGAACGATTTGTTCACGCTGAGAATCAGCATTTGGTGTCGCCCGAAGCAATTGACTTTTTGGACAAACTACTTCGGTATGATCATCAAGAACGTCTGACTGCTCGTGAAGCTATGAATCATCCATACTTTGCCCAAGTTGTTCAAGAACATCAGCGGAATGCGGAAGGTAAGTATTTTAAATGTTTTTATGAAGAAGCGTTTTTGTACTTGTAGTTAAAAACCGATGTCTTCTTGAATATAGAAGCATTCTTGGTTTATTAATAAGATTTTGGATTAAAATATATAAAAAATTACTTTTTTAGTCAAGAACGGGGTGTTAAACTAAATTAATTTAATGTTTAGCCGCCCCTGACGCACCAGCCCAGGACGGAGCCGCTTCCGAATCGAACCTATCTACAGCCGCCTCAAACAACTCGTTGGGACCGCAGTAAAGCTAAAGGACCGTTTATATTTGGGGCTCTACGAACACAACGAGTTGTTATTGTAATTCAGTTGTTAAGCGAGTTGTCGCCGTGATTCAGTTGTTATAAAATACGAATTTAATGTAGTAGAATTAAGTCAACACTTTTTGGATGTAGAAGTATCGATGGAAGTATATAATAGGTAATGTAGACCGAAAGTATATTTTTGGTTGTTAATATAGTTAAGCGCCGTTTTAAATTGAGGATAGCGTTTGTTGTAATGCTTGAATTATCTTTTAAGATAATATGATATCAATGTTAATATCGTTTATAGAATACATAGTAAATTGTTATTGTAATACCGTGGTTGACTGAGTTTTACTGTTCTGTTTTGTCGGTTTTAAGTCTTTTTGGTCTAAAAGTTTGAAGAATTTGTCTTTTATATTTTCTTTTGTTGAGTTTTCTACATACTTTTTGACCACAACTTATTTCTGATGATACTGTAAACGATACTACTGTAATTGAGGCCATAATTTACTTGAACCTATATTACAGTATCATTTTTCAGCTAAGTTTTGTAATTTGTGACAGCTGGTTGACAATTAAACTCGTTTGTCTTTTATAAATGTAAAATAACTTGAATCACTCTGATATTCGAAGCTTGTACTAATTTCCACACAATGTTGATTGTATTTCAAACTATTTTCTCTAATTTTGTTGAATTTGTATTTTAAAATAAATAAAAGGAAATGATGGTAATGTTGTTATGGATGGTGCCGGTTAGCTACCTTGATTACTTTATGGATATTGAGCTGACAATTTACAAAAAATGTGAGATAGGCGTCTAGACCATTGTTTTGCATTGGAAATGAGGATTTTAAAAACAATTTTTGAATTGAGTGTAATATAAAGTAACATTCAGATGTCACTCGGAAGATTTTTGAAGCCAGTGCACGTTGTGAGGACGGTCAGAGCACAGTCGACTCAAGCCAAGTCCACGCAAGAATATGTGGAGAAACCGGTGCCTACAGTACGACCATTGTATCTCGATGTACAGTCAACAACACCAATGGTGAGATTATGACAAAACTTAAAAGGTTTATTTTTAGGTTATACAGAATAGTATAATCTTATATCTATAAGATCAAAGCTAGGAATGTCAGGTTCTTATTATTCCCCCTCTTTGTCAGGTTCTTATTATCTGACCCTCATTTCAGGACCCACGTGTCGTAGACGCCATGTTACCATATATGCTGAACGACTTTGGTAACCCTCACTCCAGAACCCACTCCTACGGCTGGGAGTCGGAAGCCGCGGTGGAGCGGGCACGACTTCAAGTGGCAGAACTAATCGGAGCTGATCCTCGAGAAATTGCCTTTACTTCTGGAGCTACAGAATCGAATAACTTGTCTATCAAAGGCGTGGCCAAGTTCTACAAAAACGCTGGCAAAACTCACGTCATCACAGCTCAGACGGTAGTTTTTTTACTGATTTGCATACTTAGAATGACACGATTTATTAAAATTAATGGTTAAAGTTCAGAATTAACGATATATTATAATTGAAGGAACACAAATGTGTACTGGATTCGTGCCGATATCTGGAGAACGAAGGGTTTCAAGTAACTTATTTGCCTGTTCAAACTAACGGTCTGGTCGATTTGGAGCTTTTGGAACAGTCGATGACAGAAAAGACGGCGTTGGTGTCGATTATGGCTGTCAATAACGAAATTGGAGTTAGACAACCGCTTAAGGAGATCGGTAAGTATTGTTATCTAAATTTTTGAAATAGTTTTAAAAGCTGCTTGTCAGCTTTGAAGATTGACTTTGTGTTTTGTAAATCAGATCAGAAGGGTTACTTTTATAGTCTCTCGGATCTTGGACTCATGTTGACTATAAAGCGTGTTTCATTACAACAAGTTGACTGTAAGGAAAGCTTAATTACTTAATATTTTAGGGGAATTATGCCGCAAGAAAGGAGTCAAATTCCACACAGATGCAGCTCAAGCCGTAGGCAAAGTGGACATTAATGTAGATGATCTTAAACTCGACTTGATGTCTATTAGTGGCCATAAAATCTATGGACCTAAAGGTATGTTGCATATAATAATTAAAAAGTTTTTAAAAATATGAATTTAGGAATGAAAATGGGACAAAAAGGTTGTGTAAAACTTTATTGGAATATTCAAATAATTCTGTGCCTACTCTGGAAATTTGCTTCGGGGCGCAGAATTATTTGAACAACCTAATAAATTGTTATATATAGTTGTTATAAAACTGAATTGTCAATTACAGTTTATGAAACTTCCTTTTCAGGAGTTGGTGCCATTTACGTCCGCCGAAGGCCTCGTGTTAGAATCGAAGCTCAAATGAGCGGTGGCGGGCAAGAACGAGGTATGAGATCAGGCACACTACCTGCCTTCCTTACCGTAGGGCTAGGCGAAGCCTGCCGAATTGCCTCAAAAGAACACGAGTTCGATTTACAACATGTGAAGAAACTTTCCGACCGGCTGATAAACGGAATCAACGCCGAATTAGAGATGGTGATCAGGAATGGAGATCCGGATGCTTGGTATCCAGGATGCGTGAATCTGTCATTTGCTTACGTGGAAGGAGAATCATTATTGATGGCTTTGAAGGATGTAGCACTTTCTTCTGGATCAGCGTGCACTTCTGCTTCACTCGAACCGTCGTATGTCTTGAGGGCGATTGGAGCTGACGAAGATTTGGCGCATTCATCGATTCGATTTGGCATTGGAAGGTTTACTACACAGGAGGTATGATATTGAAGTGTAGTGAAAAGATATAGTATTATTATACTACTCTGTATTTCCTAAAAAATACCCGGTTCTAGTCTAGTTGTGCACAATTTTTAACTTAATATGCAAGTTTTTAACGAATTACTCAAAAAATAGGGACACTATTTTATGACCCTTAAATTTTAGGTTTTTATGTTTTAATACTTACAAATGTTTACAGGAAGTCGACTACACGGTCCAGAAATGCGTCAAAGAAGCTGCACGCCTACGCGAAATGTCGCCATTATGGGAAATGGTCCAAGAAGGTATCGACCTGAAGTCAATCCAATGGACTCAACACTAAACCTCATATAAATATTTTGAGTTTCGAATGCAGTAGGAGGAGACTTGTTATTTGTTTACATATATTTTTAATAAATTTAATTACTTTAAAGTTAGTGCAGTATTTACTAAAAATTGAAAAATTTTTTCATTTTGTTGTAGGAAAATATGCAATAATATTGAAAAATATTTACAAAAAGAAAAAAAAATATTTGTATAAAGATGTCAAAACAACTATTATTAGTAGGTCTTACTGAAAATATCAAAAAGTACTCGCTCCCGGGTGGACTCGAACCACCAACCTTTCGGTTAACAGCCGAACGCGCTAACCGATTGCGCCACGGAAGCACGGCCTTCAGTGTTCTTATTTCCTTTCTCGTTTTTATACGGAAAATTAACAAAGAAAAACTTCCGACAAAATTTTGTTTTCCTTTTCTTAGCCTGATTTTTGAAGATTTAGAGAAAAGATTGGCTATTTTATGGAAAAGCTTGTTTATTCCGAATATTTTATATTCATATTGAGGTAGATTGCTTTTTGTGCTTGAAAAATACAAATTGCCGTGTGGCCAACAAATTTTCGGGAACTAGTGCAACGGTCTCGGGTTTGCAACACTCTCTCGAACCTCGTTATTATCGCCGCGTCATTTTTAGAGGTGCCCTTTCTTTTTCGTGTATCTAAAAACCTTCGAATCAGTGTGTGTTACGTGTACAAAGTATCCTGTTGCTTCTGGTTGTCAGTTTTGTTAGATTTTTTGTAAACTCGACATTATTTCAATGTTTAAACTGTCGTGCTAATTTCTTTAGTTCATAATCAACGCTGAATTTACAAATTCTGAGTTTTTTAATTAAAAATTATTTTTAGATGAAACTCCTGGCCTTCATAGGGTCTTTGGCCTTGATTTCCAGTGTTTTATGTGCAGATGATAAGCCAAAAGGTCCAAAAGTAACTGACAAAGTTATCTTTGAAATCGAAATTGGAGGAGAAAAGGCAGGAAAGGTTGAGATTGGGTTGTTCGGCAAAACTGTACCAAAAACCGTCAAAAACTTTGTTGAATTGTGCAAGAAACCAGCTGGAGTAAGCTTTAATTTTTTTTTAATTTTAGGTAACAAATTGTTTGAACATGGAAAAACGACAAACATTACATATTTTCTTTGACTAAAATCTCAGCTGTAGACGAAAAAAAAATATATACAACCCCTATTTGAATGGAAATACAAAGTTTGCATTAACGTATTTTACATAATTGTAGGAAGGCTATGTGAGCAGTGGATTCCACCGTGTAATCAAGGACTTCATGATCCAAGGCGGTGACTTTACCAAGGGAGATGGTACTGGTGGCCGGTCCATCTACGGAGAAAAGTTCGCTGATGAGAACTTCAAACTGAAGCACTGGGGAGCTGGTTGGTTGAGCATGGCTAATGCTGGCAAAGACACCAATGGATCTCAATTCTTCATCACAGTAAAGAAGACATCATGGTTGGATGGAAGACATGTTGTGTTTGGAAAGGTTGTTAAGGGAATGGATGTGGTTAGGAAGGTGGAGAACACCAAGACCTTGTCTGGAGACCGACCGGAATCCCCAGTTGTTATTGTTGGATGTGAACATGTTGAAGTTGCCGAACCTTTCCCAGTTGAGAAGGCCGATGCTCAAGAGTAAACGTGGTAATGGTTGTAATTGTGATTCGTTCTTATTTTAGGTAGTACTAAATTATCATTCTTATATCATTGTTCCTGAAATCTAACTATTAACTTATCTTTCCTACAACTGCCTTAGTTATAATAATAAAGTCCTGACTATAAAAACAGATTTAAACTTCATGTAATGACTTAACAACACGAATTTAAAATTTTGAGACAAAAAGCTAATTTTCTACCTTTAGAAAGCATTAATATACTCCACAAACGGTCTAATATATACATTTATTTTTCCATAAATGAAAGCAACAAGACAAAATATACATTATGAATAATTTGTGGGTTTAAAGCGCATAATTTAAACGCGTTGAACAGATAAATAATCATTGAGAATCGCAGGCCTTATAGGCTTTGAAGTCACCATTCAAGCTTGAGCTTCAGCACTCTTCTTGGGCAACAAAATGGCGTTAATGTTGGGCAAAACACCACCTTGAGCAATAGTAACTCCAGCCAACAACTTGTTCAATTCCTCGTCGTTCCTCACCGCCAGTTGAAGATGGCGCGGGTTGATTCTGGACTTTTTGTTGTCGCGAGCCGCATTTCCAGCCAATTCCAGCACTTCGGCCGCCAGGTACTCCAAAACAGCGGCCAGATACACGGGAGCTCCAGCACCAACACGTTGGGCGTAGTTGCCTTTACGCAATATACGATGAAGTCGACCTACTGGGAATTGTAGACCAGCTCTTGAAGAACGGGACTTGGCTTTACCTCCGGTCTTGGCTTTGCCACCTTTACCACGTCCTGACATGATTGTCGATAAATGTCGTCACAAGATAGTAATATGTAATAGGTTTGTAAATAGATTTTCTGCGAAATCATGGATTGTTTATATACCGTATGTTGGTGTGGGCGGAGTTTACGGATTCAGATGACTTGGGACAAGAGTTTCCTTTGCGTCAAGTCGCATTTTTGATCCTCGTAGTAATTTTTTAAATACTAAAATATATATTTAGTTTAAAGTATTTATATTGAGCTTACTCTCCTACCATAAAAACATAAAACTGTAGTTTTGCGCAAAACGTTAAAGAAAAGTTTCATCGTATAAAATGACCGCGAATTCTTTCCGTGTCGGGGAACGGTCGCGGAAAAATAAATAAAGAAAAGAGGAGAAAAAGGAGTGGAAACAAAATTTTGGTGGTAAAGAAGTAGAGAAAGCTTGTTTGGTCTCAAGCACGGTGACGACTGGAGAGAAAGTTTTTGCAGTTTTTGTTATTCATGGCTTTTACGAGAATTTTCGGTTTTTTCTTCGATTTTTTGTATTTTTATGCGGTTTTCACTGTAAAACAAGCATGGTTTTCATTTTTGTGGTATAATAAATTAAGATGGCTTTAATTTACTTTACTTTTTAATTTCAGTATTGAAGGAAAAATGTTAATTTTGTCTTGAAAATGAAATTTGAAGATATCAAATATAATATCAGAATAATGTCGTTTGTTGTTTATAACGAGAGTTTTCTTATTATGAAACCTAAATTTTAATGAATTTGATTGTATTTTAAGTTTTCGTGGTTTAAACTTTATTATGTATTATTTATTACGCAATACGTAATCACATATTATTATTAAATCCAACTTTTCTAGGTTAATAAGACATGAACAAGAAGCAGATCCTGGCCATCTTATTGTACGAATTCAAGAAAGGAAGGACTGAAGCCGAAACTGCTTTCAATATCAACAATGTGTTTGGAGCTGACACTGTGACGGAAGAAGTGGCAAAGACGTGGTTCGACAAGTTCAGAGATGGCGATGAAACGTTGGACGGGTTTAATGTTGTGAAGCAGAAAGAGAAAACTGGAGTCACGGTCGAAGTGTACGAATCGCCTTTGGATTTAGAGAAAGCATTAGCCAACATCAGCCAACAGCAGCAGTCGTCTTGAGCTTGGTTATCTGATAAATTATGGATTGGTTCTGATTATTTTATGGCCTTATTGCACAACAAGATCTTCAAGTTGTAATCTTATTCAAAGATCCTGGTTTAATTGTAAATACGTTTTTTATTCTGATAATTTATTCATTTTTTTGTTTTTTTTTATTTTTAATAAATGGTTTTACTTTATAGTTGAAGGCAATCATCAATTACAGTAAAAAGATGTCTTTGAACTATCAACTCAAAGTTTAGCTTTATGTAGTGAAATTACAAAGAAATTTTTAAAACCTGAATAGAAAAAATCATATAAAGATGGTTGGAAAGCTACTTCTTTAACAATTTTGTTGATAAACATCGAGAGTGGATAAAAATTTCAAGGTTTAGTAAAAACCAATACTTCCGTGGCATTTCGTTGAAAAACCCGATATTTTAGGGACACTTCGTCAAAAATGGGTTATTATTTTTCTATTCTGATTCACATTGCTTTGTGGTTTTCTATCGGACCAAACTTATTGATAAAACCCGTAGTTTAGATAGTATTAGACTCAAAAATAGCCCTGATATTATACTAAATTTTTGAAGTGTAGAACATGGTAGGTTTTAGCTTATGTCTTTGTTTTCTACGCTTTTAAGCTTTTAAGACGAGAATATGTATTTCTCAATTTCATTCTTTTTTAGCAAAAATGTGTTTTCTATGTTTAAATATATGGTATGTGACATGATATATGGTATTTTAGAGCACTACACTTCAACCATACTTGGATACGGTTAGGAGAACATTGGACGCGGCATTATGTCTAGAACATTTTAGTTCTCAAGTTGTTGAACGACATAACAAGCCTGAAGTAAGTTTTTTTGTTCTTTATATTGTTTTAGTTTTTAGGTGTAGTAAATAAGGACATTAGAAGTAAAGAAACTTTGAAGTATAAAGTTTTCTTGGTGTTGTAGACGTAAAGATTAACAATTTGGTACTTTTACAATAAAAGATAAAAGAGTCAAATCTGGAAGAAACAACGATTATTCTATCTAAATTCTTTATTGTAAATTAAGATTGTGAGTTTAGGTAGAAGTCCGAACATCCAAGGAACTTCTACTTCAACCTGTTGTAATTGCCAGAAACAAGAATGAACGGGTCTTAATCGAAGGTTCTATCAATTCAGTGAGACTGTCGATATCCGTGAAACAAGCTGATGATATTGAGAAGATTTTGTGTCACAAATTCACTAGTTTTATGGCCCAAAGAGCTGACGACTTCTTTGTTTTGAGGAGAAAACCGGTTGCCGGCTATGACATCAGCTTCTTGATTAATTCGGCACATATGGAGAGCATGTACAAACACAAACTGGTTGATTTTCTTATTCACTTCATGCAGGAGATTGATAAGGTGAGTAGTTTATAAAGGGTTTTAGACAGAGATTGCAAAAGATATTTTAGTTATAGGTACTTTTTTCGAAGCTTTTTTATTACTAAATTTATTTTATTGGTAATATTATTTAAAAAAGAGACTTTCAATGCTAATATCACCATCTTTTAGGAAATTAATGACATGAAATTAGCATTAAACGCTCGCGCCCGAACATCAGCCGAAGAATTTCTGAAGCACTTCAATTAATCTCTGATCTTACAATAGTATTGTGCCTTTTGAACCAGTTTATTTATCTTAATTTATTATCAGGACTGTTTTTTCTTCTTCTTTAAATTTTGGGTTTACTTTAATTATGTAAAATAAAATGATTTTAATGAATTTCTACTGGAGTTTATTGATTGTTCTACGTTATTAACGTTAACCGTATCGCAGTATCATGTTTTCGTTTACAATGTGTGTTACTTAATGTAAAGCACGAAGTATTTACATTTTTTTACCTTCAGATGAAGGTTTTATTGGTATTATTAGCCTTTATATCGTTGGTATATTCGGCCGATGTGTCTTCGGAGTTGTTGGATACACCCCGTTTTACTCTGCAAGGCCAAGTTAGTCTAGGAGCTGGTATGATAGCGCCTAAAAATTGGAAAGCGAGAAGTCGTGTGTTACTTGACTATGGCAAGTATATCGGTTTTATTAGGTATGTCGTTACGTTTATTTTTGGTATACGTATTTCTCATTTTATATTGTATTTTTTATATATGATATTTATCTAATTTTAAAAAAGATAATTGTGTTTACGGTTATGATGGAATTGGCTTTTCTGTGTTACCTGTAGCAGTACTTTCAAACGTATCATTGAAAATATTTTAAAATCGTATGTTAAAGTTAATGTTTTAGAGATGACGGATATTTTGTTGTTGAAGGCGTTCCTACTGGATCCTACATCGTTGAAGTAACAAACGTCGACTACATTTTCGAGCCAATCAGAGTCGATATTACAAGCAAAGGAAATGTCAGAGCTAGAAAATTGAACGTTCTTCAGGTAAATGCTTATTTTTTTGGAAACCAACAAAAAATACGTTTTTTTATTAATGGACACAGAAAACGAGAAAAGCAGTCCTAAAATTGCTTAAAAATATTATGATTTGAAGCCTTTGGTACTGTCGTTTCTAGTTAAATTTCAAAAAGTCTAAAAATAAAACGAAATGAGCCAAAAAGTTACTTGGGCTGAGCCGGGGATCGATCCCGGGACCTCTCGCACCCTAAGCGAGAATCATACCACTAGACCACTCAGCCGCACGGCGCAAAGGAAGAAAAAGAGAGTCTCTTTTCTTTTCAGTGCGAATTCTCAAGTGAAAAGACGATTTATTAGAGGAAAACAGTTGAATATAGAGTATCTTTGTACTTAAAAAAGTTGTAAACGACTAATTTACTGAGCATATGTAATTTTTGACTGTTTTTTAATAAAAATTTGTTATAGTAACAGGAGAAAAAGGTCTTATAATTATTAAAGTTTGGTAAAATTAAAAAACTATCGTTATCATTTTCAGCCAAACAGTGTGTCAACCCTACCATATCCATTGAGACTTCAAGCACGCCAACCGACCAAGTATTTCCGTCAACGAGAACAATGGAGAGCGACTGATGTCCTCATGAACCCTATGGTGATCATGTTGGGTGTAGCCTTCATCTTAATGGTTGTAACTCCAAAATTGGCCGCTAATGATCCGGAACTTAAGAAAGAATTGGAGCAGACTATGCAGGTACCCAAGGTGGACATGCCAGATGTGGCCGACGTGCTGGCCAACATGTTTGGAGGAGGACAAAAGAAGGCGATTAAAGGAAAACCAGCCAAACGACAACGATAAGCGATCTCTTTTTGTGATTTAATAACTTATGCTCAGTATAAAGGTGTTTTTTAATTAATTGGTTTTCTTATGTTTTGTTGGCCTATTGTTCTCTATAAAATAAGAAAAGTTCAATTCCTTTCGTATAACACGGCATTTTCATTCTAAAAAGCTCGGACGCATTTCGCTGCCAAAAATAAATGGAAGAAATTTGTGAAAAACATCGGATTGTGGTGGATTGGCAGCTCTAATGGTGTTCTAGTTTCCTAATGTGATTGACATCTTCGGTTTATCTATAGCGTTTTTGTTTCTGCATTTATGGTCTCGAACGGGTTTTATAATAATAATGTAAGTTACTCTTATTATTGTATTTTATATTTTAGATAGGAAGAGATTTGGGTTGTAAAAGTTTCATCTGGTTTGTGCAACAATTTTTCGAGATTATCTGGTTTTAAAAAGTGGGCGGCATACCTGTTTAGAAGTTATATTGTTTTACAATAACTCTCTTTCGTTGTTTATGAATCATATACAATAATAATCAGTTATAGACAATATATCTCATTGGGCTTACTTATCTTTTGCTTTTTTTCTTTAATTATACTACATTTAGACTTTTACTATAGTGTTATATTTAAAAACTAAAGTAATTTTCAAAAAATGAGTAAGTAACAACAATATTGAGGATGTTCTTCAAGATATCCGGCGATTTAATCTATTCAGCTGGTTTTGAATTTCTATGTTCAGATGTTTTTAAAAACAAGCTTGTTAATTAAAATCTTTTTCAGATGTATCAATAATGTCAGACGATTGGATCGAGTTTTGGCCTATACGGTTTCTGCTGGTAATATTGGGATATGGCTCTGTTATGCTTCCGGGTTACATGTTGGTTCGATGGGTGGAGAAGTACGAAAAATGTGAGGTTTTTTAAAATTGTATCTATAGGTGCAGAATAGCACTTACAATTTTATATCTTGACTTTTAGTGAATCACCCAGCAGGAGAAGCAGGGATAACATCGTTGTGGAGGATCTTTTTGAGAAGATTTGCTATTGGACGACCTGATATTGTTGGATCTACATTGATAAAGTACGAAAAAACTGAAGCAACAACAGTACCTACTTTTACTCAACATATCACTCAGTTACTCGGGTTTTTCATAGGGATTCAGGTGAGTAATACGGTTGTTTCTTTTTTTATAATTGTGCTTTATGTGATAAGTTATGTTTTTAAATGTTAGTTTATGTTTTAGATAACATTAGTGTCGATGGGATTCTTCCAAGAGCGTATAATGACACAGAAGTACGGTAGAATTGGCGATGGTGCTATAGAGATAGAAGGTGACAATTTCACAGATGCTCAGTTCTTGGTATTGGCTAATAGACTGGTTGCTCTTGCTGTTGCTAGTGCTTATTTGTGGTATGATTGGAAGAAGTAAGAATTTTTATAATAAAGTAGGCGTTAGTTATCAGCAAAACCAAGGGAGTGCATCTTTGATGAATCAATTATATTTATGAGAACGGATACCGTAAAAAATAACATTTTACATTTTTACAGTACTATTTAACTAAATTTGTATGTTTACAGTCAACCTCCACAAGCTCCACCCTTCTACATGTACGCTTTCTGCTCCATATCCAACACTCTGTCTTCTTACTGTCAGTATGAAGCTCTGAAGTACGTTTCCTTTCCCACACAGACCTTCTGCAAAGCCTCAAAGCTGATCCCAACCATGATCATGGGCAGAGTTTTGAGGAAGGAACGCTTTTCACGAGGAGAACTGTTGACTGCCACTTTATTGGTGACGGGAGCTGCTTTGTTCTTCTACTCTACTATATCCGATAGCAGAAATGGCAATGTGATAGATCAGAATGCAGCATACTTAACAGCTCTAAGTGGAGCACTGCTGATGATTGGATACTTGATGTTCGATGCCTTTACTCCGAATTGGCAGAAGAAGTTGTTCGAGATCAAGCCGAAGATTAGCCGGGTTCAGGTGGGTTTACCAAGATGAACATCATAAGTATAGATTTAGATTCATTTATGAATATATCGTAAAAATTAATAAAATTTGGGTTTTATATAGTAAATGATAGCCTTATATAGATAATGATAAACGATTGCAGATGATGATGGGAGTGAACATCTTCAGCGCCTTCCTCTGTCTGGTCTCTCTCCTGGAGCAAAACTCCCTCTTTTCATCCCTCAGCTTTCTCTTCACTCATCATAATATTACCAAAGACATCTTCCTACTGTCTTTGTGTGGCGCCTTCTCCCAGTTCTTCATCTACGCTATCGTGGAGAGGTTCGGTCCGTCAGTGCTGGCATTGATCATGACCATCAGGCAGTTCTTGTCTATACTATTGTCGTCAGCCTACTTCAAGCACTCATTGAATGCCGTTGGAATGTTGGGCTTATTCATTGCGTTTAGTGCGCTATGCTTCAACATCTACTACAACTACAGAAAGAAGACGATACGGCCTAGCAAAGCGACGAAATGAAGTTTTTTAGTGTGACAACGTGTACTGTATTATAAGGGCATTAACATGGTTTTTTACAGTATGATTATTTTTTTTCACTGACGTTTATCTATGTATCTACATTTAGATCTACAAGTATTTTTAACTTGTAGGTATTATCTACAGTTATCGATGTACAATATTTATTTTTCAAATACGTTTTACTAATCAATATACGATAACATTGATATGTATCTGGTGATTTATGTTACGCATCTTAATTTAAAATGCAATCCGCATTTGATATTGATGGGCATTTAATGCAAAATTCAAAGCATAAAATAATAAATAATTATAAAAAGGTATTAATAGTATTGGAACGTTGATAAAGGTTATTAAAGATATGAAGCATTAAAGTAAAATCAAAGGTTAAACTGTGTAAATGAGACAATTAACTTAATAATAATGAGAAAGTTTCAACAATAAGGATATGATGAATATATGGTCGCAAAAAGGTAAAAAAAGACATTGGTACCAAAGTGATAATAGAAAAAAGTTAGTATAAGATAATAAAGCGGTAATTTTTAGGTAAAGATTAATAAAAAATAATAGGATTACAAAATTTAAACTTAATCTTGTCCAGATCCCTCCAAAGTCTGTGCCACTTGAAGTTCGTTGTCAGTTGGAATCACGGAATGAGCACATCTCACAAACAGCAGATCCTCCACCCGACCATCAACATTTTCAATGTCCCAGGTGCTTTCGTTGCCGCACTTCAACGTCACTTGAGTACTCAACTTTTTCGCAGCACCAATCGGAGTCCAAACAGTGCCATTTGTGGTGGAGTCAACAACACGAGCCAATACTTGAGCTACTGACGGTTTAAAGTCCAAAGTTGAACAGGTTACGGTGGCGCGGCCACAATTCTCGGTTCTCGCAACATGGTAGGTGACCAATGGGAAAGCACAAGCAAATTTGGGATCGTGAAAGTCCTTGTCACATCCTGGTTGAATATGAATTGGTTTGCATTGGGTACACGCTGAAAATATCTTGTTTTAGATGGGTTACCTTGGCAATTCGATTGAGCACAATTTTCATTTAAAAAATAGAAAAAAGCTTGTTAGTAGAGCGACAGTTACCGAAATCACTTGTATATTACAAAAAATGGCTTGAAAATTCCGTTTCACGCAAAAATTCAAGGCTTTTCTCATGACTAACATAATTTTTAACTCAAAAAATGATTTTTTTTTACTTGAAAGCATTTGCCAAACACAATAACAAACTTTTCTACATTCACTATAATAATTTTAAATTTTCTAGTTACCAAAAAACCTCGAAAAAATCTCAAAAAACTTACGAATCTGCTTGAAATGGGCCTGATAAGCAGCTCCACTTGGAGAACAAGCCTCAATTTGGCTCAACCAGAACAACAAAACGAAAACGGAGCAGACGATCAGAGGACGAGGCATTTTCGAACAAGACGTGACAATAATGATCGACGAAGATTGGCAAAATGAACGCGTTTTTGCCGGATAAATCAACGCAAGCGAGAGAGTAAAACGCGAAGAGACCGCCAGAGAAAGGGAGAAAAGCATCGACGAAAAATGAAAATAATTTAGAATTGGATAGATTATGGATAGAATAAATTAATTATTATATTTCAAAATTTAGTTATGCTCATAATTTTGCCAAAACCAGCAAAACAGAAGAATGGCCATACCTACATTAACATTGTATGTAAAGCATGTTATGTTCTTGCAACATTTTACTATAATATAAATTATGTTTTACAAAATGTAACTCAAATCTAATGTCAAACTATATCTTACATTCTCCGAGCTTGTTTTATTTCCCTTTACTTTATAACTACAAGTTGTTGTCACTGTAAACTCATGATTAACTTAAATGTTTTCCGCCCTTGTGACTAAGTGCATTAAATGGGTTTTTTTAAATCGCCGTCGTATTTTTACTCATCTTGTTTGTCACACGTGGTAAATATTTATATTATAGGTTGGAACACAGTCTGGGTAATTGTTTTAGTCTATTGTAAGATGGGTTAGAAGCAAAAAGGAGAGGTAAGGGGGTAAAAAAGGGTTGGTGGGGATATTGTTTTGTTGGGTAGAAGAAAGAAGGATGGGGTAAAAAGTTGGAGACAAGATATAAAATGATTATCATAAGATTTGGTAAGAGAAGATATATTTTTATTGGGTATAACTGTAACGATAGCACCTTATATTATGTTCTTCAAGAATTGTTAACGCAGTAAAAATGATACCAAATATTTTAATGAATAGACATAAGTCATAATTACAATGTTAAACTATGTACCATTTCTGGCATTTTCGTTACACAGTTTGGTGCACTAATGTGTGTCATTCAGTTTTTGTTATTTTATGTGTTTTGTGACTTTTTGAGTCGAAAAACGTATTTGCTAATGTAATTTTATACTTGACATTTGAGTTTTTACGTAAACTTACTCTGTACTTTTCTAAAATTACTTTCGAAAAGTTCTTGTATTAGTTACTTACATTTAGTAGGTAACTTATGTACAGGGTGTCCCAAGAAATTTGCAGGATTTTAAAAATTTGTAATTCATCTTTGAGTGATGGCTGAAATACCAAACTTGGTACAGTGGAAGTATGGCCAATGTATATTTTTTGTGAAGAATTTTGGAATTTTAGAGTGCATATGAAGGTCGTTATGAATTTTTGAAAAAACCCATCTTTACCCCGAAATACACATATTTTCAGTTGAAAATCACTTTTTTTATCAAAAATTTCTAAGTTTTTGGCTGTTTTGAGGTTGGAAATGCATTTTTGAGATGAAAATTTATGTTCTCCGCAATGGCGGAGAGTAATTTCATTTTATGTTTTGTAGCTTAATATTTTTTATAAACTTTGTTTTCTTAAGCGTTTCTTAAGGCCATAAACTATAAACTTTCAAATTATGTAGCAGAATATTTAATTAATAAATCTTGATGATTTTACAATGTTTGAAAATAACAATTAACCAATATACAAACTGTAGACATGAAACACTCCTTTTGTTTTAATCTTTGATTAGTAATCGACTTTTTGACTTCACCTGACAAAGTAAACAACTTTCAAAGAGTAAATAGTGCACTTTTTAAAGTCGTATGATGACGGGTTTCCCTTTTACATAACAGCTTGTAACGTATATTTATTCTGTTTTGGTTAAATATAATTTTCTAGAAGTATGTCGACAGATTCTTCTTGTTTCTTTTGGTATTTTACCTAGGGATAAGAAACGAGTCAAAGTTGGCTCGCGAGCAGGGCTTGAAAAGTAAGCTCGGGAACCGAGAAGCTTTTTAAAATTAAAAAATTTCTTGTTTTAATTCTCGTAATGTTTTTTGATTTTTTTGGGTACTACGAGCAATAAATAATCTAAAAAACCATGCAACTCTTCTTTATTTTAAGTTTTAAAATTTTTACTATTTTTTAAACAAGCCGGGTCATGTCGGGTCTAGAATTTTTTTTGACCGTTTCGAGCCGGCCTGAGAAAATATGAAAACGGGTCGGGCCTAAAAATTGTTACTCGGGCTTCAAAACCGGGCCCGGCCTGTTTTCCTCTCCTATGCACGCATATTTCATCACACTCTTTTTCTTTCTCTTTAGTATTGTACGTATTTTTCTGTACTCTCGTCTTTCTTAATCAAAGCCCTATCTTTATCCCCATGTACTTTTATCACTGATACCAATAATTAAAAGAGTCAAAAGTGAAATTAGCAAGAAAATCAAGATTAGCCATCAATTTGTAACTTTTACCCGCTGTTTCACTCATCATGTGCACTTTTGCTGATAATGATTCGAAACGTTCTGTTAGCACTCCAGACGTCTGGCTCGCGGCTTTTTGCTTCCAAAACGTTTTAATGTGATGTTCTGTGAAGGTTTGTCTGCTGAAAGGTCATGACGCACTTTTGCAGATGTGTTTTTCATGTTTCAAATATTTTTTGTCATAATATTATTTTAAAAAGATATGTTTTATATTTTTTGAATATTTATTTTTGTAGAATACTTTAGTTTCTAAGCTTTACCACTTGCTCTTACAATTGTTAGTACTTAATTTGAGAGGATTTTAAAATAAATTGAAATTGAAATGTTAGGTTGTTCAAATAATTTCTACACATTTCTAAAATTTTGAAAATGTACTTTGAGAGGGATATGGGTAGGGTAATATCAAAAGTGAAAGGCTTTTTTTATTATAGGGGGTACTTTTTTAATAATTTTTTTAGTATATAGTGAGTGTTAAGTAAGCGCTCACTGTTTTTCTATTTCTTGGAGTTTACTGTAATACTTTCTAACTTTTTATAGTTTTTAGATATCCTACATTGGTATCTTAAAAATTTCTATAGTTTTTGATTACATTACTGTGATTTGATTAAACTTTTTATACTTTTTAACTATATTTAAAATTTTTTTAAAAATGTTTACCATTACAGTAAGAATTTTAGAAAAACAAGTTGTTTTGAACGTTTTAAACGGGAATCGACCTTAATTAGTCAGCATGAATAAAATCGTGTCTTTGACTAATTCTTCCATGGTTAAAAGGCTTAAATAGAGTTTTTCTAACTAAAATTTGAAGTAGTTTATATATAAAATATGTCTAGGTAGAGTACTGTAATTAAGCTTGTAGATGAGCTTTAGTAAGGTTTAGTATCTTTGCTTCTATTAGATTGTTCAATTAATTTTGTGCTCCTTCTTAAAGCAAATTTTTTAAGTTAAGGAGCACAGAATAATTTGAACAAACTGATGTATAAAAAATATTTTGGTATTGTATATGTTAGTATGTTTGCCCTAATACAAACATTACATCATGTTTTAATTCTCTCAACATTATTTATGCCGAAATAAACACGTTCTCATCAAACGAAATGTTTAAAAAGTAATTTCGAAGCGTTTCGTACATCAAAACGGTGACATTTAATGCTAGCATATGGCTGCCAACATGTTAACCGACAATTTGTTTTATGTGCTTGAGGAACGAAATGTTGTTTCACTGTAGTCATGTTTTGGAAATGAGCCGTTCGGTTTTTAAAGTTTTACTTTATATCTTGTTATTCTGTCTATGAATATATTCATGTCACCTTTTTGAGGGGTTGGTTGAGAGAATATAATTTTTTTTATTCCATTACTTTAATTGATTATACTGTAACATTTTTAAACCAACTAAGTTTTTTGAGACTTTTCGATGAAAGATATATTTAAAAATAAACTGTGCTCTCATGGCTAGTGTATTGTACTGTATTGCACGTAGCTCACAAATACTGCTAGGAATTAGTAATAGATTTGGATACTATAGGGTTCAAAATATTTTGATGCTATATGGCCAACCACATTTACAATATTAATTTTTGATCAGTCTGAACTTTTGTGGTTTAGATATCCGATTATAACAACTGGTCTCAATATCAATATTTAGTTAACTGTAATGTATTACTCAGCTAACATAACGAATATAATGGTTGTGGGGGTAGGAGGAGAAGGTGATGATACTAATCTGACAGAGGGTGATGGTATTAAACAGACAAGGGATGGTGATATTAAACTGGCAGGTGGTGTTGATGCTAAATTGGCATGGATTAATGATACTAAATGGCAAGAAATGATGGTATTGAATCGGTAGAGGGTGATGATACTAAACCGGCAGGTTTTGGGAATAATAATAATAAATATTGCGACTAGGGCATCTGTTAGCTATAACTACATGATTCTTATGAATAGGTCACTTTTATGGAGTTATTGTACAGTATGGTATAGTGCGCCACCTTTCGGGAGCTTGTTATAGTCTTGTTATAAACATAAAACGAGTCATTTAAAAAATAAAAATAGCCTTAAGATGACTTTTTATATAACCAACGGAAGCCGTTGAATATTAATTGCCTGCGGTTAGAAATTGAAAATTATTTATTCATTATTTACATTTTTTCAAACTCTTTTTCCTATATTAACATTTCAATTTTTCGATCAAAATTGGCTTTCAAAATTCAAAAAAAAATTGTTTTGATTTTTCGAAAAGATACAAAAACAGTTTCTTTCTTGTATGTTTTTATCGCAAAAACACGTGAATCTCTGATCTTTCTCTAGAGTTTTTGCTCCAAAATCTGTAAAACTTCCTTTATCAGCGAAAAACGCAACCAAAACATATATAATTGAACTTTAAACCTTTTGGTAAAATATGTTTGATGTTGATTGACAAATGGATGTCAATTTGATTTTTTGTCGAGAACAAAAAGTCAAACGGTTTTATCAAAATCTCTCCTTTTCTTTATCAAATTCTCTTTTGGTTTACTTTTGGCGGCAAAGAGGAATGGGATCGATTTGAAAGGAAGATCGGTGCGTGCGTCTGTGGTGTAATGGTCAGCATGGTTGCCTTCCAAGCAATCGACGCGGGTTCGATTCCCGTCAGACGCAGAAGGTTTTTTTGGGGTTTTTATGATTTTTTGGGTAGT